GAAGAGGAGCTGCTGGGAGGACAGTGAGGGGAACAGTGTGGAGGCAGAGGGAACAGCCTGTGCGCAGGCTCTGAGCAGGAGCCCCAGCTGCCCTGCGTCCTCAGAGGGCCCGGCCGGGACTCTGGGAGGACGGTGTTCGGCCCTTGGCCTGGCTCAGCCAGGCCGGGGAGGGCCAGGCTCGTCCACGGCGCAGCTCGAGGCGCGGCAGCTCGCGTTCCTGCGTCTGACAGCGGCCTGGCAAGCGTGCCGCCAAAATCCGCTTCATGTTTTGGTTTTGGTTTGTGTTTTTCTTTTTAAGGAAAAACAGCTGCGGGGCCAAGAGAGAAGGGATGTTTTTGAGAAACTGCTGACACCACCGGCCGGCTCTCAGACTCGGGGCCAGGTCCCCACAGAGTGCCCTCCCGCGGGCTGGCCGCCGCGGTCCCACGTGCCGGTGGGGCTGGACTGCCCGTCCGGGGGCCAACGGCAGGGTCAGAGCTCTGCCCCCTCGGGCCTCAGGCTGGTGCGGCCTGTGCCTTCCTCTCGTGCCCCTAGGATGACGCCTCTCCCTGCAGGTCGAGGGCCTCGGAGTGGTGGCACGGTGTGTCCCCCTGTCCGTCCCCCACCCTGCTCTCAGAAGCCCAGCTGGCCAGGCCGGCCGGGTGTCCCCCAGCGTGGGTGTGTCCTCTGGGCTCCCAGAGGCCCTGGCTGCCCTGGGTGCTCCTCACTGGGCCCCTCGCCTCGGTGACAGCAGCAGCAGCCGCAAGTGGCCCCTCACTGCACATCGGATGAGAACTGGCCCGTTGTCCCCTGGTGCTTGCCCCATGGGTGGTGCTGCCCAGTTTGCAGGTGAGGAAACTGAGGCACCGCACGTTGCCTCACTTGCCTGAGCCCCGGAGCCGCGGCCGGGAGCTCTGCCGCCAGCATGCGCGTCCTTTCCCCTCCCGGGTATTGGGGTCCAGCTGGAATGGGGAGAGGCCATGGGGGTCGGGGGAGGGGGAGGGTACCGGGCTGGATGCCCGAGGATGGGAGAGCAGCCCCCACCCACCCCCGTGTGGGACTCAGGGCTGCCGGTGCCTCTGGGTAGAGCAGAGCGGGAAGGGGCCACGCGGGGGCCTTGGGGGCGGAGGCGGCAGGGCGTCCGGAGAGGGGCCTGGTCTGAGGCGGCCGGGGGCGCGGCTGGGCTGGCTGGTGCCAGGCAGGGGACGTGGGGGAGGTCCCGGAGACGAAGGGGCTGCACCCGCTGGGCAGGCGTGCTGGTGCTGGCTCAGAGGGGTGGGCCGGGGGGCGCTCTGCAGGGCGGGAGCCCCCGGAGCCTCGGCAGGGCCGGCGCAGCGGGGAGGACATGGAAGTCACACGCACCCACGCCCGAGACTGGGCCTGGCTCAAGGTCGGGCTGATGCACGGGGCGGCCGCGACCTCACAGGGCAGCTCCGCACGACGCCAGCATCTCGGTGGTAAGTGATGGAGGGTGTCCCACATCTGGGACGGAGCAGCGCTGTGGACATGCTGCGAGGAGACAGCCTTCCAGCACCGACCAGACACCCCCACCTGACGCCAGCAGTGTCCCCCCGTCCCCCCAAAGGGCTGTGTCCCCTGGCTGGACTGGTGGGTGTCACAGCTTTCTGAGCAGAGCAGCCTCGGCGGCCTGTGTCCCCATGGGCCAGTCGGGCGAGGTGGGGCACCCTGAGGTGGGGAGGGTGGGGTGGCCCCACCCACAGAGCTCTCGTCTCCTCTGCATCGTTGCGATCGTGGCTGCAGACGGGACCATGAGGAGGGGCAGAGAGGCGAGGGTCCTGGGGAGGAGCGGCCAGACTTGCAGGTCCCCCCACCCCCAGAGCCCTCTCTGAGAGCAGGGTGCCCTCCTGGAAGGGCTTGTCCTCCCTGGGGATCTCTGCCTGGTTCTGAACCCAGGCTCCTCGTGAGTCCCAGCGGCCCACCTGCTCAAAGACAGGTGATCACGCCCTGGTGGCCTCCTACTGACACAGCCGTATTTCCTCCTGCTTCGCGTTCCTAACACAGTCACACCATCCACTCAGCCGCTCCTCCTCCCACCCACCCACCGTCCATCATCCACCTGTGCCTCCCCGCGGTGCTTGCCAACTACTCCTTCGCATGTGGCCTCGTCCTGGAGGCTGGAAGCGCGGAAACGACTCAGGCCGGACCTCAGTGAACCTCCAGACCCGTGGGAAGAGCAGCCACAGGCCGGCCCGCGCTGCGGTGACAGCGTCAGGTGGAACCACTCCTTCCGTGTCACGGGGCACCAGGTAGGCAGCGAGTCTCCTGCCAACACCAGGTCCATGGCCACGTCCACGTCCCCACGGAGGCCGTTGGTCAGCGAGGTGGGGGAGCAGCACAGCGGGACGGCGGGAGCCGGGCCCCCGACGGCTGCGTGCTGAGCGTGCTCAAGCAGAAACAGGACCGCGTGACCGGCGGCTCCCTGGGGGTGGCCTTCTGTGCAGGCCCAGGATCTGCAAAGAGGGCCTCCTGGTCCCTGGAAAAGGCCCTTCCGAGAGAGGCGGCTGGAGGCCGGAAGCCGCTCTGAGTGCGTGTGGGCAGGTGGTGGGACCACACATTGTCCTTCTCCATCAGGCACCTTCAGAGGCACCACAGGAAGGCTCCTCCCTGTTCCCAGGGTCACGGAGCACTCCCACTGTCCCCGAGTCCAGGCTGTGGGGCTCAGACCCCACGTCCATCGGAACCGAACGAGACGAGCTGAGCGTCCGGCCACGCGGGCCCAGCGCTGCGGCAGGAGCCTGGACAGAGCTGCGGTCCCTGACGGAGGAGGAAGGGCTCGCAAGCTGGGCGGGAAGCTCACGGCAGGGGGTGCCTCGACGCGCGCCCTCTGCTGGGTTGTGGCCGGGGCTGGCGGGACACGTGCCGCGTGAAGCCAGGAGGTGTCCGAGGCGGCCCGAGGCCCCAGGGCAGCAGACGCACCGTCTTGTGATGAACGTGCCTGCCGTCCCGCACGCACGAGGGGTGGTGGGCGCCGCACAACCCCCAGCTGCCCGGAAAACGCCTGCTGGTGGGCAGCCCAGGGGCGAGGACCCCCTCACAAGACAATAGGGGGCGGGGTTAGCTCCTGGGCGGCACTATCATAGGTGCATCAAAGTGACAGTCCCCAAAGCTCATCCCTGCGTCAACAACAGAACCCGATGAAAGGGTGCCCACCTCCCTGCCACTGAGAACCTTAGCAGGACGAGGACCTCAGTCCTTTGATGTGCACAGCCCGTCGCAGACGTGGGGATTTGGCTGATTTTTTTAAAAAAAGATTTTATCTATTTTTAGAGAGGGGAAGGGAGGGAGAAAGAGAGACAAACATCAATATGTGGTCGCCTCTCATGTGCCCCCCTGCTGGGGACCTGGCCCACAGCCCAGGCCTGTGCCCTGACTGGGAATCGAACCGGCGACCCTTTGGTTTGCAGGCCGGTGCTCAATCCACTGGGCCACACCAGCCAGGGCTGACTTGTTTTTATTCGACGTGTCCGTGCCGGCAAGACCCTCTGCCCACAGGCGTGCCGGCTGCGGGGCTGGGGGGTGAAGACATTCTGAAGCGGGGAGTGTGAGAACGCACACAGCGCCGTGGCCGCCGCAGTCACAGAGCCCAGAGCGTCCCTGAGCCCCGAACCCCGGCGGGCCTGACACAAGCCGCGGAAGGAGCTTGCAGTTCTGGGCGCAGCGGACTCATGACCCTGAACTTGACCTGCTGGCTGAACAGGTGTTTTCAGGCTCCAGACCAGACAATAAACCAAAGTGGGCAAAAAAAGGCCACTACCACCACACAGGGATGCTCAGACGAGGCTGTTCCCTGGTCAGTGAGGGCCCAAGGGGGGCATGCTGGGGCGGAGGGCCCACTCGGGCGGGGCGGGGCCAGAGGCAGAGGCCGGGCCAGCCAGACCCTCGGCGCTGAGAGAAGTCTCGGGGCCCGGGTCTGGCGGCCGGGCCATGGCGCTCCTCATCCTGCAAGGAGACGCCTGCGAGGAACCAGTGTGACCTCAGCTGGCATGTCCACACGCTGTCTCGGGCTGGGGCTCAGGCAGGGAGGCCGGGCCTTGGGGACCCCGAGGAACACGCCCCCACTGGCGTCAGTGGGCTCCTCAGACGTGAGCTGGGTTTGCGCTCAGCCCCGACCTGCCTGAACGGCCAAGGGCCCGGACACCGTCTGTTGTTCTCATCGCCAAGGGCAGGCGCAGACCGTCATGCACGGAACATCCCCCAACACACGGAAGTCAACTTAAAACCAAGGAAGCCACCCAGCCAGACATGTATTGAACTCAGGCGGGTTGCTCCCCGGTTAGAACTCTCGGTGACACGAGCAGCCCCGTGCCACGCGCCGCCCTGAGGGGTGCGGGGGCGGCTGGTCAGGCCCCCGTCCAGCCCTGCGGCTTCCTGGCCGCCGGCCCGCGGCAGCCATTTCGCCGTTCAGGGTCAGGTTTCTCTCGCCGGAGACGGAGGGCACGGCGGCCCCCTTGCTCAGCTGCCTGAGGGTCCAACGAGACGGAGGGCACGTTCCAGCACAAACCCCTGCTCTTGAGAAGTGGCCCCTCAGAGGCTCGCAGCGGCTCGGGGGTGGGGGCTGCGCGCCCCTTTTCTAAGCCTGAGCGCTGATGCGCGAGAGATCAGGCGGCCACCCCCACGATTCCGAGGGGGAAATCGGGTCTCGCCCACACCTCACGGGGGCTTCGCAGGCTCTCTGGTCTCCTTGGAAAACGAAGAGCCTGTCCTGGTGGGCTCTGCACCCCATGGCCACCAGGGTCCCGTCTGCACCCTGACCTTGAACATGGGGGGAAGGGCAGGCGCCGCCAGCTCCCAGCCAGGCCTCGCTGGTCGGAGGGGCCCTGGCAGATCCGGGCTGCACTGTGGGCGCGGCGCAGGCGGGGGGGTTGGCTGAGCACACGTGCCGGGGGCTGAGCAGCCCCGGGATCCAACCGCTGTGGGAACAAACCCATTCGAGTAGCGTGCGCACCCCCCGGAGGCCAGGATGTTAAACAGACCGGACACTCGGATTATCATAAATTTTTTTTCTTTGGAATCATTTCCTTGATGGAAACTTCCAGTTCCATCCAAGAAAGTAATAAACCTGATTTTCTTTTCCTTAAAAATCTGAAACAGTGCCATTCAGATGGTCCACAGTGCGAAACGGGGAAGTTAGAGCAGAACTGATTCCAGGGAGTCACACAGGTGAAGCGCCAGGCCGGCAGGGGCGGCGTGGGCGAGGCTGAGCTTGCTCCACGGCGGGGGCAGGGCTGCAGCTGTGGGCCAGAAAGCCCGAGTCACGTCCGCGCATGGAAAACCAAGCGCCGAGTCCTGGTTACCGGACGCTGACCCTCCGTCAGGAAGAGGCCAGCGTACGGGCTTTCTGAGCACATGGCTGAGGACCCCTGAACCCGGGGGCTGCCCCTCCTGGTGAGGCGTGAGGGGCCAGGCTCGCTCTGGGCAGCGGCCACCAGCCTGCTAGGTGACGTGCAGAGGTGCACTAGCGATAGGAAAGCCAGGATCTGCAGAACCGGAACCTGAGGTCTGGGTCCTCGTCGGCTCCGTCAGACTGAGCTGAGCGCAGGCTGGGCGGCTACAGGTTCGACTTCAAACTCCCCACGACGGGCTTGTGAGCGCAGAACTCCGGCCACCACGGCGCCCGCGTCAGCACGTCGCTCTTCTGAAGGACGGCGGCCCAGAGGTTCTTGTAGAGCTGCGGAAGGTGAGCACAGGCACCGGTAACGCAGGGCGCTTCCCGCGGAGCAGCGCGCGCGCGCGCGCGCACGGCCCTGACAGGCGCGTCCCAACACTGGCATGCTCTCCCGCCGCCTCCTGTGAAACTTTTGGGAAGACTGGCCTTTAATTTACGTAAACCTTTCCTTCTCAGTAGAAAACAATAGGGACAATCCAATGATAAAAAGCCATAAAGTACATTCAGGAGACAAACACCCTGCTCATCCTTTTTGGTGGGGAAGCTGCGTCCTAGGCGTGCGTGGCCGTGACGGGACTCGGAGGGTTCTGACGTCTGTCCTGACACCCACGGCTGGCACGGCGGAGGTGCAGCTGAGCCGTCGGGCTGGCCTTGCTGGGTGGCCGCCTGGGCAGCAGGGCGGCGCCCACGGTCCCTCTGCCCGCCCCGGCCACGCACTTGCACCCCCAGGACTTGCAGAGCTGCCATCAGCTCAGAGCCCGGTCACGCGCCACAGGAGGCTGGTGGCTGAGTCCTCCCGGCTCCCAGTGCAGCGAGCACCCAGGCCGCGGGCCGGGCGGGCAGACGAGCCCCCACCGTCCCGGGGACAAGGAAGGAGCCTACCTAGTCTCTGGCCGGTGCTGACCCACTTTACTTTTAAGAACCCAGTCTCCCTGCGCCCGGCTCCTGGGGGGCCCAGATTCGGGCTTCTCTCCACGGGCCGGGGGTCCCAGGTTACGGCTTTCAGCTGGGAGCGCTGTGTTTCAGCTCATGATGGTCTCCCACCACCTCCTACAGCTGTTTGCTCATTTCAAATCAGCTTCCTACTCGCAGCACCTGGTTAAAACATCAGCCCATAAAACTGGGAGAACGGCAGGGAGTACACACCGTCCTGCCAGGAGGGGCCCCACCGTAGGGGCGGCCCTCCGGCGCCCCCTGCCCCCCGCTCCGCGGCCAAGGGCCCCAGTGCTCAGCCGCTCCGGCCCCTCCCTCTGGGGCAGACGCGTTGGCGAGCTCGGGGCTCCTCAGAAGACACCACACCCAGGCCCTCCCGGGCAGGTCGCTGCCGCCTCTTCCTCAGATGCCCCGCCCCTCGGCCTGGTGGCCTGCTAGGCCCCCTCCTCAAAGGCCAGCCCCTCTCCCGCGGGCTGAGCACAGCCTCCTCTGCAGCCCCGCCACACCAGGGGACCAGGGGACCAGGGGACCAGGGGACGCTCTCCGGGCTCCTCTCTGGACAGGTCTCCACCCAGGCCCTGGCTCTGCCGCTTCCCGCAGGCCGGCTTCCCCTCCCCGGCACACCGGCGTGAGATGTGCCCCGACTCAGCGGCGGCTCTTCTGTGCTCCCGCCCAGCGCCCAGCACTCGCGCCCCGCCCTGAGTGTGGCCTGGCCGTGCGGAGGTCAGGCCGCCTGCCCGGCCCCCGATGAGGCTGTGACGCTGTACAAAGGGATGGTTAAGGTGTGGATCTCAGGGTCCCCTGGGGCAGGTCGAGGGCCCCTGCCCCTCACCGCCCTCGCCACGCAGAGCCTGGCTGGCGGCAGGTGTCTCGGCAGAGAGGACACGGCCTCGGGGGTGCATCCCGTCCCACTGCTGAGAGCTGCGAGACCTCAGGCGCGTCCCCGCGGCGACAGAGGAACAACGGGCAGCACCGTGCCGGCAGGCGCCAAGCGGACCGGCGAGCGTCACCCAGCACCGGCATCTCCGTGTGGCAGGGAACGTCAGGAGGGATGTGTGGGCTCAGCAACGAGCACTTCGAGGGTCACACGGCAGGACAGGGTGGGGGCGCGAGCCGGGGGCCCGTGGCCGGAGGCCAGAGAGGGCCCCTCTGAGAGGCGGTCTTTGCCGGGAACCGAAGGCGCGGAAGGGCTCCAGGCAGCGGGAGCAGCAGGCGCAAAGGTGCTGGGGTGGAGGCCGGACGGCAGAGGAGCACGGTGCCCCCGGAGAGCTGGCACGGGCTGGGGCGCTTTCAGGGGCAGGGGGCGCTGGTGGACGGCTCAGTCACAGGCGTGGCCTCGTGACATCTACTTTCTAAGAAATCCAGATACAGGTCGGGCAAGAGGAGGGATCAGGGAGCCCCACGGGTCCACCAGGGAGTGTAGGCTCGAGGGGTGAGCGGCCCGGCGGGCCGAGGCCGGGGCCGGGGCCAGCTGGGTGAGGCAGCCGGAAGCCCGGGCCGGGACAGGGCAGGTGCGCCGCGAGCGGCGGGCACGGGGCCAGGGCTCCGCATCACGGCACAATGAGGGCCGCGTCACCCCCTTCTCAGAAGCGGCTCTGGGGGCGGAGGCCACCCCTCCACCGCTGCCCGAGGGCGGCAGCTTCCCAGCAGGCCACCCCTCAGGCTCCGCAATAAGCGGCCAGCCCGGCGCGGCCCTGCTGGGCGACAAGGGGGGGCCCTTACCTCGCCGTTGGCTCTGCCAATCGGGGAGTCCAGGATAAAGTCGGGAGGGGCGATCACATCCACCAGGGCCACCGCATCATCTTTCAGCTGTTGGAAAACAAAGTCTACATGCTTAGCAACACCCGCATCTCCATGGCAACCGCGGAAGAACAGAGCCCTGGAGTTTGTCGCTGGACTGCGGCCTGCGGCTCGATGCCCTGGGCACCGTCCCACACCGGCCCGGCACACGGGGTCCCTTGGTGCACCTCTGGGCGGTTTCACCATATTGCTATCTGCTCGAGTCCCAATGCTTTGTGTTTTGTCAACAAGGTGGGGACAGCTCGTAAAAGGACGCCTCTGCAGCCCAAGAGCTGGCCTATGCCTGACCCCGGCTTTCCTGGGCAGGGCCGCTCCCGCGCAGGACCCTGAGCCCAGTGAGCGTCATGGAGGTGGCATCCATGGGCACCGAGCAAATCCTGCCGGCCGAGCCCCCGGCCCCCGGCGGCCTCGTGCCCCTCCCTGTCCTCTGTGCAAGTGAGTCTCCAGAATGGAATTTATGGAGACTCCCAAAAATTTTCTTTAAGTACAGAAACAAGTGTTTTTTCTTACAATACTTGCGAGACGCCAGGCTGTGCCGGACAGAACCCTGGGCCAGGGGCAACCTCACTGATGTAGACTGAACGCAAGCGGCCAACACAGAGTAACAGAACCCGTGACAGACAGAACCCCACACCCACCCCCGACCTGCGGGTCCGGGGGGCCTGGATCTGCCGAGAGGAGGTGTGCGCTGTGCTGCTATCCTGGGACCGCACGCTGGCCATCAGCCACAGGGGAGGATGTGGCTGTCACGGCTCTACTGGGGGCAGAAGGCGAGGCGGCTGCGCAAGCGACACCCTCACCGAGCGCCCGAGGGGACGGCGCTGGTGCTCCCGGGGCTGCCAGCACAGGCTCCCGCTGACCAACGCGTCCCCTGAGCTCCTCCGGCCCGAGAGCACGGACGGGGGCCTGGGATGCATGGCCCTGGCCCTGGGGCGTCTGGGGACCTGCGGCCTCGCCTGTGGGGCAGGGACTCAGTTCCCTGGCTGCGCCATGGCTGTGGCACGGGCGGCTCGCGCTCTGTGAGCTCATTAAAAGGAGAGAAAGTCAAGCCCCTCTGCCTCCGGACTGCACGCCGCTGCTGACGCCCCGCCAGTGGGGGCTGGGCAGCCCCAGAGCACGTCTGTCCCCGTGGCACGTTCTGCTGGGCAGTGCGTCCCTAGGACGCTGTGGGGACCGGGGCCACTTGAGTTTTCTGGGTGGCAGAGGTGAAAAATAAGTGAAAAACCATGAAATGAAGCTACGTTGGGGGCTGAGCGAGCTGAAATGCTCGGGAAGAACGGCTGGTGGCTGCAAAGAGGGCCGCAGGGCCGACCGTGCAGAGACTGTGGGGTGTCCCCAAAGTCACTCTTCTCCTGCAATCTCTGCCACGGCCACAGGGGGCACAGGGAGGTCGGGACCCTGCAGAGGGGACGGCAGCTCACCTGTGCACACAGCTCCAGGATGGCGCTCTCCACCAGCTTGCCGGCGCGCTCACCAGAACAGTAGCCACCTGTGAGCACAGTGTCGGTCACCAGGGCTCTGCCGCCCCAAGTCCAAACCCTCCCACACGTACCCATCATCCTGAAGCTGCTCTTCCTGCTGGCTGAGCTGCGACCCTGCGGCAGGAAGGTGCAGCTCCACTGAGTGCAAACGAGAAGGTCAGGGCCGGGAGCCGGGGCCGTGGGGGGCAAAGGGCCGTGGGAGGCAGGCAAAGCCCGGGCCAACCCGGGAGGCGGGGGATCCGCGTGGCCCGGGGCAGGAGGCCTGGTGGAGGCTGGCAGGGTGGCTTCCTTCCGGAGAAGACAGTGGGTGCTCTCGGGACACCAGGACGGGTGTGAGGCGAGCGTGGGGCTGGGCATTGCGAGGGGGACAGGACGGGAGACCCGGCTCCCGGCTGCGGCGTCTGACCCGCGCCTGTTCCTACGCAGCTGACGTTGCATTTGCTGCAGAAGCTGCTTTTGTCTGACTTTTGCTATTAAGACCACCCGAGTGTGGTCACTCACGCTGACGTTTCTCAGAAAGCGGGGCCCACAGCCCGCACCCAGCCGCTCCCCGCGCACCCTGGTGGACCCCACAGGGCAACGGCGGCCCCACGGGGCACGGCGTGGGCTCTCGGCAGAGAGGACGGCCAGGACCGCACTCTTCACAAAGCCCGGGCACACACACAGCATGAGGACAGGGGCACGGGCTACACGTGGCATTAACGTGCGGGGTGGTCAGGGAAAAAAAACGCCTGAAACGGCTCCGTAGGGGGGGCAATAACGGAAAAAGCTGAGAAACTCAGCCCCACCCCCACCCCGTCCCCACCCGCCTCCTAGGCATCACCTCCTCCAGGAAGCGCCCCCGCCCTCGGCCCCAGCAGTCCCGGGCCCCCTCCCCGGCCGCCTGGGCTCCCGTCTGAGCCCTGTGGGTGCTCCCCCGACGCGGCTCTGCCCTCCAGCTTCCACCTCACGGCCTCCAGGCTCCCTGTCTGCCACAGGCGCCCTTGGCGCATGGCGCGTCACGCCACACCGGGGACGGCAGAGCTCGGGCCAGGCGGGGGCGGCAGGTGGCGCGGCCGGGGCCTCACCTCGGTACAGCAGGGCCATGTGCTGGCTCAGGGACCACAGGCTGTAGAGGGCGCTGAGCCGCTGGAGCACGGCCCGCAGCGGGGCCGGCACGCTGGGCTGGTGCGTGTACTCGTGGAACCTGCGTGCCACGACGAGCTCCAGGAAGGCCAGGGCCAGGGAGCGGCAGTGGTAAACCTGGGGACACACAGCAGGGCCAGGGCCGGCCAGTGAGCGGCAGCGACGCCAGGTCTAAAGTCGGGGCGGGGGAGCCCCGCCCCCCACGCTAGTCCCAGTGCCAACTCCCTCCCCCTGTGAACCCCCACAAAAGCCTGCAGCCTCAGGGGAGGATGCGACGAGCCCACCAGAACCCAACGCAACTTTGAAAACACACACATACCTGAGAGTTATTTCTTGCTTCAAAGTCACTGCTTCCTGATCTCTTTTCTTGGTTTAGTTTTTCGTGACTCTCGCGGAGCAGGTAACACACCAGCCACTCGTATGCTGCCAGGGGAACTTCAGAGGGGAAACAGAGGAAAAGGTGACCACAGAGCATCCACGGGTGCCTGGTGCTCAAGTAACAGAGCGCCCACCAGGCGCCGGGGACTCGCGTGCTTACTCGGGATAGCACTGCAAGCACCTTGCGTGCATGGATGGGTGCGTGAGGGGGGCCCGGTTTACAGACAGGGAAGCTGAGGCCCCAGGGCCCCCACCGAGCGCGGGCTGGGCCGGGACAGACCCCGGTGAGGGTGCCGTTTCCCGGTTCTGCTGAGAAGCGGTCCCCGCCCCGTGCTGTCCGGTGTCCGCGGAGGCCGCGGCGCCACTTCGTTTCTGCATGGCCACCTCCGCGAGGGCGGCTGCGCTCGGACGGGCGCTCGTGGGCTTGGTGTGGACGGAAAAGGGCACATCCCCTCGGTGTCCCTGGGGACTGGCATGGACGTTGGGACAAATTCCCAGCAGGCGGTGGGTGCCGGTGAGAGGAAGAGCCCCACCCTATCTGCACGGTAGCCCAGCCCTAGGCCTCACCCGCGCATGTCCCCTACCAGCCTGCATGTCGGGGCGCGCCACGGCGGGGTGCGGACAGGCAGGGACAGGCTGGAGGCGGGCCCGGGGAGGCCCGGTGGGCCCTGCTCCCCGTCTGGCCTCAGCCAGGGCGGGCGCACCTCACGGCGCTGCCTACAGCCCAGGCATTGTCCAGAGACTGGGGGACCTCAGAGCACCTCCCAGCCTGCACCGGAGAGCAAGCGGGCGGGGTGGGGGCGGCGGAGGGAGGGCCTCACTGGCCATGTGCTCTGAGTCTTTGCAATTAAGCGGAGGGTCTTGAGATGATGCCCCCCGCCCCGGACAGGGGTGGGCTCTGGACCCAGTGGGTGCGCCCTTCCACGGGCACAGACGAGGAGACGGACACGGGGAGGCGGCCGTGGGATGGCGGAGGGAGAGACTAGATGGAGGTGGCCACAGGCCGGGGGGAGCAGGAGCCCCCAGAGGATGAGAGACAAGGAGGGACACGCCCACGTCCAGAGGGGGCACAGCCCTGCCCACGCCGTGGCCCTGGACTTGTCTTCAGCACCCAGCTCGTGGGGCTTGGTCCCAGCCGCCGGGGCTCCTCGTGGCCGCACACACGCCCGAGCCCCGGGTGCTGCCCTCAGGCCGTCCCTGAAAGGTCGACGCCGGAGCCCCCACGCGGACACAGCAGTGCCTGTGGGACGCACGCCTGCTCTGGGGTCTCAGGGACTCTGCTGCTTCCTGAGCCGTCCCAGCGGCGTACACTGCCACCAGCCACAGACCCGTTTCCCACGGTTCGTTCACCCACAACGAAGCCAAGGACCCGCCGCCGCGAGGCCAGATGCCAGTGGATGCCGTGACCAGGCCTGAGGGAGTGACAGCCCCTCCATCACCCCAGAGGCCGGTGCAGTGCGCCCCGGTGTGGACGCGCCCGCGGTCAGCGACCAGCCTGGAGGCGGCTTCGCACTGCGGGTGGCAGGCAAGCCAGATGCACGCGCTGCTGGAAGATTTTTGTTTTTGTCTTTGAAACTCTACTTCCAGTCATCAGTTTTCAGAAGGAACAATACGTCACGTTGCTTCAACGTGCCCACGTGGGAGGGAGGGGACCCCGGCGAGCGCACGACAGCAGGAGAAGCCCTGGAACCCTTCGGAAGTGAGAAGCCACCATCGAACACTCGCGTGGGAGCTGGCTGGGCCCAGGCGAGGCTCCTGCCTGGGGGCCGTCCCGGTGCTGCTCACAAACAGCCTCCTCAGGGCCCCCCATGTGCCCTCTGCACCGCTCAACGGCTCCTCCTCACGCTGGCGCCGCCACGTGGGGCCGCTGCCGCCTCTGCCCGCGCACACTCCCCGCCCGCTCCGCTGACCCCGGCGCCTGCTGCCCCCGCCCGTGCCCAGGAGCTCCACCAGCAACGTGCAACGTGCAGCACCCGAGTTCCGGCCTCCCCTCACAGGCTGCTCCCGGCCGTGCCGTCCACCCTCGCCCCATTCCCCTGCCCTCCTGGCCCCGGCCACGCCCCCGCCCGTGCCCTGGGCTGCCCTTCCCGGGCTGCCCTCTGGAGTCATGCTTGCCCTGAGCACACCTCCTAAAGCAGGGCCCCGACCTGGGGGCGCGGCCGGGATGCCTGGTCCCAGCTCTTCAGGGGACACGCAGGTCCGGGAGTCACCTGCTCGCGCCATGCACCCATGTGCCCTGCACCACCCTGCGTGCCTGCTACCCAAACCTGCTCCTCTGACCCTGCGAGGCCAGCGCGTGAGCCGGCGTCCTGGGGACGGTGGAGTTCACCACGGACCTCACACTGCCCCAGGGAGTCCTCGAAACAGTGCCCCCCCCCACCACGGCAGCCCCCCAAGAAGAGCGCAGCAGGGCCAGGCCCATTACACCGCGGGGCAGCAGGGAGCTCCCAGCCCAATGCACGGGCGTATGGAGCTGCGATCATTTACTGCGTTTACAAATGCGCGGGCCACAGAAGCTACGCGGGGGCAGCCCACCCTCTGTGCAGGCGCGTGCGCATAAATCAGGACCCCATGGAGCCGAGCCTGCCCCGCCCCCTCCGAAGAGCGGTTCCGTTCCCTGAAGGAGAAATCTCCTGCCCTACGAACAGGCTTCGCGGGACCCTGGAATGGTCCTGAGGCTGCGATCCTACCGAGCTCCAGGGTCATAAATCTTACACAATTTTTGCCCAAGATCCAGCTGCGGCGAAGGCCAGCCCGGGGGTGTGGGGCCCGGCGATCCAATGCCCGGAGGACGGCAGGCGGCGGGGGGGAGGGGCTGGCCGCGGGCCGCAAGCCCTTCCTGGCGCTCCACGGGGCGGGCAGGCCGGGTGCGCTGCCAAGCCACTTTCGCCAAGTAAACTTTAGCTGCATTCTTTTTCCCCTCCAGAAAATGTTTTCACGTTGCTGGATCTTGCAGAAATCAGGGCACTCAGAGGAAAAAACAGATGACGCCGCCCTGGCGCCCTTCCTGCGGCTGGTCCGTGGAGACGTCCTCTGCGCGCGGCCGCGGCCGCGGCTGCGGGGACTGGCGCACGCGGGCACGGAGACACACCAACAGGCTGGTGGCCCTTGGTCACTTGGCATTTGATGACGGGTGGTGCTTTTAGGGAGGAAAGCGTTGGGCTGGGCTGATGTGAGGCTCTTCTCCGGGGCTTTCTGGGGTGGCAGGTGGCTGGGGAGGTCCGAGAGCAGCGGAAACAGATCTTCCCGCGTGACCCCTGTACTTGAAGGCAGACAAGGGAGAGTCAGCTTAGGGAAGATCGGAAAAGTTGTCACACAGGCTGGTGCCCGATGAGACAAAGCGGTCGCTGGCTGCCAAGTTTCCCCAGTGACGACAATCTGGACGGATGGCCTTGCTCTCTGCCGCTGTCTCCTCTCCAGATGAGCCTGCAGCTGCTGACGCTGCAGTGTCCCGTCCCTCTGGCCTCGGTGTAACGGACGGCGGTGGCTCCTTCACCGGAGGGGCCACTGACACTGGGGTCCCCTGGCTGCAAGGCCAGGGCCCTCCTTCCACGCCACAGGCTCTCTGAAGAACAACAGGCAGCTCGGCGGTGACTCCCCGATTAAAGTTAGACCTGTGCCAAGGTGGGACGTTGAGCTGTGCGCAGTGACTGACCACGCGGTGACAAGTGCTTTCACGGGCCGACTCATTCATCCTCGCGAGAGCCCCGCGCATTCGGAACAACCATCACCCTGGGACACATGGCAGGGAAGGCGAGGCAGGAGGGGGAGGGGACAAGGACTCTCCTGAGTCCCACGGCTGGGGACAGAGGGGCCGGGAGCAGAGCGATGCGGCCCCATGGCGGGAGGGCTGCTTGCCCAGCACCTGGGGGCCCAACCAGTGGGGTCAGCCCTGCCCGCGGGCCAGGACATCTGTTCCACGACCTGCCCTGGCCCACAGAGCACGCTGCCGAGGCCCCGGACACAGGCGCTGTGGGCGGCGACGTGAGGCAGGCCCCCGACCGTGGGCGGCCAGGGGAGCGGCGTTCGGGCTGTGGCTGAAAGCTGCTATTTCTGACAGGGGACGCGACAGGGGCGGGTGGGCGGTGGCTGCCTGCTTCGACGCCCTTGACTGGGGGAGCGGGGGTCACGGAGACGAGGGCAGAGGCTCTGGCCTGGCCCAGGCAGAAGCCGGGGTGGGGGTCCGCGCCTCGGGGTGCACCAGGCTCCCGGCGCAACCGGCTCCGCGTCTCGCCTCGGACGAGCCGCTGCCGTCCCTCAGCCAAGGGGCGTGCCGCGCGCAGGCAGCGCCTCAGCTCCCCATCGCACCCCGGTCCTCCCACGCCGCCCCCGTGGCTCCGACCGCACCCCTCTGTGACGGCCGCCCCGCCAGGCCACCCCCGGCTCCCGCCCGGCTCGCCGCCTCTCCCGCACAGCGGCACCGCAACGCACGTCGTCACCGCGGACGGCAGAAACCCCCTCCCGCCAGCGGCCCTCTGCTCAGAACCGCCCCGCGGCTCCCACGCCCCGAAGGGCGTCCGTCCCTGGCGCCCCACACCGCTGGCCCGACCTTTCCACTGAGACTCGGCTGCGAGGCCACTTCCTCAGGGGCCTGGCCCAGCCCGCGCGGGGGCTGTGGCCTCGCAGGCCCGCCTGCTTCTCTGCCCGGGCCCGTGGTGGAGCTGTGTGCCGCCGTCCCCAAGCCAGGGGGATGCTGGGAGAGTGATGGAGGCACACCCACCCAGCCGGGGCTCCCCCAGGCCACGGTCGCCGGCTGTGGCAGGCACAGGGTGCAGTGCACCTGTGCTGGTCAGGGGAGGCAGACGGGGCGGACGGGGCGCGCTCACCTGCGGAGTCCAGGCAGTCCTGCAGACTGGCAGCCTCGAACCTCCGGCCAAGGATGGCAGGGTAGCCTTCCAGGAAGTTCACGCTTTTCAGCGGGCTCTTGAAGCGAGTGCCACCTAGGAGTACGCCAGTCACTCTGGGGACAGCCAGGGGACTCCAAGCACTGAGCGTGTCCGGGGGAGGGACCCTGACCCTCCCGGCCCACCCTCCCCCACCTCAGCGATGACTCCAGAAGCTGGTCAATCTCTATGTAATGACACCTCCCTTTATACAAACACGGGGTCCGTCTGGAGAGAAGAGCTAACCCTGGGGGCCCAAGACCCCACGCCCTGTGTCTGTTCAGGGGCCGCGGAGAGCGCGGTGGGGCCTCGCCTGGGTCCGGGCACCGGCAGGCCCAGCAGGTAGGGGCCCCACGCGCCGGCGGGCGGTTCTCACCGGGGCCCCCACATCCCAGCAGGCTGAGCAGGTAGTTGCTGGTCTGCTGGAGCATGATGTTGTTTTCCCCTTCGTATGTGCAGTTTGGGTCGTTATCGTCTCTGAGGTCGCCCAGACGGTTCACTGCAACGAGACCACACGGGTTCGCCATCGCAGGTGCCCACGTGAGAAGGACCGGCCACCACCTGCGAGCATCGGCCCTGGGCCCAGCGTGGCCGGGGCGGGGCGCTCCCTGCCTTGCCCCACGCCGCCTGCCCTCCTGCCGAGCGGGGGCCCGTCTTTGAGGCTCCCCTGGGACCACCTCAGGGGGTGTCGGCAGGGACGCAGAAGGTGTGTCCCGAACACACTGCGCGCTGCGGGCTGGCCGAGAGCACCCGGAAGCCCGCAGCCTCAGCACGCGGCCCTGGCGAGGACGTCAGGCAGAACCCGCCCGCAGTGCGGGCGTCAGCGGCAGACACTCAGGGGAGGGAACCCTCCCTTTTACACAGTAAAGTCCAAACACCTGCACAAAACTCTCACTTCTGCGGTCTCTCTTGTCAGCTAAGCACGCCAGTTCCTTTGCATGCCTGACAAGGTGTGCCTCCCAGGCCTCCCCCTGGGGGGAATGTTCTCCAGTGGGAGGCTGGGCAGGAGGGGCGGAGGGAGGGGCACTCGAACACCTCAGGCCCACACGCTGCTGGCCGGTGGTCACCCGCGATGCCCCGGTGGGCTGCCTGGCTCCCTGTGCCCTGCCAGAGCAGGCTCCCGAGTGGGAGGTGCTGGGAGTGACGTTAGGGAAGCCACACGGGACTGACATTTAACCCAGATAAAGGGCCGGCATCCTCCCTGCAGGCAGGGGCTCCCGGGTGAGAGAGTCCAGTGGCTGCACGCGTCACCGCGCGCGAATTGGGGGCTTTTGTTGTCTGCAGTGCTGCAGAATCCAGTGTTCTCATTCCGGGCTATTTATAGCGTCTCCACGAACTATAACAACAAACAGAAATGACAAAGCGCCCTCTGAGGAGGACAAAGCTCGGAGCTGTGGTTACCCACACGTCAGCAAGTGACGGAGGAGGCGGAGCCTGGGGGCGCGAGGGCCGCCCTGCCGGCCCCCCTGCTCGGGAAGTAACCACGACGGACCCCCCGCCCCGGGGGACGTGAGCGTCCACGGGCCCTTGCTGAGCCACTCGAGGTCGGCAAGGGCCTGCCACGCTTCTGGGGGCGGAGGCTGCCAGTGAGCTTCTGCCAGTTCTGGTGTTTGGAATGTGTACGTGGCCTCCTGAGAGTAACTAAGACTTTACCAATCAGTCACTTCAGGTCAGGACCCAGGAAGTCTGGCAAGCAAGCTGCGAATCATCACGGTGACAATAATAAGAAGTCAAATAACAACAGCAAATAGAAGTAACTGGGCACGTCCCACGTGCCGGGCACCGCGCCCAGGGCTCGACGCGCGTCAGCTCCCTCCGTTGCTGCGAGGGCCTCCCTGGCGGCCGCTGTCAGCTCCCCGTCTTACGGTTAAGAACGCTGAGGCTCGGCAGGGTGAGGGAGCCTGCCCGTCGCCCCTCAGCCAGCAAGCAGCAGAGCCCCCACGCCGGCTGCCCCAAAACAGCCAACGCCCCTAAAACCTAAGCTCTTTTTCCTATTAAGAATTTTTTATCAAAACAAAACGTGGCGCCCGTCTACTGCCAAGTCACTAACCAGGAAGTTACAGTTCAAACAGACAGCTACTCTCCTTCCGCCCTGATTTTCAGTGGCTCCTTGGAGTCCGTCCACGCTCAGCACTGTCCCCGATCCCCACGTTTCCAGGAGCATCAGGGATGAAAAGGAGGGGCCTGTCCAGGGCAGGGGTGCGGCAGACTTGCGGAAAGGGCGGGCCACGCCGAGACCACTGAACTGCACAGGGGCAGCGTGAACACGACCACAGAAAAGGCGCCGGCGAGTGGGCATGGCTGCGTCCCAACAAAGCTTTGTCCGTAAAACCGGCGGCAGCTGCTGTGGCCCGCAAGGCCGTCGTGCGCTGACACTTGGTCGGCAGCCGCGGGGTAGGGACAAGGACGGACACAGGCGCCCACGTCTCCAAAACCTACCGGCCAGGTAGCCGTGGCCCCCGCAGGCCTCCCGACACTCCTGAATCCCCCGCTGCGTGGTCCACGAGGCCAGGGACTTGCCGCCCGACGCCAAGGCATGGATTTCGCGTCCGAGCTCCGCCTCGGGAGAGGAAATCCAAGGAGACAGGTGAGAGGGGCTGCAACACGGGGACAGAGGCCAGTTCCCCCACAGCACCCAAGGCGCGCGCCCCGGGCCCTAACCCAACACACCCGACAGCTCGCGAGAAAAAGCGGGGGTTCGGTTAAGAATGGCCATGCCACGGTGCGCTCAGGCTGCTCCGCAGACGCGAGGATGCACGGACCGCGCCCCGCCCCGCCCCGCCGGCGGTCCCAGGGGAGGATGCACACGGCAGACGCTGCCTGCGGGGACTGAGTGACTTGTTTGCAGGACGCACACCAGAAACACGCTGGTGACAAGCAGGGGTCAGATGCAAAGTCAAGACCCTGCTCCCGGAGGAGGGACCCCGCCAAGGCGATGGCAGCCAGTCGGCTCCGCGGGGGCGCCCGGGCCAGTGGCCCTGGGCCTTCGGCGTCCTGTTAAGATCCTGCGTTTCTACGGGGTGTTTCATAAAAACAATTCGGAGAGAGACGCAGGCACGCCCGCCAAGTAAGTGCTCTCCACCTCAAACGTGGGTGACGTTGAGGTCCTGCGGAGCGGGGTTAAACCCGAGTTTCAGAAGGAGTGCAGCGTGATTGCGTTATAACATTATTAACAGGAGAGCAGTTCCTGTGTCAGCTGGCAGAGGCTGTGGTGACTCACTCTACGCGACAGCGGGGGGGGGGGGTGGGGGCGGGGCGGGCGGGGCGGCGGCGTGGGGGGGACGGACGGGGTGGGGGCGCGGGGGACTTGCTTAACTCCTGCCTTCCTGGTTGGGGCAGGCCCTGCAGACCTGCGCTCGGCCCGGCCGCGCCCCCTGCTGGCCACCCAGCACCATGACAGCCGGACCCTGCGGGTTCGCACAGAGCGCCCCGGCAGGGCCTTTGAGGGTGGGTACAGACCCTGAGCCGCAGCACTCCTGAGCTGTTCGCACACGCGCTGTCTGTGGTTCACTTTTACACCTGCCCGGAAGCCAGGGCGGCAGCTACAGAAAGTCACTTCGTACCCCATCTCCGCAGGAGTTGGGAAGGCTGATCTCAGCGGGCGGGCACACCCGAGTCTGGCCCAGATCCCCAGCTGCCAGCTCCAGGCCCGTCAGCTGGGTTCAGACTCTGGGGGGTTGTTTACGAAAAGCCCAGAGCCAAGACATCCGCTGAGGGGCTGGTCAGGGGACTGTGCAAAACCGCGCATTCTCAAAGGACAACAGCAGCTGCACTCCGTCGGGCAAGGGCTCTGTCGGCGCGTCCGCGCCCCAGCGAGGAGCGGGCACGTGCGCATGCGCTGCGCACGCGCAGACCAGCAAGGCCGCTCCGCGCCGAGGGGCTGACATTGGAACGGAACCCGTGGGACCCGTCACCCCGCAGAGCCAGGGGCTGGTGGGGTTTGGTTTAAGTCGTCACAAACATGCGGAGACAAGGGGGTCACCCTCACCTGCCTGGCGCTGCTGTCTTTCCCCAGGAGGCCTTGCTGCATCCGTACCAGGTCCAGGAAGAGGGACTTGGAGAAGTGGTCCAAGGCGTAGGCAGTCGCCAGGTACGGAAGCAGACGCCATTGCTGCAGTGAACAGGACACATTCGTTAACACCACACGTTCACGAACGCATCTCCGTGCTCGCGGGGAGCCGACCGCCCTTCTCACTGTGGCCTTGGGGACCAGGAGGGGGCGCAGGCCTGGGTCAGGAGCTAGGACGCGTTGCTGCCCGCTGCCACTTAGCGTGCAAGGGCCCTATGAACCTCCGAGGGTTTCCAGGAGGCTCAGCCAGTCCCTCTCCCTCCCCCCACCCCAAAGGCATGGCTATAGGCACGTGGCCGTTTCCTAAAGGGAACGACTGGCACCGTGAGTATCCGTCCCCCAGGGAACTAGGAAAACCGGCCTGCTGTGCCCAGAGCACAGGACTGACTGGGGATGCCTGGTGCTTCCTGAGCATCAGACAGAAACCGGTAGCGGGGCTCGGTCACCTGTGCACATCCAGGTGCATGGGGGGCGGGGCTGAAAAGATCTGGGGCACAGTCACCACTGTCGCACATTGTCACCAATGTTAAGTGCCCAGCACTGTGCCAACTGCACCTCATGTGCCAATGTCTTAAACCCCACAACCGCCCCAGAGGCGTGATCATCAGCTCCAATTTACAGAGGCCGGAACCAGAGCCAGAGAGGCAGCGCTTTGCCCGGGGACACACGGCCGGGGTGGGGGCCTGGGGTCAGAGCCCAAGCATCGCGGCTCGCGGGGGCCCTCAGCCACTGAGCCACCTGAACGCCCGGGTGGTCAGGTGCACGGAGACCTCACGAGGGCCACGGGATTGGTGGGTGCAGCATGCGCTCCACGGGCACCAAGCGGGCACTTGGCTTTTCCTGAGTTACAGAAGGTTCATCATCACTGTGAAAGAACCAACTGTGACTGTTAAAACTTGCTGAAGGTTTTCTTCAACTGTACCTTTGTTTCTGTGCAGCGCGGCCCAAGCCCCGGGCCACCTGTCCGATCCTCAGTCCCCGCCTGTGCGCGGGGGGCTGTGGGGGGAAGACCACCCCCGAGGCGTGTGTGGCAGGCTGTTATCCGTGATAAAGCGTATGTCCCCTCTCCAGGTGACAGCTGGCTGCCCCACATCCGGGGACCTACGGGGCTAGTACCCCTTCAGCTACGCTGACAGAACTGCACACCCAGCTGCTGCTTCCTTCCTGGGCGGCATTTCTCAGGGGAGGATGGGGGATTCAGCGCCCCGGATACAGGGGCATGCCTCCCACCCCCCCACCCCCCCCACCCCCGCCACCGCCGCCTCAAGCAAGGACTGCGCATGCGTCTCACGGGGCGTACGGCTCTCCTGGCTTCCTCACCTGGGAGCGCTGTACAGACCCCTAAATAAACCTACTTACAAACAGCCTCACTGCCCCAGGGCTGCCACCTCCCTGGTGACGCTGCCCAGGGAAGCAGGTTCGCTCCACTCCCAGGAACCCACCAGCAGCTGCCCGGGGAGAAGTGGGCCGGTGTGCGCACCAGGAAGAGAACGGAACCGCCCAGGGAGCCTGACCTGCAGCTGGTACTCGAGGACGGGTATCTCCTCCCCGTCGCTGGGTCCAAACTGCCGCCGGGTGGCCGAGAAGCGTAGGGCTATGCACAGGGCCAGCTTCAGGTTGCTGACGGATATGCCCACGATGCAGACCCGGCCGGTGGACAGGCTGCCGAGGGACGCTCCCAAGCGCTGCCTGTCATCCTGCGGGAAAGCAACGGGGGGTGTCAGCTGGACCACAGCAGCCACGCCAGGGGAGAGGCCCAAAGGCCGTGGTGCTTGTCCATCCTTCAACACGGGCCCTGCCACCAGGGGGCGCCCGATACAGCCCTCCAGGCGCAGGCAGGCCTGGTGGCAGAGGTGCAGGTGCCATGGGCGAAAGCATTGTAGGACACCCGGGCGGGGAGGAGGCACCGGACACTCGGCCCCACGAGCAAGGGGGCCCAGGCAGCGGGAGTCTGCACGCTGCCCCCCGGGGCCCAAACCGCGGTGCCAACCAGCCTGAGGCCAGAGGCACAGGTGGGGACGCCCCCAGGGGAACAGCCCACAGCCCGTGTGTCCCCCGTCCCTCCCAGTCCCTCTCCCCAGACGACACCGTGTTAGGGGGGTGCCGTTCATCCGTGTTCTGTCCTTTTAAAGCCCATCATCGCCTCGTGGGGACCTAGTTGTAATCCCCACTCGGAACCTTGGAGCACCGGCCGGATGTCCCTCCGGCGGGTGTGGGCTTGCCTTGCCCAGAGCCTTCCTGGTGCCTGGTCCCCCACCCTCCCCGCCGCCTCCGCCTCTTCGGGGCTCGTTTCCTTATTTGGGCTTTTCTTCCCAAATTGCATTGCCTGCGGGACCTGTGTGGCGATCTCCACAGGCTCAGCCGCTGGAGAATGTCATGATCTAACACACAGGTGACGACGGCCCAGCTGGGTTTGGAAACGCATGCGGAAACATGGCTTCCCTGTTCCTCGCACTCCGTGTCCCGCGAGGAAGCCTGACAGAGCCGGAGTCTCGCCTCGCCTGACCTGCATCAACCCGCCCTCCACAGGGATCCCGGGGCTCGGGGCTCGGCAGTTCCCAGCCCCCTGCCCTGCAGGGAGTGCGCACTCCCATGCCTCCCGCCTCGGCCCCCTGCCCCGCCCCCCCCCCCCCAGTCTCCCGCTTTCCCCTCATTGAGACATTTGTTGCCACCGTTTCCCCAAGCCATCTCCTCCCTGCGTCCTCCAGCCCCGCTGCCTCTGGGTACCCCCTGCCAGGCTTCCCCAGCCTCCTGCTCGCCCTCCGGCTCCGCTTTCCCCACTGATGACTTATTTTCCCGTGAACGTGTAATTAACCGATCCTCACACGGCTGTCTTCCTTTTCAGATGCCCTGTGTCACGTTGCTGTTTCTCCCCCCGTCTCCAGGCATACTTGCCGCCCTGTGTCTGCGCCCAGGGCCCAGACCTGTGGCCCAGACAGGGTCTCGGGGCAGGGGGTTGGCGCTGGGGACACACTCTCTGGGTTGTGAGCTTGGGACGCGCCCAGGAGGGTGGTGAGCTTCTCCGACAGGGCTGTGTCTAGAGGCCACACCGCTGTGTGTCTGCCACTCAGTGCACTCCAGGGACACTGGGTCCTGGACACCTGACAACACGTCACCCTCATTTGCGGACCAAGCTCACCTTTGGGGAAACTCCCCGGGGCACAGCCCTATCGGAGGGGCCCCCGGACCAACGCTGTGGGCGGGCGTGGGGGGGCGGGGAGCAGAGGCCGCCGGGCGCTGTCGACCAGTGTCCGCGGTCACACTGGGACACGGGGCTGTGGCTGAGCCAAGCACCCACTTCCTTGTTGGTGGCACTGGGACCCAACTCGAGCGGGGTCTGCCTCCGGCCACCTGGCTCGGCGGCCGATCTCCCTGCGGAAACGGGACCTTACCCACCCGGAGCCCTTACCTTAACGTGGGTGATGTAGGTGCCCTCGGGGGTGACGTCTCCAGCCCGGTCTAGGAGGTCTTCGCGAGGAACCCTGACCTTGTGGAACACGGCGAACCTGTGGGGACGTGCGGGGCCTCAGGTCACCTCTGTTGCCCCCGACACCCGGTCGCAGGATGTGGAGGGCAGCTTGCGTGGTGGCAGAGCCCCCCCAGAGACAGAGAAGACGGGAAAGAGGGCACCAGGAGACGGGGCCGACCCACACGGTTTCCTGTCCAAAAAAATAGGTTTAAAAAGAAAAGGGGAAGCATGTCGGGCGGGTTTCCGTGCGAGACGAAGTGGCTGTGCATTGGTGTCTACTGAGGTCTGGTCTTGGGGCTACCAGGTGAGCTCCTGTGACACTGGCCCCTCCGCAGGGACAAAGGCCACTCCGCGGAATGCCAGGCCCCGCGTGCTCCTGAGGAGGCAGGTGTTCACCAGAGAAGAGGGGACCGTGTTCTCCAAGGCGGGAATCTCTGCTCCCACACCTGAGGCTCCTGGTGAACCTGCGCCATGGGGTCAAGTCAGCAGAGTGAGGCTCGGATCTCAGGCCGAACCCAAGCCGCCCGCCTCCCCGGCTTCGCGGGGCGCTCTGACCGGCCGTGTGGAGGCCGCAGGCCCCAGGCCATCGGATCCGATGCCCCGGTTTATAAGGACCGCAGGCTCGGTGCCAGCTTCCCCGGTGTGTTCCTGCTGGTCACTGGAAGCCGAGGGAGGCTTTTCAGGTGTGATTCTGTAAACTCAAAGCGCCCTTTGCAGGAGTGCGGAGCTGTCACCTGTCTTGCCGCACAGAGATGGGGCGAGCCTGAGCACATCTGTATGTTTCTATGTGCGAAAGCATGTGCGCGTGTTTACTGGCAGCGTGGTCTCAGCCCTTCCCGCCGAGCGCCGGGACACCACAAATGCCATCCCAGAAAAAGTCGGCTGGGGCTGGCGCAAGGCCTGAGGCCCGAGCCGCGTCCCCAGGGGCACAGGGCACGCGTGTCCCATGGGGGGGGGTGCCTGCTCTCAAAGCCCACCTCTCGCCCGGGAGCCAGCGGCCCCTGGGTGACAGGCTCTGGCCATTCTCAGGCAGGTCCGCGAGGCCCAGGGCCCGCCCCCCTCGGAGCCGACGCTGTGAGCGTCCTGGGCCCATGGCAGGTGTAGAGGCCAGAATCTCACCTGACAGGGTCTCGACTTTGCTTCTACAGTTACTTGCCTCAATGTATCCATCAAGTTCATGTTTGCCTCTGATGTCTACGGTCACCCCGCACACTCGGGAATTCTTGTGCAACGGCAAAATCTAACCTACCTTTTCAAGATACATGACTTCAGGCAAAAAAAAAAGAGACAAACTCAGTCCGTTCTAACACTGATGGTGGGGTCAGAGGGCGAAAGGGCTGCCGGCCCAGGCCTGCCACAGCGTGAGCACCCGCGGCGGCGCAGGGCGCGCGGCCGGGAGGAGGAGGGAGCTCGCTGGGGGCCCCGGAGGAGCCAGCGAACCCTCCACGGGGCAGGGGCCAGGCATGGCCACGCCCACCGACTCATCAGCCGGACACCGCGCGGCTCCCAAGGGCACGTGTCACTGGTCTGGTGGACCTGCTCTCAAAGCCCATGGGGTAGCCCTGTGCGGCCCACACGGGGCCCGTCTCCGGTGTGACGCCGGGCGTTCCCCGAGGGCCCTGGGGCACCCCCCCCTCAGAGGCAGTCTTCGGTCTCTAGCAGTAGGCGCCTGTCAGTGGGGGCCGAGAGCGGGGTCTGCGGCGACGCTCCGGGACGACATCACAGATTCGGACTTGTTAAACCTCACGCACAGCGGACAGAGGTGCCTCCCACGGGACGTGGCCGCGGGCGCTGCTGCGCGGCTGGGGGGGACGGCACCCGCAGCGGGCGCCGGAGGCTGCGCCCGGCCAGGCCTGGCCTGTAGCACAGCCCCTTCCCACAAAGGCAGGCCCAGCACACATTTTCCGGGTCCCAAACTGGGAGGCCAGATCTAACGGAGGGCGCTGGTTTTCAAAGTCCAGGACAAGACAGCGCCGCCTCCCCCGTGACGCCTCCTGCCCACGACCAGAGCCGTCTTCTCAGTCACCCCGAGCTGCATCGCCACCTGGTTGAGAGCGGAGGACAAGGGCCCCCAGCCACACGAAGCTGGGATCTGTGGGAGCCGCCGGCCGCTCAGCCTCCGTTATGTAACAGGCTCCTTGCACAGGCGGCCAGGGAGGCGCGCGACACCAGGGAAGCGTAAATTAAAGGGTTCTGCGTGTGCTCTCACTGGGTAACAACTTCCTGTTTTCTCCTCAAACTGGGTAAAATCTACGGCTCCCAGCCCTCCGTGGCGCCACCTAAGGGTCCAAGCAGAGACCCGAGACGCATCCCTTGCGCCTAACACCCCCACTTCGTGGGAAGGACGGGAAAGGAGGTCTCTCCGCACTCAGTGTCCACGGGGACCACCTGGTCTGGCTAGTCTCTCCAAAGCTGGCCTGCCTCCTGCTTTGTACTCAGAATGACTGGGGCCGGGACAACCAGCAAGGTCAGCCCATCGACAACAGGGTTCCTCTACCCTCTGCCTGTTCCAAAGCAGCAGGTGCATGAACGTGCCCCACATGCACACGCAAGGCCCTTGGCTGAGGGCTGTCCCTGGCTTGGCTCCCCCCACCTTATAAACTAGCTCACAGGAACGAAGGGGCAGAGCCCTCAGCCCAGCTCTCTGGGAGACAGTGTGCCGCACCCATGTGCTCTTGGGGGACACGGGCACAGGGCGGTCAGCCAGGAACACCAGCGCGTGCAGGCAGGACTGCCGAGGAAACGGGCCAGGGAAGAGCTCAAGGTGGGCCCAGGATTTGAACCCAGATCCTTCTGGTCCCAGCGTTCATCCTGGGTGCTAACATCAGCTCAGAAAGGCGTCAAGGCCCTTACGACAGGTTCTCTCGCACGCGTGTCGCCTGCTGAGCCCCTCACCCCGCCAGCCCCGGAGTCTGCACTGCGCGGCCCCACTCCCCGGAATACCGCCCCACCCCTGTGATCAGTGGGCACGTGCTGGTCGCTGCAGCCCCGGAGGTCGCTGATGGGGACCTCACCGCGGGAGGCCGGCCCCAGGCAGCGGCCCCGCCAGGCCACAGCTGTCTGCCCGGGGCCTGAGGGTGAGCTCAGCCGTTTGTCTTCGGGTCCTTCACACCTCCCGGCGTTGGAGGTGACGCAGGAGACGGCCCTCCATGACACGGCGCTCGGGTGTGGGGGTGAGGGCTGTGTCCCCGCCACATTTCCCGGGCTCCGCGGGAGCATAGGGGGGCGTGGGGAGAGCGCTGCGCATCCCCCTGAGATCACGGTGGGAGCGGCCGCGTGGCCTTGGCCTGGGACGAGCCTGCGCCCTGAGCCCGCGCCCTGAGCCCGCGGCCCTGGAACCGAGCCCACGGAGACGTGCGCTTACCCGTGGTCCAGGCCGTTCTGCCCGAGCTTCTTCCCCACGTCGCCCACTGTCACCCCGGGCATGGGGAGCAGGGTCTTCGGGTCCCGAATCTGTACCAACCACAGGACACAACAAACGGCAACTGCACTGAGCACACAGAACTCCAGACGGATTTGTTCAAACCCCCTGGGTCATCTGTCCCCAGGGCCACCCCCTTGGGCACAAACCTTCCTGCTTGTGACCCAGGAACAGGCTCCATCAGGCCCCCCTGCCAGACGCCACATCAGACCCCCAGAAGCACCCCCAGACCTGGCCGGGCAGTCCAGGCTTGTGGCGAGTGTCTCAGACGATGCCCATGTGGCCACTAGGACAGACAGTCCTCCCTCTACCCGAAGACCCGAGGGCCCCAGGGCCCAGGGCTCCCCAGCAGTGGCGCCCAATATTCGTGGCTGGAGAGCCCCTCCGCGGGCGGGCGGCCGGCCACCCTGGGCGCTGAAGGGTGTTGGCTGTATCCCTGCCTACTCACTAGATGCCGGCAGCGCCCCCCGCCCCCCGGGCGATGGCCTGTCCCCAGACACCGTCCCCAGGAGCGGGGCCCCACCTGCACCAGGAAGGGGTGCAGGCCATGGCACTGGCCGCCCGGCGTGTACAGCTGCGCGAACACCACCGCGTGGGTCGCCGTCTTGCCCATGTTGCCGACCCAGAACTTGGCGGCTTCAAAGTCGGGAGAATGTAGGATGAATTCCTGCCCCGGGAAAAAAGTTCCAATCAGCAACGCACACACGGAGGCCTCCTTTTCCTCTGACGCATTCTCTGCTCCAATTCTTACAGGGGAGGGTTAGAGCCGACAGACGGTTTTACTTCCCGGAAGGCATCACAGCCCCGATTTTACACAGAGCACATTCCGGGGGTTCCGGCTTGACAGAGGGCCTCCCTGCGGGCCCTGGCCAGCGGTTCGGCAGCTCAGAGCGCCGGCCCGACACCCCGAGGTTGCGGGCCCCCACTCCGGTCGGGGCGCACACACTCAGCCACCAACGGATGCATGAATAAGTGGAACAACCCATCAGTGGGTCTCTCTGTCTCTCTCTAAAATCAATAAATAAAAATTTAAAAAAGAAAAAAGAAAGGGCCTTCCTGTGGAAAATGATGCCCTACATATGCCCACCAGTATAAACATGCAAAACCGTCCGGTGGGGCGGAGCCCCGGGTCGCACGTTCACAGCGAGACCTTCCCTGACCACGGCGGGCTGTTCGGTGCCAGTCCCGCCCACCATTTCGCACCGGCCGGACCCCGTGCTGACTGCCAACCCGCGAGGTCTCCGGGCCGGGCAGGCGCGGCCTCACGGCCTCCATCTCCCGCGCCCCCACTCGCCAGCGCGATGGCTCTCAGTGCACGCTGTGCAGACTCGCGTGCGGGAAGACGGGTCTCGGGGTCGGATTACTTAGTCACTCACGGCTGCACATGGTTCAGGGGCTCGAGGCCAGAGCGCAAGGGGACGGGAGCACCTACCTCAGTGGTGGGGTCGTAGTGCGCGGTCGTCCGGATGGCCTTGGTGTTACTCCCGTGACTGACTTCAGTCAGAGCAAAACATCCAAAAATCTAACGTGGAAGCAAACACAAAAACAGGCAGCAAAGGCTCTTTTCCCGGAAGACCTTTGAGGTCTCAGAGCCCTTTATCCAGCACGAAAGCCCCAAAACTGCCTCTCCTATCTATCCGACCAGTGGGCTGGCCGCGTCCCCCTGCTGTGTGGGACCCCATGCCGCCCAGACGCGCTGCCAGCAGCCTCGCTAGGTCAGCCCGGTGGCCAGAACTGCTGCTGGGAAGCAGAAGGAAACTGGAGGCCTTTGTTTTGGGGAGAAAATGCTCCGTTCAGTCAGCACAGGGATTCGTCAGACCTGTGCCTGGAAAGTGCAGCGCAAACTGGGTGGGGGCAGCCCGCGCACCACCGGGCGCAGTGAGACCCCCGGGCCCCCGGCGGACTGCCCTTCCCACACACCTCGGGAGGACGGGAGAGACCGCTCGCCGCTCGCCGCCCGCCGAGACTCACCTCCATGCTGATGATCCTTGGGATATACTTTAAGTGTCTTTCCGAACCAGAGCTGTAAATCACTGACCCAAAGACCTGAAAAACATAACATCATCTGTACACAGGGGGAAGTGACTGAGTCCTGCTGGGGCGTCACTAGTGACAGGCATGCGAACGCCGCCACGCCCACTGGCCCCGCACCACCACACCGGGCCAGGCGGCCAAGGGCAGCCCCAAGAGGCCAACGACCCGGGCGCATGAGGCTGCCGGGGGTGGGGGGCCGGGTCCCATCCCACGCAGTTTACGCAAGTTCAACAAAACAACCCGGGACGTCCTGAGGCTGCGTGAGGGACACGGGACAGGACGGACAGGAGGGGGCACATGAGGGCCAAGGGGGCCCCTTTCCGCAGACAACAAGCTGACAGACCATGTGTTTTGCCAAGGTTTTTTGGGGGGAGGAGGGGTATAAAGCAAAAACGTCCCCCAAAGCGCGGGGCTTTGACTTCCCCAGCACTGTGTTTTCTCAAGGACTCAGGCATGCTGATTTGCACGTGGAGGTGGAAAAATCTATAGGTAGACCCCAAGACCTACCCCCACATTTTAATCTCTGCTTGTTTCCTATATTATTTTTATTTTTAAAAAGATTTTACTTATTTATTTTTAGAGAGAGGAGGAGGGAGGCAGAGAGGGAGAGAAACATTGATGTGTGAGAGAAACGTCGCTATGCCCGCTACTGGGGGCCTGGCTCGCAACCCAGGCGCTTGTCCTCAGTGGGACTCGAACAGGCGGCCTTTCAGTTCACAGGCCAGCACTCAATCCATGAGCCGCGCCATGGCTCGGGGCTCCTATGTTATTTTTAGAAATCTTTTTAAACATGTGTTTCCCCAAACACACAAACCCCCAGAAAACTTTAAAAGCAAGTGAACCCTAACACCCCCAAAACCACTGAGGCAGGGGTCTTCGCCCACAAGCTGCGTGTGTTTTCTGTACAGGACTTCTGGCCGCGGGAGTGGCCTTGACCCCAGGCAGCCCGGCCTTTCCTCTCCCGGGGCCACCTACTCACAAATGTGTCCAGGAATATCTTGGTGGCCAAGGACCAGTCGTACATGCCCAGACTGGTCACCAGCACCAGCATTTTGGACGGGTTCTCCAGCAGGTCTTTGGAGATAAAGAAGTCATACTCGAAGAGCCGCTTGCAACGCCGGAAGTTCAGCTCGCGGTACTGCTCCAGGGAGAGGTCACCACCCCTGTGGCGGGCGAAGAGAGGGTCGTTCTCCAAAGCTGAGAAGATGGCTTTCTGGAAATGCAGGAGACAGGAAAATGCGAGAGGCAGGAAAACGGTTGGGAGGCAAAGGATGGACTCTCGCCATGCTCTTACTCATCCAGGTTTTCTCGAGGGTGCTGACTCCATAGCACACGGAGTCTAACCCAGAACCGCCAGGACGGAGGTGGAACTCCTTCCCCGCTGAGGCTTAGGAAGCTTCCATAGCCTGGACGCCTCGACAATTCCCAGAGACTCTCCCGCCCCGGGGTGCAAAGGGGGGTCGGGCCTGCCCTGCGCCCCGGAGCAGCCGCACCTTACAGAGGCGGACACGAGACCCGGGGGAGCCGCGCAGCCTTAAGGGCACAAAGCCCCATCTTTGCCAATGAACTGAGGCGCCTACCAGGCCCCTCTGCCGGCCGGCGCGCCGTCTCACCTTAAGGCGCAGAACGTCCTCGCCTTCCAAGAACAGCGCCAGCTCCTTCCAGCTGAAGGACGCGCGTGCGCGGTAGGGCTGCAGGGGCCCGCTGGGGAAATCGGGGAGCAGGGCATCCTTGCTTCCTTCCGGGTTGGGCGCCATCACCTGACGTCACCCTGCACGACATGAACAGCCTGAGTCAGCGAGCCTCAGCCTATCTGTTCGCAACATCCACGAACAACTGTGTAAGTGCGGTGTTACAAACAAGAGAAAAACTCTAAAGGGGCAGCAAGAGAGAATGCCTACACTTAGAGCTAACATTCATTTTCCCGAAACCAAAGGGGAGGGGCGAGCTCCTTGTTTTCACTCCTAAACAAAGGTGACGAGGAGACGAACGGACGAGAGCAAAAAGCAGCGCCCCGGAGCACCAGCCAGCCAGGGTCTCCGTGCGCGGAGGGCTCCCAGATCCGTGCACTCACTTGGCAGTTTCCGCCCCGCCCCTCTGACGACGTCCTGAAAGTCCTTGAACTCCGAATGTTAACGCCCAACTCACCTTGGCCCCTGCCCCAGCCTGCCCTGCAAGCCCAGGTCCACCCTGCCAGTGGCACAAGGGTGCTGGAGCTCTAAATCCGGGTGTCACTCTGGAATTCCCCTCCCCCTCTTGCCCCAGAGCACCCACTCCCCTCGTGAACGCCTACTGAACCTTTGCTTTCTCTCCACCTCTATTAACTTTTGCATAATAACCTCCAAGTACTGAGCAATCCCCACAAGCAGGTGGATGTCTCTGTGGTGTGGCAACCTGATAGAGTGAAGTCCGCTGCCCAAGGACACACAGCTGTCATCAGGCCCATCTGACCCCAGGGCCCCTGATCCTAAGCGATCAGCAAGTCCCCTATTGCCCCATGCCACCCGCGGTCACCGACATTACTGTTGCAAGGAAGGATTCTGACTCCAGAGCTTAGGAGCCGGGTAAAGCCTTCGGTTCAGTTAGCAAGTCACTTCGTGCCTCTGCACCTCGGCAGTGGTGACGTCTCAGTAATCCTAGCCTAGTATCCAGGGCACCAGTCCTCCAATAACTCGCTTCCTTCAGGGTTGTGTCATTATAAGGTGGCCCAGACGCGCAGAAACGTACTCTGGTTTACAGCAACCAGCTATGGCAAACCTGGGTTCCATATGCTTCCCTTTGCTTAAGGCAGAACCTACCAGCAACTGCCAGCGACGTTAAGCGAGGACTCACTGGATGTAGCCTCTGAGCTGTTGCAATCGGCAGGAGGCGCTTGTAACAGTTCCCAGCACGGAACTGTGGCTTCCACAGGATCATTGTGTCAACACCTGCATCCAATCAACTTTCCTCTCTGCAGCCGGAAAGGTAACTAACTCTAAAACGAAGATTTGATCTCTCTCGCTCTAGGGGATAGCTGTCCTGAGACCTCAAGGGACTATGTCCTAATTCCTCAAAATACCTCGCAGGTCTACCCCCCGGGGCCGCCGGCCCTTGCCTCCGGCGTGCCCAGCAATTCTGCGAGGGCAGGGTGCGCACAGGTTCCCCGCGGGTGCCCCCGGCTTTTGCACGTGCCGCCGTCCCCCCGCCCCCGGGCAGACGCGGGCTCGACCTCTGGATCTCGCTAGTCACTCCTGTTCGCCGGGTCCTCACCGCTCCGCGCACACAGCAGACGCTCAATAAAGGTCCTTGGGGCGCGGTAGCCCTACTAGGGAGAGCCGAGCACGCGCAGAGGCGGACGCGGCCCAGCTGTCCGCTCTGCCCCGCCTCCACGCCCCCGTCGTGTCCTGACGTCATCGCGCCGCGCCATCTGCCTTCGTCGCCCGGGAAACGCAAAGGCGTCGGAGCGGCCTCCCCGCAGGGGCCGGGTACCTTGCCTGGATTCTCCCGAGCGCTTTCCAGGTGGACCCCGCACCAGAATGCCTGGGGCCGTTTGTCTAACTTGCGGATTCCAGAACTACGGAATCGGAGCCCCTAGGCTGGACATTTTCAAATTAGTAAGCACGTAAATTAATAAGCAAGCGCTCATAAAGTCGGAGAACCACGGAGGGTGCTCCCCGGGCCGTGAGAGTGTCCCCAGTGGAACAGAGCCCGGCTGCCCATAGCAGCAAACACCTCAATAACCCATTCTTTCCTAGCGTTTCTTCCTTCCTCTCACACTTTCCACTTCTCATTCTCGCATTTGGAGTCAGCGCTCTTCTTAAAACGCATGTGCCCAAAGCCTAGTCCCAGTCTCTGCATGGGGACATGCAAAGTAGGCCAGGCGCCTCCTAGGAAAGGTACCAGGATAGATTCAGCCGGGCCTGGCCATTTGCCTTACGAAGAAGGAGCCGTCGAAAGGTTTCCATTTAAGGGGCCTGGGAGACGGGCAGTGCAGTTATGGGGACGCGAAGGGTAGGTTCAACGTTCGAGGCCCGTCGAGGTTCAGAGGTTGGTGGGACACCTGGACGGAGATGTTCTGCTGATATTTGTCAGTTCTCTGCTCCTATTCTACTTTGAGATGCCTTCTCTTTCATTCTGTGACATTTTCCTTCACAGTTGTGACTCTTATTCCAAACAGATTTCTAATTAGGCGTGTCAGTGGGACTTCCTGTCGCAAAGCAGAAGGAAGAGACTGATGGACAAACTGGGGCCCTGCACGTGCCCCACTGAGCCTTGAGAACTGATGCCCCCTCTCAGGAGTGTTTCCAGCCAGGGGCCCTTCTGGCACAAAAGGGACTGGCCCCAGCGACGCCTGCAGTTCCTGGCCAAGAGGGGGCGTTGGACACAGGTGTCTCTGCTGAAGGTAAAGGCTCCATCTTGTTGTAGTCTGTGCTGTGCCAGACTTCGGAGCGTGGCACACACCGTGCAGCCACGCTCCGAAGCGTCCGGGATGGAGAGGCGGTCCGCCCCATGGCAGCAGAGCGGCCGGTTAGCTACAGGCTCTGTTCCTTGCAGGGTTTGGTAGGCAGAATAGAGCTGTTTCCCTATTAGACTGTTTTTTCCCTCCCGCCAGCCCCTTCCATCCTTGGGACCTAGCGTGTAATGGTTTGGGCATTCCACTTGGGTCTCTCTAGAGCTGCACTGTCCAATACAGTAATCTCTAGCCTCGTGTGACTATTTTCACTGAAGTGTGCACTAGTTAAAATGAAATGAATTGAGCATTCAGTTCCCCGGTTGCATCAGCTATTTGCACAGAAACCTCCCTTAACGTGAAGCCGGGAGGGCCTGTCGGGGGCGCTCTCACACCCTCCCACTCATGGCCTATTAAGCCAAACAGGAAACACCTGATTTCTTCATGTGGGGAAGAAAGGGAAGGAGCATTGGCAAGCAGAGAGATCCCTGAGCGAAAAGCTCCGGGGTGGGAAGGAGAGAATGAGCTTGGCAAGTTCCAAGAACAGGAAGGCGCCCGGGGCAGGAGCTCAGCGGGTGAGAGGAAGAAGAAGTGAGGTTGGAAAGGGAGGCAGAACCAGGGTGTGTGGGACGCTGGCAGCGGGAGCCAGGACGCAGGTTACATGTGTTCTTCGTTTAACGGGTGGGCTTCCAGCAAGAATATCAGCCCATGTAGAATCTTCCACCTCCCAAAAAACATTGGCCTCTGAATTTATGACCTCTCAGTGCGAGTCTTGGGGCTCCAGGTTTCTGCTCAGTGAAGGGTCGCTCTCTGCTACACCCAGATGATGTGCTGCGGAGTACCAAAACCACATCGGTCAGTACCGGCACACAGGGAGGCCTCACGGGCACAAAAGGGCTCAGCAACACTGGGGCCAGAGCCCAAGAAACAGGAGATGTTTGCAGAGAAATCAGAGCAGACCCTTTGCCCCGCTGCCATTTTGATTAGGGACATGACATGCCAAGCCAATGAAAAAATGAAAGCACTTTGCATCCTGAAATCAACTAACATAGGCAAGAATGCCCAGTCTAAGGCCAGTCCCCTAAGTCAATGAAGCCTTTCCTATAGGTTGCTAACTCCCTAATGAAGCATTGCTCTTGGCTGTGGTAATGTTACTTGTTACAACTGAAACACAAAAAACAACTTGTGCAGTGTACAGAGAAAGTACTGTGACTGATCAAATGTGTCAAAAGTGGGTTGCAAAGTTTCATGCTGGAGGTTTCTCGCTGGACGATGGTCGGGTGGACCAGCTGAAGTTGATAGCGATCAAATTGAGACATTTTAATTGAGAACAACCAACGTTATACCACGTGGGAGATAGCCAACATACTCAAAATATCCAAATCAATAAAGTTATTGGTGAAAATGAAAACTGTGTCTTTCATTTTACAGACTTTTTGGCCAACCCAGGATGTTCTTTGGATAATCTCTTGGCTGTGGTTACATTCCAGACATTGGTCGGCTCTTCGCTTTGATAAATCACATGAGTTAGCTTTCTTCTCTGACTCTGACAGCCATTTCTAGGCAACGACAAAACCCCAACCGAGGGACTAATATACAAAAAGGATGACGATCGTTGATGTTTTTGTTTCATCACTGGCTCCTGCAGACTGTGCCGGTAATGTTGGCTTCAACAGGCGGCGCCCACCCTTCCCTGCGGCAGCTGACACCTGACGTTAAGACATGCCCAGGGCTGCGCTGGGGCGCAGGAACACAGGTTGTGGCTGTCCGCACGCGAGGAACGAGCTTCCATAGGAGGTGTCATCTTGAGCATTCGTGAGCTCGGCTCTGTGACCTCGACGCGTCATCCGCACTGGAGACAACCCGATGCCGGATGCCGAGCTGATCCTTAGGATTTCATAAGTGCATCGCCTCCAGACTCTCCAAAGCTCAGCTCTGATCATGTTCCTAAGAGGCACCACCACGCCTGGAATGGATCGAAGTCCTGCCCCCGCCCCCCCGCCCCCCCGCCCCCGCCCCCGCCGCCGCCAGGATAAAGCAAAGGCTAAATTCCGCTGCCTAGAACTCCGCAGTGCAATCCTGCCAGGGAATCCAAGCTGGGAGTGGGCGGGACCGGGGACCGGGGACTGTAGTCCGCGCCCCGCCCCCATGACGCCACCCGCCTCGCCGCCTTGCGTCATCGCGGCGCGCCGCCGCCTGACTCTCGGCAGAGTCCGACCATGGCGGAGGTGGGCAGGGCCGCCGTGCCTGACCCTGGTTCGCTGCTCCCTGGTGGCTTCTGGGCAGCGGTGGAAGTGTGGCTGCAGAGGCCGCAGGTGGCCAACCGGCGGCTGTGTGGCGTCCGCCTGGAGGCACGGCGGAGCGCTGCCCTGCCCGGGATCGAGCAGGAGGCGTGGGCTGCAGCGGACTGTGGGTCCGAGGAGGGACTGGGACCCAGTCCGCCTTCCCTCGAGGGCGGCCCGCGCCCCAGGCCGAGCGCGAGCCCCGAGGAGCCCCAGGGCCGGCGCCCCCAAGGCGAGGACGGGTGGGAAGCAGCCGTAGCGCCTCGGCTCGCAGGGGCCCCGGGACACCCCGGCGAGGCTGAAGGCGGGGAGGGAGACTCCTCCGCCTCGGAGCTGGATTCTCTCTGGGACGATATTTCCCGAGGCCTCGCCGACGACCATCGGGAGCTGCTGGCCTTTCTCTCGGGCTCAGGGACAGGATTGCAGCCAGAGGCTCAGCGCGAGCTCGACGTGGTACTCAGAACCGTCATCCCGAAAGGGAGCCCGCTTTGCCCTCTCGCTGCGCCGAGGAAAGAAATCGTCGTGCAAGGTGAGGGTGTTTCTGATACCGGGAGGCGCCCCTACAGTCAAAAGCGGACGCGAGTTAACGTGGCAGGGATAGAGTTTAGTGACACATTTGTAATAGGAAGACGAGTGTAGATTGCGCCAAACGCTTACGATTTGTGACCAGGCGTTTTAAAGGGAGAGTGAGCGGGTCGGGGTTGATGCACGTGAGACCCACCTGGGTTCCTTACCTGGTGCACCTGGAAGTCAGCCTCCTACCCTCCCACCGAGGGGAGGAGCAGGTGGGCCCCAGCTTCTGGTGTGGGCTGGAAGAGTCCATCCTTTTCTCTTGAATTTTCTGGGGAAGGCATTTAAAGGGGCCCCGGACCATCCTAGGGATCCAGACTTGAGCTGTGAGAAACCACGGTAGCATTTGTTCAGGCATTTATGGGCCAACGTTGAGGCCAAATGAAGGGCCCAGAGAAGCCTGGCTCGAGTTTGGTCAAGAGGAGAATCTTTGTCAGAGGATGCAATTAGGATAAAAGCTTCCGTGGAACCTCAGGTCAGTGCCGAGGCACAAGAGGTACCCGCTGTGCCCGTTCCTCTGCGGCGTCCCAAGGAGGTTGTCGACCTTTCACTGTTCTTTGAGGGGCCTTGTAGAAATGTGTTCCTGTATACAGAGGATGGTCCCTGATTGGGGCAGAGTCCAGCAGGCTTGGGGGAGACGGGAAACAGCAGGCAGGAGTCTGGCCGGTGAAGGGCTGGGTGGAAAGGCCGGCCCTCTGGCTCTCGGACTGGGTCCCTACATCTCAGAGCCAGTGGGTGCCGGCCCTTCTCACGCTCGGAGCCTCTCTGCCTTCCCCTTCTGCACGGCTTCTGCCTCCTGCTGGAGAAGGTTCTTGGCTTTCGCAGCTTCTGCGTCGTGATGCAGACCACCTGTGCATTCCCTCACCTGAGGCCTGTAACCTGAACCACAGCTGCAGAGCCTTTTCTTGCCACGTTACAAGGTGGTCCCAGGTTCCGCGTGTTAGGGCGTAGACGCCTGCGGGGGCTGTGCTGTCTTCCCGAGAGCCAGGCTAAACTGCTGGTAGGGGCGCCCCCTCCCCCATTCCGTGCGCCTCTGTGGCCTGTAAGACTCCCCCTGGTGTCCCCTGCCCCGGAGGCCCTCTCCGACCCGCTGTGCCCGGGCGAGTTCAGGGGGCCTCCCAGCTCTCACCGACTACAGTCGCAGACTGGCTTCGCTGGAAAGAGGCAGAACTAAACGTTTCTCTTAGTGTGGACCCTGAGGAAGAACACGCTTATTAAGAAGGGCTCCTTCGGGCCAACTGGGCTCAAATTAAACAAACAAACCAAATCACCAGAGCCCCGCAGCCATGGATACTCAGGGGCGTCTCACCCACGCTGCACCTCCGGGAGCAGCCTGCGCTGAGCTTCCCGCCCAGCCACCTGCGCAGACCGTGTACCGGGGTCCCTGGGATCTTGTCCCATCCAGTCACAGCTGTGCTGCTCTGACCAATGAGAGTGGATATATTCTGACCAACAGGACAGTGTGCAGTGCCTTGTGGACCAATCAGACTATGGCGATCTGGAGTCCTCATTTGCATGAGGACAGACCAACCAGGTTCCAGGGGTGGGGCCTTCTGTCCATATAAGCCAGCTCCCTGCAGCGCTGAGAGCCTTTTCCCTGGAAGACTGCTGGCTGCTGTGTCTCCCTGGCTGAGTGGAAGCGCCAAGGCTGTCTCAGCGGAGAGGGGCGGACAGCGGATGCAGAGCAGAGTACTAGCTGGAGAGGAACCTGGCCCTGGCCGTGCTGCGTAAAGCTGGACCTGCTTTGCACTGAGTAGTTTCCTCCTTCCCCTCACCCCATACCGTTCCTGTGGCAGTGAGTTGGCACCAGGGAGCACGGACTGGCGTGGAGTTAGTGCCCGCCCACCGAGGGTGCCGTTTCTAAGCTGCGCCTGCCGAGGTGTGGGCCCAGGGTGTGGACGGGGGCAGGCGGTGGGGGCCTGCCTGCCCTGGGCCCCGCCATGAGCGGGCGGGGGAGGCTGGGTGCATTCCACCGCCTGATTAGTTACTGTTGGTGGTATTTTTAATGCCACTTCCGTGAAGGTGCTGAGCTAAGCTTTAACCTGTCTCACGTATGTTTTTTCCCCCCAGATGTTCTCCGTGGGACTGTAACTTTTTTACCTTTGGAAGAAGACAACAAAGGGGATTTAAAGGTTAAGATGAGCAACGTGTACCAGATTCAGCTCATCCGCAGCAAAGAAGAATGGTAAGAGCTGGGCGGATGATCGCTCCCGTGGTTCAGCCACCTCCTTAGGGAGCGGCAGGGCCCTGGGCTGCAGAGGAGCGCGGGGGGCTCCCCTCGGCCGGCAGGTTCGTGGGGACGAGCCTCCAGTTTTCACAGCGTGTGTTGTCGCAGCTGGGCCGGGCCTGCCTTGCGTGGTTGCTGCCCCGCGGGAATCGTTGGCCTCCACGCTCTGTGTGGCACTGGTTTTAGCAATGAACTCAAGTAAACTCAAGTCCGTTCATCACTGTGACTTACAACTTGGCTGGAGACTAAGCTGTTTATTTCCTGCTGAGGCCCACACGATTGTAGGTACAGTAGGTGTTTAGTACAAAACTCCCAGTTTAATAAGCTCCCTCAGTTCTGCGTGATGTTTGGGCCCGTACAGACAGTCAAAACTTAGTTTACTGCCACTTGATATTTTTTAAATGAGCAAGTCAGAGAAAGGGTGAATTCAGTGATTGCTGATGGTTTCCCGAGAGCCACGTCCGGTCTGTACGTTCTAGAACAGCCGTGGGGAACTTGTCTGTCCACCAGAACAAGCGTTGCGCCCGGCCTGTAGGAAGCGGCAGGAGCTTGGTCTGGGGTCAGGTAGACGTGGGTTTCCCCATTGGCGGTGACGTGACCCTGGGGACACAGCAGCCTCAGTGGCCCTCGGTCTCCCCACCTGAGAAACAGGCTTCATAACGACATCTGAGAGGAGGGCCCGGGCTTGGTGCTGCGAGCCGAGGCGTTCGAGGGGAAGACCCCGGGGCTGCCCCGGCACCGTGCCGTCCTGCGGCCCCCTCCGCTCCGCGTGCTCGGGCGGCGGTGAGAGTGGGCCCTGCGGTTTGCCCGTGCAGCCGCCCTGGCGGGTGCTGACCCACAGCTGCGCGGCGTCGGAGGCCACGTCTGTGCGGTTGGCCCGGCGGCAGTGGATGCGCCGTGCGTGTGGTGCGATGGAGCCGCTCTCCCTGCTCCGCGGGGCTGCTGGGGCTTGACGGCTGCCCGGCTCCCCAGCCGGGTAATCCCTGTCGTTGCCCTGCTGGGCAGCTGTTCTTTTGAGCACTGTCACGCCTTGGGGGCCGGGTAGTTCCCTCCTGAGTGGAGCCCATGTTTGGCGGCTGTTGTATGCGCTGCTGCCATGCAGCGCGGCCCCCCTCAGCCTTCGTCTCAGCGGTGTGTCTGCACCCACTGTGGACCGGGCCCCGGGGACAGTGGGGAGCAAGGCTCTAGGACCGGCGGGAGCTGAGGACTGTGAAGGGGATCGCGAGGTGCCATGGGTCCCTGTTCCCAGGTTCCCTCGTTAGCAAAGGCAGGGCTGTGCTGGCAGGGGGCAGGGAAGGCCCCTGAGGCAGGGTGAGTGAGGTGGGTGAGGGAGCAGTATTGGGGGCCCCTGGGGAAAGCAGGGGGCCCGGGAGGAGCAGGGGAGGCCTGGCGAGGTTCACCGGCCCGAACAGGGGCGCTCCCGAGGTGGAGGGGCTGCCGGGCTGAGTGTGTAGCGTCCTCGTCCTTCCCGGTGGCCGCCCAGAGTGTCTCAGTGGAGAGTCCGTGCGTCTTACGGGAGTGGGTCGTGTCCCTCTGGTGCACGTGGTGACAAAGCCTGACGGTCATCACTGTCGTCAGATGGACCGGCCACTTGCCCCGGTCCCTGGTCCTGACTGCATCTCTGTCCCTCTCCCCCAGCTGCTGGGGCTCCTGCCTGCCCCGAGGCCCCCGTGGGCGCCCGGCAGGCGCGGGCTCGCTCCCCTCCCTGCACTGCCCTGAGGCGCGGCCTCGGGACTGCGCTGCGACCCGGCCGTTGGCTCTGGGCTCCCGCCGTGGTCAGGCTGGCTGGGGACCCGGCCCGCACGCGCCGCCCGAGGGAGGGGCCGGGCCACTGCAGCGGGCAGCACGCGCGTCCCCTCGGCTCCGTGGCCGGGCCCTGGGCGTATTCTGGCCAGTAAACACTTGAACTGATGCGCTTGTGTCAGTTGCACCTGTGAGCGTGTAAGCAGCAGAAGGGTTAGGAAAGTCCACCGACACCCAGAAGGCAGTTAGCGGAGCAGGAGGTGAGGAGTGTGGTTACTCGTAGCCGGTCCTTCGGGTGGGCCCCGCTGGGCGTGTGAAGCACTTTAACACTTTGCGGGAGGAGAAGTGTGCCTTTTAAACGTTCCTCTCTACAAGGTGAAAATTCTGGGATGTATTTCAGATTTTGTTTTTGGATAAAATGTAACTGTAGCTGTTTTATTATCTTTTGGTAGATAAATGTGTAACTTAAAAATAAGAATTGTGACCAGCTCTGCTCACTCCTGTTTCTCTTATCTTTGAAGGTTCATATCTGTTTTGATTTTCTGTCCAGAAAGATGGCATTCGGACGGAATTGTCTACCCCAAGCCCGGCTGGCTGGGCCGCGAGCTGCTGGCCAGGCTGGCCCGGTGGTCCGTGGAGAGCAAGGGGAGTGGGTTTAAGAGCAGCCTGTCCCTCGTCCCCGTCCTGGAGTACAGCCGGGCCTACCAGGAGCTCAAGGAGAAGTACAAGGACATGGTCAAGGTAACTCTGGGGAGACCGCGGCCCCCACCCCTTAAAGGAGGGCGCAGGTGGAGCAGGTTTGCTCTGTGCCGCCAGCTCCCCACAGGTGCGGGCGTGGAGCCGGTGCGCCCGAGCCGCTCGTGCAGCTGCGTGTCCTGGCACCCTGGGGAGAAGGCCGCAGGCGCAAGAGATCAAAAGGGAGATACTTTACGTTAAATTGTTACTAAATCGCTGTTACTCTTTGGTATGAGGTTAAAAGTATTTTAACACATTGCGTACCGCTCACGGGTTTTCTCGTGTTTCGTGTGCCATCTGTTAAGGACCACTTACGAGTTTTCTTGTTTTTCACAAGCCATCTGTAATGGACTTTAGATGTCAACACACTGTCCACATCAAATGAAGCGATCTCATTGGTGGAAACCGTGCAGGTTAATCTACAAAAAACTATAATTGCATGAACCCACAAAGCATTGCAGTTACATAGTATTTTGGTCATTCGACCCTGGTGTATGTCTTAGAGATTTCTATGTGGTACGCAATGTATTAATATATGGAAAGTGCAAAAGTTTATACTTATAAAAAGGAAAGTTGTAACATGTCCTTTAGGTCTAAGGCACAGAAAGGAGGTAACGCACACGTGCCTCACCCCCAGCCTGAGCAAGCGAGACGGTTAACGCCGCTGGCCCTTCTCGCTGCTCTTCCCTGTTCACACCCCCTGCCCCCAGCGGCAGCCACGCGTCCTCACTGCCACATCTTGTACCAGTCACCTTTGCTGTGTGACAAAGCGCCCCAAAAGCCCAGGGCTTGGGACGAGAGCCCCCCCTTCCTGCTGAATCCCCATAGGTCCTGGGTTGGCCGACCTGGGCTCCCTCTCCCGGGCCCCAGCCAGGTAGTCCTTTACTCCCTTGTCAACTGCCTAGTGCCTTCCAAAGGGTACAGTCACGGTCGTCCAGCCTCTAAAGCTGCCCTGAGCGAGGTGGGTGCCCGAACCATCTGACCCGCCCTGACTGGGACGGACGTGTGTCCGCTCAGCGCCGGCCACTGGCTCGGCCTCTGCCGCCAGCAGCCCAGTCCGCACGGCATTTGTACTGAGAGCCCTGCCCGCACACCCGGCGGTTTACGGTTTTCGGAGCACCTGGTGCTCACCCCAGGTGGTAGTCGGGGCTTTATTCCGGCTTTATTCCTGCTTTACAGGCAGGGAGATGGGGACGGAACAGCTAAGCGACACTCAGGAGTGACAGCCAGCCACTGAAGACCGGGCGTGGGCGCACTGGCCTTGGGGCCGGCCCCTCGCTGTCCTCCCTCGTCTCGTGTCCGTCACCCTCGCCCGGGGGAGGGGCTAGGCCAGAGTAGCGGGGTGTCTTCTGTGAGGTCCAGGCACCTCGTCTCCGTGGCCCACACACGGTGTCGTGGCCTCCGAGTCTTGCCTCGGACGGACGGCGTGCCCTGGGCGGGTGCTGCGGTGCGCAGGTGGGGCGGGGTCCGTGCCTCTACGCGTCTTGTTGCAAGAGACTGTTTCTGCCTTTGGAATGAGTTTATCTGTTTTAAAACCTACTGTGTAGTAGTCCAGCCTGACCCACGCCTCAGGCCGGTACTTAAATACTGTCCTGTAGTCAGAGGTGGGAGACATCACGTGTGCTCTCGAACATTTTGTAGGTGTGGCCTGAAGTGACAGATCCTGAAAAGTTTGTGTATGAAGACGTGGCTATTGCCACCTACCTGCTGGTAAGAACGTGTCTGATCTAAGCGCGCAGGGCAGCAGCGGGCAGGTGCGCCCGTGGTGAGCGGCGCCTGTCAGACCCCTGGCTGAGAGTGTTCTGCTGAGGGGGCCAGCATCGGCTACACGCATGACGGTTTTCAGCCTCGCATGAGTGTTGAGCGAGTGCGTACTGGGCAGCCTAACCTTAGGAGCTGAAGCTGAACCAGTACTCGTAACCAGCAGTCAGCGTGGAGACCCACACGGCTTTCGAGGGCCCCGCTGCAGCTGCGGGCCCTGGCCCGGGCCGCGCCTCCCAGCCCCAGCACGCGGGTTCCGGTGGAAGGCAGGCCTCGGCCGGCTGGCGCTCCCCCGCGCTGGGACACGCCTTCCGACTAGCCCGTGTTGGTTTGTTTTTTTTAACCTCTCAGGTGTTTAGTCAAGGCATTTTCCAATTTCCTTTCAACTGTAGTTGTTAGTCTTTTTAGAAATAGCGTAATTTTGTTTCATTAACGTGTACAAAATGTGAAGAATACAGAGAAGGCATGAGGCAGCTCATCTCTAAAGCTGTTGCCCAGAGCGACCCTGTTGATGCGGCTCCTTGCTGGGAGAAGGCAGGCCCGCTGCCCCCGCAGGGTCAGGCGAGTGGGGCCGAGTCATTGGCCCCCCGCCCCCGCCCCGCTGCGCGCCGTTTGCGCTGAAGCCCGGGGCCTCAGTGGTCCCCTGTCCCCCCTCCCCCCCAGTTGGAGGGGACGCCACACTGTCTGTCTTGCTTTGTCCTGCCAGGTCCTGTGGGCGGAAGAGAGAGCCGCACGGGGAGAGACCGCCAAGCAGTCCTTCGTGGACCTGGGCTGTGGCAACGGGCTCCTGGTGCACATCCTCAGCAGTGAGGGGGTAAGGCCGGGCGCGGCCCTGCCCTGCCCCGCCCCGCCCTGCCCTGCCCTGCCCCGCCCCGCCCCGCCCTCACACAGGGCCACAGCGTGCTCTGCGGGCGGGGATCTGGATTTGGGGTCGGTCAGAACCGTGGATGGCAGGGGCTTTGCCCTTGAGGGGCCTCGGCTCAGGCTCAGTGGTCAGCAGCCGTGCCAAGCAGCCGTGCCAGCTTTTGCAGCCGCTACCTGTGCAGAGCTGCACCCGCCAGCACCCGCCAGCACCTTGGCTTTCCTGACAAGTCCAGGACGCAGGGCACGGTTACTGGGTCAGCCAGTGCAGCCAGCGGGGGGCTCAGCGGCTTCCCACTCGAGGGGACAGCTGGGATTGAAGCCCAGTGGTGACCCCGGAGCTGATTGCTTCCCCCTCGACCGTTGCCTCGGCCTTGGGGGTCAGACACATTTGTCCTCGCTGTGGAGGGCACTGTCTGTGGTGTGCGTCAGGCGGGGACCTGGAAGCATGGAGCAGGGGACAAGCGGGAAGGGGCGGGGCCAGGAAATAAATGCTGTTGCCCTGGGAGAGCCGAGTGTGGTCGCTGTGGGCTGGGTGGGATGCCCCCCGGGGACGAGGCTCCTCGGCTGCCAAGCAGGAAGGGAGGGGTCCGGCCTGCAGCCTGAGCCCGACTGAGAGTGAGGGGCCGGCCCCCTTTGCGGGCGGTTTCCTGGGGCTCCAGCCCACAGATGTCCCGTCCCCGGGCCCTGTGTCCTCTTGCTGGGAACTCGCAGCGCCGTGCATGGAGAGCAGGGTCCCACCTGGGCCTGGCGGGCGCGTGTGTCGCGTCTGTCGCAGGCGGTGACCTTTGTTCTCTGTCGTCGTTTCAGCATCCGGGCAGAGGGATCGACGTCCGGAGGAGGAGGATCTGGGACATGTACGGGCCCCAGACGCGCTTAGAGGTATGGCTCCGGCCCTCGCCCGCTTTCCTCACGGCTCCCGCCTCGTGACTGGCGGTGTAATGGGTGCGTGTCCGCGTGCTGGCCGGTCGGCCGCTCACCAGAACCGCGCAGGTTAGGCTGAGTGACCCGAGGTTTAGGGTGCGGGAGAACCGCCAGGCTCCCCGAAGCCGCCTCCATCAGGGCGGCTGCAGGGGACTGGCCTTGCCTCCCGGGGTGCGGGCGCTGCCCGGGGGCGAGGCGTCAGGTGCGGACGGGCACAGCGAGTCGGGACGGGGCTGGGGCACCGTGAGCTCCAGGCCAGCTGGTGGCCTGCGCTCAGCCCGTGACGGTGGGCTCGGCTGCCCCCAGGCCACTGCATCCCACGAGCCGCTCACATGGTGCCCCGCAGCTCTCCTGGGGCAGGTCTCTGCCGGCGGCCACAGGCGGCGCGCTCCATTGGAGGCCCCCAGGCCAGCCCAGGAGCACCGGGCGGTGGGGCCCACGCTCTCAGCTCTGGGTGCTGCAGACGCGGCCGCCCTTCCACCAGCTCCTGCTGCCCAGCTGCCGGGGGGCGGGGGGCGGGTCTCAGGACCCGTGTCCTGGGGTTTGCATGCACGGTGTGGCCGGGACGCAAGTGATGCTCCGCCAGGGGCAGGGTGCTGATGGGAGACGTGAAAAGAACATCAAGAGAACATTGGCATCTCAGTCAGCCATGGACCACGTGTGCAACTGCGGTCCCATAAAGGCCGCAACATCACAGCCCAGCTTGTTACCTGGTGCCGCGGGCCATACGGCAGCACAGCATGTGGACTTAGTACGGCAGCGAGCAGCTGTCTGCTGGTTGGTGCGCTTCCTGGGTTCCTTGGCTCCTTGGCATTGCCCTAGAGTCTGCACCCCGCCTCAGGGTTCGGGGGAGCGGAGTCTGCACCCCACCTCGGGGTTCGGGGGAGTGGCTGCACACGGCGGGCGCGTGGCATGGGGAGCGGCCGCATGCACTGCGGCGTCTCCCGGCAGCTCCGTTTTCCCTTGTGCCCGGTTCGGTCGCGGGTGGTTTGTGCGGCGACGCGCTGTGCGAGCTGGTCGTCTGGGGGTGCTGGGCTGCGCCGTCCTGGCGTGTGGAGGCGCGCTCCCACGCACAGGGTGGGGAAACTGCCTGAGGACGCGGTTCTCGGTGTATCCCCATCCTTAGGTGGTGCCTGGCTGTGTCCGACAGCAGCAGGAAGAGCCGAACGAGCCCAGAACCCTCAGCCACCCCGGCGGCTGGCCTCTGACCTCGGCCCCCGCGTGAGCCCCGCTGTGCTCTTGAGCCAGGTCTCAGACCCGCTCCCTCTGCCTGGTTTGCTTCTGGAGGTCGAGAGAGACGATGCAGAAACCAGGCTGGAGGAGCACTCGCCTCGGCCGCCCGGGGGCTCTGGACCCGCTTGGTTTGTCGTCGTGTCTCTGCCCACGGCCCAGGGCCCTGTGTCTGCCCTGTCCTCGTGGATCAGGACGCACTGAGGCACTTGCAAATCCCCAGGTCGGAAGGGTGCTTACGCCGGCTGGTGCCCGAGGGGAGGCCGCGTCCGTGACCCCGAGGTCTTACCCGGTTAACCAGGCTGGGCTCTGACTTAGGCGCGAGGTGGATGAGCTCAAAGGAGCAACGTGGTTGAGTCCAAAACTCCGGTGTTCGCAGGCCTGTCTTTGGGCAAGAGGGTCAGGCGGCGCTTGAACAGGCCCTTTATTCAGTCGCGGCCGCAGAGGAGAGCAGCCTGGCGTGGGAGCCCTTGGAGAAGGGCTGTGTTGCGAGTCCCCGGCCACCTGCCTCGGCCGTCCTTGCGGACGGGGGCCCCTCCGCGATGCGCGGCCAGGGTCTGCTCGGGGGCGGCTGCGGTCTGGTCTGGGGTGTGTGCTCGGCGCCTGGGCTTCCGTCTTGGGTCTGGCGAGCCCTGGGGCTGAGCGTGCGGGCAGGGCAAGCGCATATCCGCGCGCCCTCTGCTCCGGAAGACCGTGGCCAGGGCCCGTGGGGCGCCTCTGGGGACGGGGTGGTCCGGGCAGCCGCAGGCTAAGTGGGGACACAGCTTTGCTTCATTTTGCAAAAACCTGGTCTAACTGGAAGTACAGGAGGCTGTGGCGGAAGCACACCTGATTTTAGTAACAGCGCTGTGTGAGGATCAGTCTTCTCTCAGCGACGCTACATATGAACTAGGGCAGGGCAGCTTGCTGCACTCAAAACGCCAACTGAACCTCAGAAAGCAGGTGTGCTTTGTTGTCTCCGTGCTGTTGGCAAGGTAACCGTATGTTATGGTAATTGCTGATTATAGGTGTTTTTACTGCAGGCTCTTTAAAGAGACAAGTAGGCAAATTTAAATCTAGGATGAAGAAAAAAAAATAGGTGGGGATAAGTAGTAAATAATAGCAAAGCTTTATTCTACTTTTGAATTATGTGCTGTATTGTGCTGTGTATAGTGTGCACTTTTTCCCAAATTTGAGGGAAAAATAAAGGGGTGCATTATGCATGAGCTGTACTAATTCCCACAGATAATGTGAACTATACACGAGAATCCTAAAACGTGGGTGCACGTTGAACACAGCAGAACACAGTGTGTACGGGTTGAGCTGTGCTGTTTTCAACATTGCAATGTGCACATAAATAGAAGCTCATGTGCTCGCGAAGAAGCAGAGACGCCGTGGACTGTGGGCCCCGCCTCCCGCTGTGCCGCGCCAGGGAGAGCCTGGCACAGGAGCCTCCCCTCGGGCCACGGCCTTGAGAACGAGCGAGGGCCGTCACAAGTCTCGTCCCCGTTCCCGTCAGGAACGACATTGCCTCTCACTTCCCTGGGGATTCATTCTTCAACCTCAAAATGAGGATCTTTAGCTACGTGGTATTTTTTTTCAATTTTAAACGCGACTCACTTTTGAGACGGTTGATTTCAGTGACGAATGATGGTTGGTTCTTCAGCAGAAAGGCCAGTGTGTAAAGTTGGTAAATCCTAAAAAGCTCACCTCAAGCTTAACCTCAGAAGTAGCGGGACTGGCGAGCGAGCCTGTGCCGTGCGCTGCTGCGGGAGGCGATGGAGGCACGGCCAAGAGGCGGCCTGGCCTCGCCGTGTGCCCTGCCGCGGCCGTCGCTGACGGAGCTGCCCTCCCGGCCCCGCTCCCCCATCGCGCCTTCGCGCCTTCGTACGGTTTTGTAAAGCAGCTCGCATTCCGTTCTCACAAGGCGGTCGCTTCCTAGAGGCGCCGTTGGCTCTAGTGCGGGCCCAGGGTGGCCAGCAGGCGGGTGCCGGCCCTTCCGCGCTGCGGGGCCCGTGCCCCCTCTTCCCGGGAGCCCGGGCCACGCTCGGGTGCTCAGGGCGTCTGCGCCCTGCACTGCTTCACCCAACCTCTAGTCTCGCTTTTGTGTCTTCCTCTTAGGAAGGCGCGATCACGCCAAGTGACGAGACCCTCTTCCCCGACGTCGACTGGGTCCTCGGCAACCACTCCGACGAGCTCACCCCGTGGATCCCTGTCATCGCGGCCAGGTGAGCGGGGGCGTCAGCGGGGAGCGAGGCTGGGGACGCTCGCTGCCTCCACCTTGCCGGGCACAGCAGCAGCCATTGGCTGTGAGGCAACGGAGCCCTTGAAAGGCAGTCTGAAAGGGTGCTCTCTTGACTGTTAGGTTAAATTTAAAATCCCACCTGTCCTATAGTTTATGGTTGCTAGGAAAAACTAAGTTACGTATGCGGTTCTCATTGTATTTCTCTTGGGCAGTGCCTGTCAAACACAGGTGACTTCTGCCATATTTATATCTAAAAGAAAAGCCCGTCACTATACACATGCTTTGTAGTGGTGTTTGTTCTTAGCTTGCGGCGGGGGGTGCTCACGCCCCTGTATCAGGAGGCCTCGCTAAGGCCCCGGTGGCGCGGCTGCCCCGAACTACTTTCCTGCCAGGCCTCTGTCTCTGGGCCTCTCGTGAGCTGCCCCAGCCCCGGAGGAGGCGCGTGGGTGGAGGGCAGATCTGGTGTCCTCTGTGCCGCCCCCGCAGACCTCGGCCCCCAGCCCAGCGCAGGGAGTCCGCAGGGCTAACTAATGGGAAAAGGTTCTGCCAGAAAGTTATTAGCTACATGTTTCGCTGAAAAGAAACACTGTGCTACATCGTTTCTAGAAATTAAGTTGGGGAAGGCTGAGATTGACTTGGCACAAGAGGAGCCAGCCCCAGACCATACTTCCCGAACCACTGTGGCCAGCTGGCTGTCGGCTGAGCTTCCTGTAAGGAACCTGTTTTCTGACTCTGGTCTCTGTGCTGGTTGGTATTTTCGAAGGTCTTCCTACCGCTGCCGTTTCTTTGTCCTTCCCTGCTGCTTCTTCGACTTCGTGGGGAGGTACCGCCGGAGGCAGAGCACAAAGACTCAGTACCGAGGCTACCTGGACTTCATCCGGGAGGTGGGGGCGGCCTGCGGCTTCCGCGTGGAGGAGGACTGCCTCCGGATTCCCTCCACCAAGAGGGTGCGTCCGGCTCCCGGGGGACCGCACAGGGCGACGTGGTGGCGTTTGGGTGCACAGCCTGGGGCCGCGTCACAGAACTGTAGTGACCCCTCTGTGGGCGAGTGTGGTGTTCGGGCAGCACCTGCGCCCACGTCCCCGTCTCGGTCATCCATGGGGTTTGGGGGCCTTCTCGCCGTGTGGCCCCCTCCGCGGGGGCGTCCCAGCACTTACTCCTCCAGGCAGCTCTGCAGGAACCCCCGCCAAGCCCTGGCTCCTCTCCTTTCCAGAAGCGAGGCTGGCCCCCGCAGCCGGCCTCTGTCGGGGTTCCTGACCGGGGTCGTGCTGTCTGGGGCCTGACACGCTCCGTCCCAGCCCCCCGGGTTTGCCGATAATTGTCTGGAATTAAAGATTGTTTCTGGAGTTTGGAACCATTTTAAGCTTTCTTTTGAAAGCCTTATTATATTAACCTAGACTTCCCTGAAACGTAATTGGCTGGGGTCCCTCCCCGTGGCCCCGCCCACACAGGGCGGGCAGCCTTGTGCCTGGATGGCCTTGCCCCTGAGGGCCTCCTGCCGGGCGGCCTCCCTGTGCACGCGCGGGGGAGGGGTAGTCTGAGTTGTGCGTCCACCCAGTACCACCCGCTCGGTGGGTATCGCACACCTTCCCTTGCTCTGGAGAGGCTGGTAGGAAGGGGGCTCGTTCTCCCGTTCCCGCCCCCCGGACAGCTCCTCGGGTGGCCGTCAGGGTCCGCGTGGGGTGGGGGGTGCCCATGAGGGCTGACCTGAGCAACTGTCCAGCACAGGGCGGTGGCTGGCTCAGGGACCCAGGTGTGGGCTAGTGTGCATCTGCGCAGGTCTGAGCAACAAGCATTTCATAGGCTTTTGCTGCTGTTTACTGTTATGCCATTGGTACGGCTGTTAGTTTTTAAAGTAAGGACTTTTTTCATGACCATAGCGAAGCCTTTTGTGGAACTTGCACTCCAGAGCAGAATTCCACAGAGAACGCTGCAACGGTAGGAGGCTGACTTGGCTCTTCAAATGCAGGTTTGTCTCATTGGGAAATCCAGAACATACCCGCCTGCCGCAGAAGTTTCCATTGACGAGCAGAGGACCCAGTACATCAGCCGCCGGCGGGGCCGCCCCGGGAGCCCAGCTGGCGAGGACCCCGCTCTTGCCCCACCCCAGGCTGCTGCCGGCAGCGCTGGCCCCGGCGGTCACCCGGAGAGTTGCGGAGCCCCGGACACTGGGGCAGAGGGACGCTGGCTGCCCGGGTTTCGCCCCAGAGAGAAAGCTGAGCGTGTGCGGAACTGTGCCGCCCTCCCTCGCGAGCTCATTGACCAAGTGGTTCTGCAGGTGGCAAACCTGCTGTTGGGTGGAAAGCAGCTGAACCCGGGAGGCCCTCGCCGCGGGGGTGCGGAGAGCTGGCGACGAGGAGGTAACCGGCCAGCCCGCCCAGGGTGTTTGCTGGGTCTCCGTCCCCTGCAGGGCCAGCTTAGAGTGTGGGGTCCCTTCCAGCGAAGCGCACATCAGAGGCAGCGGTCACACACACACATTGCCCACAGGCTTGCCCCTGAGCTTCCTCGGGCTCCCCGCAGGGCGGCCGGGGCAGGGGCGCAACGCTCGGGTCCCCGGGAACCTGTGCAGGCGGTGGGCTCCCCGGGTCTGCAGTGAGTCTTCAGTCTGTAGGACGCATCCAAGCAGGTCGCAGGCCGCCGGGGTCGGAAGGGTCCCCTGTCCCCTGGAGTGTGCGATGAGATTGCCTAATTCTCCCAAGGGCCCCCAGATGCTAATCGGACGTGAGAAGAGGGAGGACGTTGTCCCCAGTTGTCCTCACGGCAGGGTGGGGGGTAGATGCTGTGTGAAATCGGTGGCATCCAAGGGTGCAGGGTCCAAGGATGTGTTCTGATTCTCTCTCTCAAAGCTGTTCCATGCGGTTCCTGGTCCCAGGCCCCTGAGAAAGGGCAGGCTCCCTCCTCCTGGTCTTCTGCCCGCAGGGACCGCAGCCAGCCGCCAGGCGGCGCTGTGGGACTGCCATCCTGGCCCAGCCAGAGCCTTGCCTCTGCGGGTTGGGGTCACGGGCAGAAATCCAGGACCCCGCCCTCCCCCTGCCTGTCAGGACTGTGCCTGGCTGGCCCTGTGGGTGGGACGGGCCCGGGAGGAGGTAGTGGCGGGTCCTTCGCGGCCCTGAGCCTGGCCGCCTTCAGCCGTGACTGTTCTCAAGTTTGTCTTCACTTCCCCCCTCCCGCCTCGTGTCCTTGTGACGTGGCAGTGCCATCGAGCATGTCCCCTTCACCAGGAATCATCCAGCCCTCCAGGGACCCCACAGAGCCCTGGCCGGTGAGGCCCTGGCCCGGGGGCTGACCCTCTGCCGCTGCAGGCAGCCCGAGGTGCCGCGGGGTGCTCTGTGGGTCTGACCAAAGGCCAGGCCAGAGTTGAAGGCATGCTGGGTGGGCGCCCAGGGTCCAGGCCTCCAGGGGCCTCTGAAAACACAGGGTGTGGCCTTTCGCCCCCCGGCGACCCTTTCCACGGCCGGGCCCTTTGGGCTGCCGGTCTGTGCCTGGGACGGAAGGCCCTCTCCTGAGCGAAGGCGGGCCCTTTCCCAGGCGTGGAGCAGAGTTGGGGGCCCTGGGGTTCATTTCTCACCCCCCGGCCCACTGCACACATCTGGGAACCGGGGCCGTCTTCCCTGAGGGGGGTCCATCGGTCCGGGGCTGGCCTGAGGCCTGCAGCGGCCCTCACACCCTGGCGAGCGCAGGCGTGGCCTCGGCCAGTCAGCCTGTGGTCGCACCTGCAGGTGGCCCTCCCCCGCGGGGTCACAGGAGGGGGGGCCGCTTCCCTAGCCTGCCCCAGGATAGGACCCTCCGTGCTTCCGAGCCCCACGTGACGGAAGAGTGAGGCTGTTCCTAGGCCTGGGGTCCCCCCTCTGCATGGCATGGCTGAGGGGGACATGGTGGGAGCTGGCAGTCCCTGCTCAGACAGCTGGGTCAGGACACGAGTGAAAGGGTCTGAAACCAAGGTGGCAGCGTGGAGCTCCGCATGCGGCCGGGCCGGGCCGGCGTCTGTTCTGCCTCCTCGCAGAACCGCTTTGAGGCAGCTCGGGCAGACCCTGAAGGCCGGCGGGCAGGCTGATTGTAGCAGCTGCCACAAGGGCAGCCGCCAGGCCTTTGGACCTGGGGGGCGGGGGCCCCCCACTGCACTGCTGGACGGGGGCCGGGCCTGCTGGGGCTCCCGGCACCGCGGCCGGGGCCCTGCCCGTGCAGCTCAGCTGTGCCCTGACGGTAGATTTGAGTGTCCGCGGTCCGTCCTGTTGGCACACTTGAGGGACTCGAGTTCCTAGAAATGGAGAAGCTGCTTGTGTCTGTGGAGCAGACGTCTAACAGCCTGTCTGTCATTGCTGGGGGAACCCCGTGTCCCACAGGGAGCCTCTCCTTGGCGGAAGTGGCCCGCATGCTGGACGGGGAGACCTTGCGCCGGCTGAAGCGGGAGTGCGGCGGCCTGCAGACGCTGCTCCGGAACAGCCACCAGGTGTTCGAAGGTGAGCGGGCTGAGCGCTTCGGTGCCTGTTTCTCAAGCAGGTGGAAGCTGTCCTGCCTCGCCTGCTGCTGCTGCTGCTGCGAGACTCACCCCTTCAGCTCCCTGAGCATGGCGAGTGGCCTGCCACGCGTCCCCTCCCCCAGAGCACCTGCTCCCTGCCCGCCCCGTGCCCTGGCCTTGCCGATGGTGGCCCTGCCGCATCTCCCCCATGAAAGCTGCCCACCCTGTACAGCTTTCCCTGTGCCCCACCGACTCGCCCCGGTGCTTCTGTTCCGTGTCTCCCAGCACTTGCCAGCCCCCACCCCGACCAGCCCATGGCCCCTGTGGGTGGGACGCGCTGCCGCGGGGCAGGAGGACAAAGACTTGGGAAGCGTGAGAGCAGGGGAGGGAGGCGCCGCCTGCCCCTTCTCACAAGGCGCTGCTGTGGGCAGGGCTTTGGCCGTGTGTGCTGTGCTGGAGGCTGCACGCCAAGGTGCCAGCCTCTCTGTCCGCATCCCCAGGATACGGCCGGGGAGACTGCACACCGCGTGGTAGGTCCTGCAGAGCATGACGGGCGCCTCGGTCGGGTTCCGTGGGGGGAAGGAGGTGACGGGCCTTCCTCGGGGTGAGGGAGCCAGCCTGGAAAGACAGAGCTGAAGTCTGCCCCGAGGGCGGTGACGCGGGCCAGGCCCAGCCCGGGCGGGCGTGCCCATGCCGGGCCCAGAGGTCGTCTCCGGCGGTGCGGGCAGCTGCCTGGGCCCCGGGCTCTGGGCCGAGGCCCCGCCCCCGCCCCCTTCGTGCTCCAGCCGAGTAGGGTGGTGGGGAAGGAGACCGCCCTGGGCAACGACCCACGGAGGCACGTGTGTCCACCCCTCAGTCTGTACACTTTCCAGGGGAGGTGAGTCCCGCTCTGGGACTGGCGAGAGGTCTGTCATCTCAGCTGTGGAGTGGGGCCTGGCCTCCGGGGAGGGAGGGAGGGAGGGAGGGAGGGAGGGAGGGAGGGGTCTGCGCCCAGCTTCGGCTCCTGTGGCCACCCGTGTTTCTCACGCGCCTGTCTGTGCGATCAGGGGCTCCTCACAGTTTTGAGGCGCACACCCCAGGGGTTGGTAGGAGTCTTGCCTTCCACACAGGGTGGAGGGGGTCCAGGCTCCCCACAGGTGGGGCGTGTTGTCCCCTCTGACACATCAGGAGGGGCCCGGCCCGGCCCGGCAGGTGCCCGTGGCCCCAGGAGGCAGAACTTCCCTTGGGGGTGACTCTCCGCGCTGTGCGCACATCTGCAGCTCCGTCCACAAGCTCTTGAGTGGGAGGGCTAGGCTCCTGCAGGGAGCCCTGTTATTTCTCCCGCGTGTCTGGTCTCCAGGCTTCTGGGGGAAATGGGATGCACGCGGCTGCTTTGGCCTCATTTCACAAGGTGGCGGTGGTGGCTCTCGGGAACACGTGGCCGAGTGCAAACTCACAGCTGCTCCTCAGAGGAGTGGGGCAAGCAGCTTGGGAGCAGCTGACGGCTCCCCGGCCCTCCCCGGCCCTCCCCGGCCCTCCCCGGCCCTCCCCGGCCCTCCCCGGCCCTCCCCGGCCCTCCCCGGCCCTCCCCGGCCCTCCCGCCCTCCCCGGCCCTCCCCTCCCCTCCCCCCCCGGCCCTCCCCTCCCCTCCCCTCCCCTCCCCGGCCCTGCAGCTGCCCAGCTCTGAGGCTGCCCAGGCCTCTCCCTCCCCCACCACTTTTGGCAGGTCTGTGACCCTCACCCTCGGTCACCTTTGGGGGCTCCCGTGTGGAGCCCCGCAGCCCACCCCTCGTCTTCCCCTGCCTCGCCTGTGCTCTCGGGTATGGAGATGGGGCGCTGAAGGCCCCGTGCCACCCGGCAGGGGGTACGGCCGTCTGCTCCAGCCAGGGCCACGCTGACGGTTCCCGCACTGGGTCTCCCACATACTCGGCCTGGCTTCCCACAAGCCGGGCCCCGGGCCCCAGGCCCCAGGCCCCAGGCCCCAGGCCGTCACCTCCTTCCTCCCCCGTCACCACTTGCTGTCTCTGCCCTTTGCTGGGGACTCAGGCCACAGCCTCCCCGCCCCGGCGAGTTCAGGACACCAGGCTAACTTCTGTCTTTCCGTCCCGGACCACAGTGGTGAGCGGCAGAGTCAGCCTCCGCGACTGGAGGGAGGAGACGCAGCAGGAGGAGCAGCCGCCATCAGCCAAGCGCAGACTGCGCTCCGAGGCCTTCAAAACCCGCCTCTGCTGGTTCTTCACGCACCACCCTGACGGCTGCGCGCGGCCCTCTGCCCGCTGCCCATTCGCCCACGGGCCCGAGGAGCTGCGGCCGCCCCCCCACACCAAGCAGCAGCAGCAGCAGCAGCAGCAGCAGGCCCTGTGAGCCGTGGGGAGCCCCCAGGAAAACCCGTCCCGGCTCCCACAGGCTTGGCTTTGGTGTGGGCAGTGCACGAGCCGTCTCCTGCTGCGCCCTCCAGCGCCGGCCTGGACGGGACCAGGGACAGAATGCCTCGCGGCCAGGAGGAGCCCGAGGGGCCGGAGTCCCTTGCACACCGCCCCCAACCCCGGGCCTGGGCCTGTTTTCCTGCAGGAGCTCCAGTGTGAGCAGCCGCGTGCGTCCGAGGGCAAGCAGATCCCACGCATCCGGGGGCGCAGGGGGCGCAGGGCACGCTGGCCCGGGCCTCGGGCTGTGCGGGGCCGGCCGAGCCGCCTCGCTCCCGTCGCCTGCGCGGTGTCCTCCCCCACAAGCGCTGTTGCTCTGCTGAGTCCGGGGCAGACGTCCTGGTGTGTGTTTACTAAAATTGTTTTCACAGTTTCACACACAAGTCACACGGATAGACACTGTTGCGCCTCTAGTTTCCCAGGGCATGTACCATGGCAGCCCCTCTGGGGTGGGTGTTTGCAGTTCACCCTTCAGTGACAGGGACCCAGCCCCGGGTCGAGCAACCCACACCCCACACCCCACACCCCACACCCCACACCCCACACCCCACACCCCACACCCCCACCCCCGCGGGCTTCTACCTCATCTCAGCAGCTCTGCCCCCCGCGTGTGGGTGGCCCCTCTGGCCGGGGCTGTGGTGCGCCTGTGGACTGCCCCCGGAGGCGGCAGGTGTGGGGCCCCTGAGCCCCCACCCCCGGGGCTCTGCACAGACGGCCCGGCAGCAGCCCCGCTCTGGCCCGGGAGCCCCCGGCCTCCGCCTTCTGCCTCCGCCGTGTCTGATGAGAAGGTAACCGGGTTTGTGTCGCTGGGCCCCTCTGTGCAGCGTGTGCCGATTCTCTCTGGCCGATTTTAGGGAGTTCTTTCCATCTTTAGAATTTGGCAGTTTTGTATAATGTGCATAAACTGATTGTTTACTTACCTTGCTCAGGGTTTGCTGAACCTTGTAAGTCCCCAAGTTACTGTTTTGATCCAATTTGGAGAAAAAAATCAGCCAAGATTCTACAAATAATTCTTTCTGCTCTATTTTCCCCTAAAACTCCAGTTACACGTATGTTAGACCTCCTGACCCTGTCCTTCTGCCCCTCTGGTCATCTGGCTGTTTTAGTGTTATTTCCTGTGGACCTCAGTTTAGGTGATTTATATCTTAAGATGTCTCTAAGTTCATTGGTCCTTCTACTGCATCTAATCTGCTATTCAGTGATTTTTTTTTTTTAAATTTTAGATATAGTTTCTAAGGTTTCTAAGTGGTTATTTTTTATTTTTAGAGAGAGAGGAAAGGAGAGAGAAAGTGGAGAGAAATATCAACATGTGGTTGCCTCTCACACCCCCCCCGCCGGGGACCTGGCCCACAACCCAGGCTCGTGCCCTGACTGGGAACTGAACCTGCGACCCTTGGGTTCGCAGGCTGGCGCTCAGTCCACTGAGCCACACCAGGCAGGGCTGCAATTGGTTATTTTTTTTATATATATATATATATATATATATATAAAAATATATATATAAATTTTTTTTAAACAATTTCTCTGTAGCGTTCTCTCTCTAGCCCTTACCCTTCTCTGCCAGGCCCCATGTTTCACTCATCTGTGAGTCTCTCTTATTGATTGCTTTTCTCTTAACTGTGAGTCACACTTTCCTGTTCCTTCATGTGACTGGATTTTGTTACTGTTGACGGCACTGTGTGTAGGGACTTCAAATTCTCTGTCTGCCTATGAAGAGAGCTGTTTCGCTTGGTGCCCGTTGAGTTAATTTAACTACCGGTGAGCCTCCGATGTGGCGGAGGCTGGGCGTTAGGCACCAATGAGGCTGAAATGTCTCCGCTTTTCCCTAATTCCAGTTCCTCATTCTGCACCCCTGCAGCCCAGGGGCAGACCTTCCTAAGGTGGACCTTTCTGGGGGCGCATGGGAAGCCAAGGGTCTCCGGCCCCCGACGTGGCAGGACGTGAGCTGCAGGCTGTCTCCCCGCGGCCTGGGCTGCAGGCGCTGCTCCGCTGCTCGCTGGCCCTGCCCCAGGCTCTTGGGCTCCGCCGGCCCCTGCGCACTTCAGGCATCAGAAGAGGAGGCCCCCCCACATCTGCACATAAACCCCCGCGATCCTCGGCTGCCGTTGTCCCAGGTCCATGTCCAGCATGGCGGCCGCTGGCCTCTAGCCACTTGGAATGGGGCTGTTGCAGCTGAGGAATGGACTTTAATTTTGTGGTTGTCATTCAAATTGAAAGAACCACGCGTGGCTGGTGGCTGACGCGTTACAGTCCTCCAGACCTTTGCCGCTCAGAGCATTGGCCTCACCTGGGCGTTGGCTAGAGATGCGGGATGTCGGGGCCCACCCAGGAGCTCCAGCCACCACCCCAGGCGGCGGACCGCAGGCTGGGCTCCACCGGGCTCTGCAGGTGGCCGGTGTGGATGCTGACCCCAGCCTTTCCCTGGGCTGCTTCCTCTCCGGAAAACCTCCCTCCTTGCTCCCTTTTCAAAACCCACACACACACAGCTCTGGGAAGCCCATCACCCGCCACCTTGGCCGAACTGTTGGTGGCCTAGGACCAGGCCCGATCACCTGACCCTGGGGGCCAGGCCAGAGCAGGAGCCTCACTTGTGGGGGAGCCTGGACCGGAGCTGGGGGGCTCGGAGGTCCTGAGTGGAAAGGCCGTGCCAGGGCTGTGTACCCGCTGGCCAGGAGCAGAGAGCGCTGCCCGGAAACAGCCTTGGTCCCGGCCTGTCCCGTCCCGTCCCGTCCCGTCCCGTGTGTGCACTGAGGGCCAGCTGATCACCAGCAGGGAGGGGTAGTTGGTGCTTTTGCAGCCTGGCTTCGTTGTCTGAGACGTGGATGCAGAGCCCTGGGGCCTCCCTTGGGGCCCTGGGGGCGCGGAGGTCTCAGCTGCGGGCTGTGTGGCCTCATCCTTGGCGCCTGGAGGAGGGCGTCTCATCACTCACTCTCCACGGGTGTGAAGGCCCTGGGCAGCAGCAGGGCTGTGTGGCTCAGGTGCGCTCCGCCAGCTGTCAGGCCCTTCCAAGGAGATCTGAGCCTCAGGGGTGGCGCCTGCTGGGCACTGCGGGGAGGACCGAGGCTGCAGAAACATTTCCAGCAACTGGGGGCCGGGCAGGGGGAGGAGGCGCGCCGAAGGGATTCCTCCTGAGCCCTGTGCACCCCAGAGAGAAACACCAGCAGAGTCCCTCCCGTCCTCAGCTTGTGGGGCGTGGCTCTGGCACTCCTGAGGCAGAGCCTCGACGGAGCCCAGCCCCGCGGGTGGGAGTCAGGGCTGTGCAGAGTCAGCGCTGCCCCAGCCAGGGCACACGCGGCGCCGGCTTCACCCGGCTTCACCCCGTCCTGGGCTCCGCGCGTCACACACTGGACTGCTCTGCGAGGCTGGGGCTCCGCTGCCCAGGGCGGCGGGCACACTTCCTCTGCAGCCTCCTCCCAGCGCTGCTGCCGCCTGCTGGGCTCCCGAGGCTCCGCAGGGCCCAGCTCAGAGCCCTGGAGCCTGTTCTTGGCAGGAGGAAAACCGCAGCTCACTTCCTCATGCTCTGGGGGAAGATGCTCCGCTCATCAGGCTCCTGAGGGCTCTGCTGCAGCGGGGGCCTCGTCAGCGTTTGTCGGGCTGGTGGCCCGAGGGGCTGCCCTCGCAGAGCTCAAGCCCAGGGCTTGCGGGATTGGGAGGCCTGTAACCACGCCCGCTCCCTCTGCTTTCTGGCTGAGCCTGGGCAGGGGGCCGGCTGATTCCTCACAGTTTCCACCCCTGGCGCTGAGCCTGCTGCCCGCGAGGCTGGGGCCCCGGGCTGGGCTCCCCACCCTCGTCCTGTGGGCGCAGCCCAGCGGCTGTGTCTGTGTGCTGTGAGCCCCTGACCCTGGCCGGGCCACACAGCTCACCACGGGAGTTTGAGCTCCGAGGGACACCTTGGCTCGTGCGGGACTGGACACGGTCCCCGGGTCACGTGGCAGCGACTGGCTCTGTATGTACCGCTGCCCGGAGAACAAGACGAGGCCCGAGAGGAGGGCCCGGTTCTGGGCGGCCCCCGCGCAGCGCTCTGCGCCCCTCGCCCCTCTCCCGCCCCGCCCCCCCCCTTTCTGGCTGAAGCTGGAGTTGGTTTACTGCGACTGCAACCAAAAGCAGTTCATCCTCGGCACGAGACCGGGCGCAGCTGAGTGTCCACAGTCTGCAGGCGCCTTCGCTGCCCCCGCCCAGTGGTGCCCCAGAAGTGCCCCTCAGTGCCCCCTGGAAGCCGGGGCACGGACCTGAGCCCCCGCCTCTGCAGCTCGGGGCAGGGGGAGCCGCAGGCCCTGTCCGGCTGTGGGCTGCTGTGGGGCCGCTGGAGCCCATGGGCCCGGAGCCCCCCCAAGTGACCGGACGCAGGGGGAGGCCTCCAGGGAACCCGAGGGCCAGTCTGAGTGGCCTTTGGGTCGGTGCTCAGGAAGCCCCCGGGGGCAGGGAAGCCTGTCTGCCAGGCCTCGTGGCCGAGAGGTGCAGCTGGCACTGACCCTGGCCGTGGGGTCGCGGCGATGGGGACAGCGGCTCTGCCATGCCCACAGCGCAGCCCCCTTGGGGGGGCTCCCAGCACTTGGCTCGCTCTGGCTCGGAGCTGGTGCCGTCCCCTCCCGAGCCCCGGGTTGCTGACCTGTGAAGTGGGGGAACAGCCCGCTGACAGGCCGGTGACTTTCCTGACTCCTCGAGCCGACGGACAATCTCCTTTGGGACCTGGCTGCAGGAGGGGACCTGCCAGCCATCCCTGAGCAAGTGACAGAACAGTGAGGGCTTCCAGGCAAACTAGGAAACAACAGACAAATCTGAGTTTGTTACCAAAACTCGAAGTCAGTCTCACCCCAGCGCTTGCTTAACACTCTGGTGTCGTGTCCCCCCCGCCGCCCCCAGCCGGGCCCCAGGGAGGTGGGAAGGGCGGGCCGGGCCGGAAGGGGCGCTGCCTCGGAGCCGGGGCCCTCCTTGGTGCCCAGATGTTTCTCTGAGGCAGGGCAGCTGAGGGACTGGCTGCTGACCGCTGGACCCCCGCGACAAGCGACACGAGGCGACCGCGGGCAGACTCTGGTCTCTTCTGCCCCCAGGCTGTGAGAGACTGGCAGTCTCGGCCCCCCTATGCAAGCAGAGCCTGAGACAGGGGCTCCGGCCATGTGGTTCACTGAAGGCGCGCAGAGCGGGTACCACTGGGTGGCCCTTGGCGCCTCGCTGAGCTCGGGTGGGGGCGGAGTGTCCCCCCTGCACCAGGGCAGCACGGTGGGCGACTTTGCAGAGCCAGTGAGGGCGGGGGCGGGCGGCGCTGGCTGCCGGGGAGCCCTGGTGGGGACACCGAGGGTTCCTCGTAGTGGCAGATCCATCCCGTTTCACCGATGAGGGTGCCCAGGCTCCGAGGTCAGGGGCCGGCACAGGCCCCAGAGCACGTCTGATGGGCAGAGCCGGGCCCGCGTCGCTCAGGGAGCACCCGCCGCCTCTGCGGTTCGGGTCTGGGCGCCGGCCATGGACCCTGCCCCTCGTTCCCGCACGCACACCTCGCGGGCCTGGCCCGGGCTCCGGGCGGCTGGCGTCTTCCTCGTTGCTGTCCCCGCCCCCCACGGAACTTGGTGCGGTGCCACCAGCTGCAGCTGAGTCGTGGGGACCGGCTCCCCCCGTGGGACACGCTCTCACCTGCCTGGCCCCTGGGGGGGGTGGGGCACCAAGTCTTTTAGAAGAAAATGTAGGGCAGCATCTTCCGGACTCGGGGGTGGGAGGACACGCAAGGTCGAACCCTGAAGGACGACACCGTGCGTTGGACATCAGTCCACCAAAAACTCCATCAAGAGCGTGAGCCGGCACGTCACAGGGTCCATGTCAGCAGCGCGTGTGACTGATGATCCGAACCTGGGACATGGGGAGCCGCCACAGGTCACGGACCTTCCCTGCACGCACCTGCGGGGAGCGGTGCCCGTCTCTGCCCCCGTTACCCGCCCGCCCTCCCACCAGGAGCTCCTGAACCAGGCGCAGGCCCTGTGCCCGGCGCCGTGTGGCCCTGGCTGGGTCCCTTGTGGCAGCAGCAGCAGCAGCGTCACCGTGACGGTCACCGGCACTCTCAGCAGGCTGGGCCCTGAGAGACCGCACATTCCTCGTGGCTGGTGCTGAACTCTGGGCAGGGGGGCGGGGGGAGGGTTGCCGATGGAGCCCCCGATCCGGCTGCCCCCTGCGAGTCCCCTGGCGCCAACAGCCTGTTGGGGTGCTGCGCCTTTGAGGAGTGTGCCTTCGGGTCAGGGGCCGTGGCTGGGCTGGGGGCGCGGAGGGCACGGGCCCTGGGCTCAGGCTCGCCGGCCTTGCCACGCGCGCCCCCGTCGCTGGGTCAGGCCTGGCCCTGCCCCGCACAGGCCGGGGCTGGGCCGCACCCCCGGGCTTTGCAGGGAGGGACGAGCGGGGGGCGGGGCGGGTGGCCAGGCTGCTAGGTGTCCTGGGGTGGGGGCCCGGCAGGGCCTGTGCGCCCCTGGGGACTGACGGCAGTGGGGGCAGTCCCTGCCAGGGGTCCTCCCCACTTCCTCTCCAGAGCCCCCAGAGTCACGCCTGCTGGGGGCCGGCCCCTCCGACAGTCTGGCACCACGGCTCCTTCCCCGCACGGCCTTCTAGGAAGGTCCCACGCTCCCCGCGGTGGCCTGAGCCCAAGGCCACATCAGCAGCAGGCCCTTGGCGGGGAAGCGGCCCGGCCCTTCCAGCTTCCACGAGGCACACACTTCTGGCCGGATGGGAGGGCGGGTGGGCGGGCGGGTGCCTGGGGAGCAGTGCTCTTTTCGGGCAGAGAAGGGAAGAGTGACTTCCAAGAACTGAGTTGGATTCAGGAATCTTCCTGCCTTGAAAATGCCTTTTGCAGGCTCTGCCCACAGGAGCCACGGGTTCTGCCCCGGCTTCAGCCTGGGGCTGGTGGGGGGAGGGGCGCAGGAAGGCCCCCCCCCCCCCCCCCCCCCCCCCCCGCCTGCCCGGTGCTGCCTGAGAGCCGGTGGGTCTGTTCAGGCCACTGCTGTGCGCAGCCCAGGCCGCCCCGCCCCCACCTTGCGCGGCCCTCCCAGGGGACCCTGGGGGAGTGGGGGCAGGAGGAGGAACCGTTAGGGGTTCCAGGGAGGCTGTGCAGTCCCTGCTGGGGGGCCGGGTCCAGCATGTCTGCTTGGAGGGGGCTCCTGTTTTGTAACAGATCCCAATGGGCAGAGCCTGCCCGCGTCCCCAGTGTCAGGAGTGAGAGGGAGGACGTCGCGGCAGATTCCACGCCACTCGAGCGTGTGGAAGAGCACAGTGGCTTCATGCCAACGAGGCCCCTGACGCCGCCCTCGGGGGCGCCCCCTGGAGGGCCCAGGCGCGCGGGGCGGGGCGGGGGCGGGGCCTGAGCAGTGCTGTGCCTGCCAGGGGGGTGGAGTCGGTGGCTGGAAGCCTCCCCATAAAGAAAAGTCGGGCCCAGGTGGTTTCACTGGGAAATTTTACCCAAAATTCTATCAATTGTACGCAAACTCTCCTAAAAAATAGAAGAGGGAGAAAAATTTCTCAACCCGTTTCAGATGGTTAGCATCTCCCTGACTCCGAAACTCGGCCAAGACGCGACAGGAGGAGGAAACCACAGACCAGCCCCTCGTAGGAGGACAGTGCAAAACTTCTAGTACGTTTTTAGCTAATTGAGCCCAATAACATGTAAATGCGACAATGTGTCATGACCGAGGCAGATTCACCCAGGAGGCAGGGCTAGTTCCACATTTAAGGAGCAATTGGTGTGATGTGACACATTAAGAACCTAAAAATGACACACACACAGCCCCCCAAAACACCCACATGATAACCTCAACAAAGGCAAAAAAAAAAAAAAAAACTTTGACAAAACCCAGCGTCTATTTTTGATAAAAGCCCGCGGCGCGCCAGGAGCAGAAGGGGCTTCTCCAGCGGATGAAGAGCGCCGACCGGCCTGCTGTCCCTCCACGCTCGATGGACAGGCTGAACGCCCCGAAGGGCCAGGCCAGGGCCGGGGCCGGCGGGGCCTGAGCATCGAGCCGGGGCAGCGGGCGGTGGAACGCAGCAGGTGCGGGACTGGAGGCGAGCAGGCGGCCGCCTCGTTCACGCCCACCAGGGCCTTCCTGCTGCGGAAAACCTGCTGGAAGCTGCCAGGAGCGGCTGGAACCGGCACACACCGATAACCGGAGCTCAGCCCTGTCTGATGGGATGAGGCGTGGCGGGCCGTCTCCCGCTCCGCTGTCCCCGAAGAGGGGCTCTCCCTACCCACCCCGGGCGCCGGGCCCACGCCTCCCGCAGCCCCCGCCCAGCAGCCTCTCGCCCTGCAGGGGGCGTGCTCTGCGCGCAGCGGGGCGGGGGGGCCCTCTGCCCTCGGTCACTCCGGGGTGCAATGTGGTTGGTTTCTCCCCGGGAAGGCCTGCGGGGGCCATGGTGGCTCGTGGCCAGGTGGTGGCCTAACCCTCGTGGCCGCACCAGGACACCGTGCCTGCTGCACACCCGAGCCGTGTCCCCCCTCAGCCCGCCCTTCCGTCTGCCCTAAGCGAGGCGCGGGGCTGAGGCTGCGTTCCCGTTGCCGCCCGCCCGGCCCCTGTGTCCGCTGGCTGCAGCGCTGGGCAGGCAGGAGGTATGATGCGTGGAGACCTCCTCGCAGAGTCCCCGGGGGCAGGCCCTGCCGTGACCCTCACTCTGCAGATGAGGCGATCGAGGTACAGAGACGTGAATGAATGAACGGACGATGGACGGATGGAAGGGCAGTCTGCGACCAAAGCCGGGCCCTTGGTCATGAGCTGCCCCGCCTCTGGCGTGAGCGGCAGGGCCGGTCCACAGGGGGCGCGGGGGGCAGCGGGGCGCGCAGGCCTCAAGCTGTGCAGCAGCGGCACCAGGCCCCGCCTCTGTGACCGGCAGACGTGGCCCCCCCCTCCCGGTTCTGTCAGCGACTCCCTTAGCAATGGGGCCCTGGGCAGCACCTCCTTGTGGAGGGCAGGGGCCCGGAGTCCGCCCCCTCACGCCCTGCTCCCACCCCAGGCCTGGGCACGGAAAGGCAAGGAAGTCTCGCTGAAGGGCTCAGACAGCATGGCTTCCCCGTCTGGGCCGGGAGTGCAGGAGGCAACGTCAGAGACCTGCGTCCCAGTCCTGAACCACCCGCCTGTGTCCCAGGGGGCGACGGGCCTCGCGTGCCAGCCGCGCCCGCCGCACTACGCCCTCCCCGCTGGCCTGGGCTGGAGCGTGCTTCCCGCGGGGCCGCCCAGGGCCACCTGGAGAAGCGCTCTGCAGAGCTGGCCAGCGGCGGGGCCGACCTTCCGCTGCGGGCAGAAGCGCTGGGCGGCCACGTGGACCGGGGCCCGTCCAGCCACGTCCAGGCTGCCGGCCTCTCCCGTGCACAACCCCCTCCGCCCCTGAGCCCAGGCCAGGGCACGTGCTCTGATCGCCCTCCCTGGGAGGCTGCATCCATCCGCCCAGCAAACACCCCCACCATGGGGCAGACCCGGTTTCTACCCCAGCGGTCTCGGCCCAGTAGGGGGCAGACAGGAGAGAGGCCCTAACGACTGCGTTGCAGCGATTGCGATGACCGCCTGCTGGTCCTTCCCAAGGACAGGGCGCTCACACGGGTCGCCTTTGGTGACCCTGGTTTTGTGGACAAGGAAGCCGAACTCCGAGAAGGCGAGGGAACGGGCCGAGGGCACACAGCGGGAAGGGAAGCGGACTCTGACCTGTGACGACTGGCCGCGATGTGTGCGTCCCTGTGTTTTCCACTGTGACAGGAGTGTGGAGCAGCCGCCATCCCGGCCCCACCTCTGCACAGTCGCCCCGGGGCCGAGAGCACACGCCCGGAGTCGGTGAACCGCAGTCGGTGCGGGAGGCCCGCGTGGGACAGCTGGCCTCGGCTCCTCGTGTCGTTCAGTGCGGCTGGGGCGGGGCTCTGGCCAGTGGGGCTGGACTGACCGCTGCTCAGTCTGGCCAACCAGAGTGTCAGAGCCCTGTCTCACGCCACATGCAAAACCGAGTTCTGGGTGGGTTAGAGACCCGTCTAACGGGAACAAAACCCCTCCAAGGAAGCGAGAACGCCCAGGAGAAGGTTCCTCTGCTCTCGGGTTGGGGAGGGGTGCCCTGACCAGGACCCAGAATGTCCGAGCCAGACAGGAAAACGTTCACACATGCCACAGGGTGCCCACGGCAGACGCAGGGGTGGGAGCCCGGCACCCGGGACACGTGAGCGCGCCCCGCGCTCCAAAAGCAGCCAGGCTTCCTGCTCCCGTCCCTCGCTCACCTGGCTACTTATCGTTCGCTCCTTCGTTTCACTCACATCCGGGCCGACGTCTGGGCCCTCTTGTGGGGCGGCAGGACACGGGCTGCCCGGGACCAGCACCTCGCCCGAGGGCTCCTCCTGGGGTCCTGGACGCTTCATGGCCGAGAGGCTCCTGCCAGTGCTATTCGGCGCCATTGACACCTCTGGGGTCTGTCCCCGAGATGTCTGTCATGGACCCATGGCAGGCGCAGAAATCGAGAGCCAGTGTTTGGAGGATTTTACGGCATCTCCCAAGCACCTAGACACACCAGCTCACATGAGTCCCACGTGATGCGGGCCATACACCATCGCCCACAGTAGGACCACATTTTGGCCTGGGGTGGATGGTTCTTCCCCACAGACAGTCTTACAAGTGCTCACTGAAGTAACCCTGCCCCAGGAGCAGGGTAGTCAGGAGGGCTTCCTGGGGGAGGTGTCTCCCAAGGAGCCAGAAGCTTCAGACCCATCTCGATGCAGGGAGCCTGTTGCTGCGGCCTCCGTGCCTCCCCGTGGGCCAGAGAAGCTGCTGGGTCCTGGTAGAGGCCAAGGGCAGCGGAGAAATCAGGACAGAAGGAAGATACGTTTCCCTGCAGACTCAAGAATGTGCTGAGCAGGAAATAGTTCTGGGAGAGTTCAGCGGGGCACCTTGTGGAATCTCAAATATGACCAGTTTAAGAGGAAGGCAGGCTTGTGTTCTCGCCTGGGAGGCCAGGGAGGCCTGGGGTTGGCCCGTCTGGGTTCGGATTCCACAGGCTTGGACTCCCAGGCCCAGGGCCGGCTCCAGGGCGGGAGGTTGGCAGTGGTGGGCGCCGGAGGAAGGGGCTGAGCCCAGGCTCACAGCAGAGAGCAAGGGCCGTGGGGGCTCCGCTCCTCACTCCTGGGGAGGGGCTGCCGCGGTGACCCCCGCGACCCGCCGCGGGCGCCCGTGGGAGTCTGGGGCCTGGACGCAGGGACCACGGCACATGGCCCTCAGTGTCTCCTCTAGACACCTGGTGCCTCGCCCGCCAGGAGGGACGCCAGGCAGCCTCCTAGTGGGCGCGGGGGTGGGGCCCGGTTCTGGTCTGGTGTGCACGGTCCGGGGGGGGGAACAGCCCTGGAGTGTGCGGGTCTCATTCCCGGGCTGGAATCATGGAGCCTCCTATTTCTGTATCTTCACTTGTTGCTTCTAGTCATGTAGCCCAGGAACCAGGCCCGGAGCGAGCCTGTGGCTCGTGCGGGGGAGCCAGGGTGGGCCCTTCCGTGCGCCCTGGGCTCCCTCCCGGTGCCAGCGTGCGCTCCAGGTCAGGGCGACTGTCCTGCAGAGAGCCTGGGCGCGGGGGGGGGGGGAGAGGGTAGCTCACCTGCCTGACCAGGCGGCGGGCGCCCAGAGAGGGTGCAGAGGGCTCGTCAGCCACAAAGTCCTGTGTGCGGGTACACGTTTCTAGTGAAACAAAACACAAACAGTGACCACCTTCCACCTTTGCTTAACCTGGGGGTCCCGGGGTGTCTTCCTTCCGAACCCGGGTTTAAAAAGCGTTTCGTTCTTAATTTCAACACATTTTGTTGCTTCAGTCACGCTCCAGGCTGGTTGCCGCTTCGGCACGTCCCGCGTTGGCACTGCTCACACGTGGGTGGACCTGGGTAGGCCGCGGCCCAGCCACGCAGAGCACCCCTCCCCCACCCTGACCCGACCCCCGGCCCTGACCCCCAGGGACCTGCTCTCCGTCCCCACAGCCTGCCTTTTCCAGGACGTCGTGGAAATGGAGGGAGACACCGCGTGGTCTGCCAGAGACCTTGCGGGATTGGCTGGAAAGGTGGCCAGGGCGGCGGGCCCCGGTGAGGGGCTTCCCCCGTTGCCAGCCGGCCAGCGGCTGTCCCTTTGCTCCTGTCCCTTCTGTCGCATGTCACGGATGTAGCCCCGTTCCTCCCGTTTGTGTATCAGCTCACCCAGCGGAGGGTGTTTGGGTCATTTCACGTTTGTCTTTTGTCAAATTCAGGGAGTTTTCAGCCATTATTTCTTCAGATTTTTTCTGCACCACCCTGTTCCTCCTCACCGTCCGGGAATTTGATGACGCAAACAGTAGGCCTTTTATTATTTCCCCACTGGTCAAGGAAACATTCATTTTTCATCATTTTCTAACTGCACTTTTCATTGAGATGTAATTCACATAACATAAAAGTTACCATTTAAAATCTCCAGTCGGCCCTGGCTGGTGCGGCTCAGTGGATCGAGCACCGGCCTCTGAACCCAAGGGTCGGCGGTTCGATTCCCCGTCAGGGCACAGGCCTGGGTTGTGGGTCAGGTCCCCAGTGGGGGGTCTGCAAGAGGCAACCACACATGGATGTTTCTCACTCTCGTTCGCCCTCCCTTCTCCTCTGTCCAAAAATAAATAAATAAAATGTTTTAAAAAACAAGTCTACACTGGAGTGGCCTTTAGGACAACATGTCACCGTTGCCGAGGCACCCCCTACATGGGCCAGCCCCCGCAGCTGCCCGTCCGCTGGGCCTCAATCGAGTTGCCCATCCTGACGGTCCGTGTACATGACGTCATAGAGCGCGCGGCCCTTGTGACCCCCGTCCCTCACTGGGCATCAGGCCCTCAAGGCTCAGCACGGGGAGTGGTGCCGGGGCCTCGGTCCGTCCGCGGCCGAGTGTCGTTCCACCGCGTGGCTGCACCGCACTTAGGTCCGCTCGCTCGCTGATGGACATCAAGGTCGTTTCCACCCTGAGGTGGTGGTTAGTGATGCTGCTGTGAACACCCGGGTACAAGGCTTTGCATGAACACATGTTTTCAAGTCTCTTAAACTAAACCGTATACTAGGAGTGAAATTTCTGGGCCGTGGAGTCACCCTCTTTTCAACCCTCCGAGGCCCCTCCGCACTGTTTCCCACGGGAGCCGCCCCCGTCTGCACCCCACCAGCCGCGCACCGGGGGCTCTTCTGTCCGCGGCCTCGCCGGCACCCGCTGGGTTAGGGTTTGGCTCCCGCCCCGTTGCGGGCGAGGAGTACGTTTTTGATGTGCATTTCCCTGACGGTTAGTGACGCTGAGCATCTCTTCGTGTGCCTGGGGACCTTCTTTGGAGAAGTGTCTATTCAGATCTTTGTCCATTTTCAAATGAATTATTTGTCTTTTTATTGTTATATTCTAGATTCTATATCCTCATCAGATATATGATTTGCAAATATTTCATCTCGTTCTGGGTGTTGTCTTTTCACCTTCTTAACGTGTTCATTGCAGCAAAAGTATTTAATTTGGATGCAGTCCTACTTATCTATTTTTTTTTCTTTTATCGTGTATGCTTTTGATTTCACATCTAGGAAACCGTTGCCAAATCTAAGGTCACAGAATCTTGCACCCTTGTTTCCTTCTAAGAGTTTTACGGCTGTAGCGCTTACACTGAGGTAGGTCTTCGAGTTCGTTTTCGCGTTGACTTTTGTCGACGGTGTGAGGCAGGGGTCCAGAGAAACGACCTTTGTGCCCGCGGACAGCCGGGCGTTCCTGCGCTGGTGGTCGAACAGGCCGTTCCTCCCCCGTGCGTGGCCTTGGCCCGTGTGGAAAGTCCATCGGCCGTAATTGCGTGGGTTTCCCCTGGATTCTCAGTTCTTCTCCGTGGTCACGTGTTGCTCCTCGTCCCTGCACCACGTCGTCTTCGGGCCTCCAGCTTCACGGGAAGTTTGAAATCGGGACGTGCTCATCCTCCAGGCTCGCCCTCCTTCCTGGAGATGCTGCGGCGCTCCGGCCCCCGTTCCGCTTCACGGGGCCTGTGGGATCAGGGTAGCCCTTTCTGCCGAACCGGCCCCTGGGGCTTTGATTGGGATCGCGCTGGAGCCGCAGGCCAGTTGGGGGGGGAGGGCGGGCATTGCGTCCCTGACCGCACACTGCGCCTCACGATCGAGAACACAAGGTGTCTTTCCACTGATTTAGGTCTTTGCTTTCTTTCAACACTGTTTTATAGTTTTTGGTATACAAGCCTTGCATTTCTTTGGTTAAATTTATTCTTCAGGATTTTTGGTTTGTTTTAATGCTCTTGTGGAATTGTGGAATTTTCTTAATTCCATCTTGGTATCATCTGTAGCTAGTGGAGGAGAACACAGCTCATTTGTGTGTGTGGATCTTGTAGCCTACAACATTTTCTCAGCTGTGTATCAGCTCCAGGAGGATTTGGGGAGATGCTTTTTTTAAAATAGATTTTATTTATTTATTGTTTAGAGAGAGGGGAAGAGAGGGAGAGAAACATCAATGTGCGGGAGATATGAGAGAAACATCAATGTGAGGGAGATATATCAATGGGTTGGCTCTTGCGCGCCCCCCACTGGGTACCTGGCCCACAACAGCGTCGGGTCTCCGCCGTGGCAGGCGGGGCGAGCCCTGGGCTCTTCATAAACACCGCTGACCAGGTTGAGCAGGTTCTCTCCTATGCCTGGTTTGTTGAGCGCTTTCATCATGATGAAGTGTTGGATTCTGTGACCATTCTAAGACCTCTCGTTTGCACAGAACGATCTGCTCGCTCTTCAAGTTCTCTCATTCATACTTCTGTCACTTCTGCCACTGAGTTGCTGAGTCGACGAGTTTATTTTGATCACTGCCTTTTTCAGTTCTACGTTTTTTATTTGATTCTTCTTCCTACCTTCTATGTCTTTGCCTAGACTTCCTCCCTTTCTGTTCATCCCAGCAGGGTTGGCCCTTTCTTCTTGGGTTCTTTTTATAACCCTTGCTTTAAATGTGCCACAGACAATTCCGACTTCTGAGCCGCCCTGGCCTCACATCTGTGGGTGGTCTGTTCCCACACACGTCGAGGTTGTCCAGGCTCCTTGGGTGCCGAGTAATTGGGGCTTGTTCCCCGGGCATTTGGAATACTACGTTTGAGGCCCTGAGTCTTGTTTAAATCCTATGCAGAATACTTTTGTTTGAGCTGGCAATCAACCCCGGGGGCCCGCCCACGAGTTCCCAGTGGCCTTCTGTGGGCCGGGGCGTTCGCACCGGTTCCGTTTCAAAGTCTCTGCAGCCACTTGTCCTGAGTGTGCACCGCCCAGTGGCCAGTCGGGGCCTGGGAGGGGGTCCCCCTTTGCTGAGCTCTCACTGCCTCGGTTCCCTGCTTATGGCCAGATCCACACGTGTGGAGCGCCGGGCGAGCCTGGGGTTCAGAAACAACGTATGAGGTGGGGTTCCAAGCTCCTCCTCCTTCCCGATGTCTCTGGGATTCCCTGGCTTTCGGGGGCTCCCTCTTCGGTCTTTGGCCGAAGGCTAGGTCTCCGGTTGGCCACATTGGCAGCTGTTTCCTGGGGCTGCGCCCCGGTCAGGGCCAAGACGCAGGGGGACAGGAAAAAAAGCCAACGGAGTTGGCTCCCTCCTCCTGGGGCTTTAGGTCCCCTGCTTGGAGAGGAAGGTGGCGACACCTACACCTGCGGGTTCCCGTGGCCTCGGCCGTCAGCGCGACCTCTGCTGTGGCCTGGGGCGCCCTCCCTACGCCCGCCTGCCAGCACGCACGGAGGCTGGCCGTCCGGGGCTCTGCTCCGGGTACAGCCCCCACCTGCTCCTCCGCTGCCCTCAGCCAGGTGCCCCCTGTGAAGGCCGCTCCCTTCGCTGCTGAGCCCCCAGCTGTGGGCCCGCCTGTTCACCTGGCAGCGGCGGGTGCTCCCGCACCGCGGCGGGGCCCGTGCCAGCCGCCCCTTTCCGGGGGGAGAGCTGCCCGCGCCCCCACTCCTCCTCCCCTCCTCCCTCCTCTCCTCCTCCCACCCCCTTTCCTCCCCGCCCTCCCCCGTGCCCACACGGCGCTCAGTCACACCGAGCGCAGCTCACACGCCCAGCCTGGCGTTTCTGCACGCGCATCTCCTCTTAGACCTGGCGACCTTTAAGGGGAGAAGCCTTAGAAAACCAAGGCTCCGAGAGGCTAAGGAAGTTGCCCACGGCCGCCCCGCGCACCCTGGCCGAGTCCGTGCCTTGCACCCTGCACGGCAGGCCTCCCGCGCAGGCCCTGCCCTCCCCACCCCCGCCCCCGCTCCCGCTCCCGCCGGGGCCCCGCTGATGGGCGGCAGGTGTCTGGGACACAGGGCAGCCCCCCCCAACAGCCCTCCTGCCTGCCCCGCCTCCTGCCTTCCTGCAGGTGCGGAGCCTCGCGGGCACCCTTGTCACAGTCAAATGCCTGTCGTCAGGCCTTCCAGGTCCTCAGTGGGCCCCCGAGGCCCGGGTCCCTTTGGTGCCACTTGCTTTGTGCAGCGCATGCCCCTGCCCCTGGTCCCACACTGCGGAGGCCCTCTCGCCCTGCCCCCCGGGTGCCCCAGCCCCCAGCCCCCAGCCCCCAGCCTGGGCTGCGCCTGGCGGGTCTTCTCCCCTGTGGGTAGAGTTTTGACTTTTGAATGAGTTCCTCAGAATTGTTCCTCATGCGCCCACCACCCACGCTTCCTTTCCCCGCCGCCCGCCGCGGGCGCAGCCATCCGGGATCCGCCCGTGACACCTCTCCCCACTCCCACCCCAGGCTTGGGGAGGGAGGGGCACCTGCACTCAGCAAACACCAGCTGTGTGCTCCGTGTTGACTGTTTCCAACTTGTTCTACACTACGGTTCCCTCCCAACCATCCTAAGATGGTGGCAGGTGAAGAAATTGAGGCTCACAGAGATGAGGTCAAGTGTCTGAGCCAGGCTCAGGGCCCGCCCTGCCGGATGCCGGCTGCAGACACCGCGGCTGCGTCTCCCACAGGCGGCCCCTGAGTCAAGCACAGGGCTCCGTGGGGGCCGATGGCTGCGGAGTGCCCAGTGAACGTGGTGGCTTAGGAGGCGGGCCCTGGGGGCGGGGCTTCCAGGGGTGGGGCTCTGGGCTGCAGGAGGGAACCTGCCCTGCGCCTCCAGGGCCTCCTGAGACCCTCTGGCCCCAACCCCTTCACCATCCCGGGCTGCGGCTTACCTGAGCGGCGGAGCCCAGGTTGCCTGGATGAGCCCCCAAAGGCCCCCCAAGGCTCCCTGACCAGGTCCCATGCCCAGCCCCAGCCAGGCCCTGCCGCAGCCCTTTGAAAATTTAAAAGTTTATAAAGAAAAAAAAAATTACAGTAACCTAAGGTTAAGTTGCTTTATGAATGTTTGCACGATAACAAAATTGACTAAGGACGCATTTCTTAGAATGTATTTCCGTCCTTCTGTGCAGGTGACTGTGCTTTAAAAAACAAAGGGGCTTCCCTCACCGGCCACCTTGCTCACTGCTGCCGAGAGGAGCGTCCCGATGACAAAGAGCGCTGGCTCCCGAGGGTCCCGCCCCTGCCCTGTCACATCCAGTGGCTCCACGCTGTCTAGAAAACGCCTTCAGGCCCCCCGGGCCCCAGCTCAGCCGGCTCCTGCGGCTGCCACAGTTACCTGCAGGGCCACGCCCCTGAGGCCAGGCCCGCTCTGAGCGCAACCCTGCGCGGACGCCCCTCTCACCCCCCGCCCGGCCCCCAACCAGGCCTCTCCCATCGGCGCTGCCCGCTGAGCGCAGCTCCTCCCGACGCCTGTTCTCAAACCAGGGCTCCCCAGTGGCCGCCTTTCCCCCGGCCCTGTCCTGCCCGTGGGAAGATGCCCGCGGGCGACTAGGTTCGGAAGCCCAGTGGGGTCAGTGGAGGAGGGGAGAGTGACCCTCCGCCGCACCTCCCGGGGACCCCAAGAGTCACGGTGAGGGCCGGGCCTCCAGCTCCAAAGGTGCTGCGTGTTGCACTTCCCAGTCTCGGCCCTTCGCTCTCTTCTCCTTCCCCGCCCCCGCCCCCCACCTCCGTTCCTCTGCCTCTCCTTCCCCATCTCCCTCTTCCCTCATTCCTCCCCCAAACCCTCTTGCTGCTTCTGGCCGCCCTGCTTGGTTCAACACCCATGGATGAGTCCCGGCCCGAGCTGGGGGCTGGGAAGGCGAACGCTACCCAACCCGCGCGGCTTTCTCTCTCTAGCTCCCTGCTTGTCGCTCCCTCTGCCCTCCTCACACGGCTCCGCGCCCCGGGCAAACCTCTGGGGTCACTTCAGTTTGGCACCAGTGCAAAGGAGGGTGAGGGGCAACGCCTCCGAGTGGCACACCGGCTCGCTAGCGTCCCACCTGCGCCTGAGTCACCGCCAGACACCCCAGCGGAGGTGCGACCACTCCAAGGACCGACCTGGTTGGGCGTCGCCCCGTCTAGATTCAGCCGAGGGGCAGCTTGGCGCCCGGCGCCGGGACGGCGAGCGCGTTCAGCACCCCGGACAGCGCCGCGGGCGGTGAGGAGCGCGGCCGCATCTTCGCTCCGCCGCCCCGGGCCGCTCCCAGCTGCACCGCGTCGCGCGCTGGGCCAGGGCCCGGGACCCCGCGCTTGTCGCCGCTCCGCGTGCCGTTCCAGGCGCTGCCCGCCGGTTCTGCCTCTCCGAGACTCCGCGGGCGCTTCCCTGCCCGCTCCCGGAGCCGACCCACGAGCGCTGGGCCCCCGCTGCCGCTGGCCCGCGGGGCGCCTGGCGAGCCGCTAGCGCCACGGGCCCGGGAGCGGCGCTGCTGGCGGGCTGCTGGCGCGGGTGCTGGTCGTGTCGCTGCTGTCCAACGCGCTGGTGCTGCTCCGCTGGCCTACAGCGCCGACCGGCGCGCGCCTCTCGGGCGTCTCCCTGCCGAGCGCGTCGCAGGGCCACCTGCTCCTGGCGGCGCTCGAAACGCTGCTCCTCAGGCTGCTCCGCGTGCTGCGCGGGCCCAGCATGTGCCAGGCCGTCGGCCTCTGAGACCCCTTCCCGACGTCCTAGGCAACGCTGAGCCAGCGGTGGATCTCTCTTTGAGCCCCCTCCACCCCCGCCTACGACTGTGCAACACCCACCTGCTGCTGGCCTGCGCGTGGGGACAGTCGTTGGCCTTCGCGTTCGTCGCGCTTGCCTGCTCAAGTCTCAGCGACAACGCGCCCCCGCGTCCTGCTTGCTGCGCCTGACCGCCTGACCGCCTGACCGGAGCGCCCGCGTTTCGCCGCTACCCCCTCAGCTCCCCACGCCGCCGGCGCGCGCCACATTACCACTCTGCGCTCCCAGTCTCACGTCGCTCACGGCGCTGTGGCCGGCGCGCTGCTACAGCTCGCGCGACGACCGTGTCTCCATGCGGGCGCTCATGCCGCTCGGGGACCTGCACCCTAGGTCCCCGCCCACGGCACCACCCAGCGACCCGACAGCTCTGGAGCTCCCGCGGGCACCGCCCCCTGCCCAGGCGTGGGCAGGCTTGTGGGGCTCCCCCTGCGGGCTGTTCCTGGGGTCCGCAGGAGCCTGTCTATGTGCTCCGTGCGTCTGCATCCCAGAGCTTGTTGCCTTGGGGACCGAGTGCCCGCCGCAGGCGGGGAGGCCCTGCCCTGCTGACTGCGTGCTCTTGCCTGACCCCTGGTCTCGAGTCTTGGGGAAGGGGGTCTCCCAGGCTCTGCCTGCTCACTCTTGGGTGCGCCCCTGCCCCCTGAATCTCTGGCTGGGGCCGTTGCCAGTGATGCAGAAGGGCTCACAGAGGGAAAGGGACGAGACTTGCCCCCTCTTTCCTGCCCCCTCGCCTCACTATTTCACTTTTGCGGAAGAAACCCGCCGCCCCGCGTTGTTCTCTCCTGTCCAGTCCCTGTGCTTCCCCCGGGCTGCCCGGCCCGGCCTCCCCCGCCCCTGCCCGGCCCATCTCTGTGTTCCAGACTCGGGCTCTGCCCCCGCCCCCTGGGTGCCGCCTGCTGCCCTGTCTTCGACCCCCGTCCCGACGTTCTCCGGGGAGTGGAGGTCAGGCGTCCAGGTCTCCTGGTCCCGGGCGGGCCCCGCCTCATGGGCTCTTGGTTCTGACGGCAGGAGACGCAGGTCGATAAGAACAGGCAGGTGTCTCCACGGGGAGCAGGGGGCACCAGCGGCCTGAGCTGGGGCAGCACCGTGACTCTGTGCCCCTCGCCCCACCCGCTCCCAGACCGCCTGCTCGTGGCGGTGAGCGCTGCGTCCTGGGCCCTGGGCCTCGATCGGCACTGACGACTGAATTAATGAAGCCCGACAGCGACAGCCAAGAAAGAGGGAGGAGGGGCCCCAGCCCCAGCCCAGCCTCCCCCGCCCCGGCCCTGGCCCTTCTTCTCGCACGCCAGCAGCGCAAGGCAGCTCTGCGGTCATTCTGCCAAGAGCGCAGTCACCGACCCCGTGTCCACGGAAGACGCTAAGGACACGTCCCAGGTCTGGGATGGTTTCCGGGAGACGATCCTTGAAATATCTTAGCAAAACAGCGCGTGACCTTCTGGGGGCGGGACCCTTGAGAGGCACAGCTCGTCCCGGGTGTGCGATCGCCGTGGGCTAACGGCAGCGGCTCAGAACCTCGTCACACGCGTGGCCGTGAGGTTCCCGTAGGGCCCACGCACGCAGCGGGGGAGGCGACTCCTTCTGAGCCCAGGCCGGCTGCGCCGCGCCAGGTGCGACCTGCGGTGCCGCTCGCGGCACCTGAGGCTCAGAGGGGCTGCGCAGAGCCGCTCTGCCAGGAAGCGTGCTGGCGGCCCTGTGCTCCTGTCTGTGGTTCCAGAACCTCCCGTGCCCCTAGGGCACGGGCGTGTGTGTGGTCGCTGCCGCTGAACCCCTGCTCAGCTCCCCAGGAGGCTGTGGGGCCTGTGCCCATTGTCGCTGTCACTGCCACTGGGGCATCCTGAGCAAGGGCAGAGCGACGGCGAGGTGGCGGCTGACTCCTCGTCTACTTCCTGCTCGGCTACAGCTCCGCAGGGTCCGTACGGCCTGGCCGAGCCACTGCTGAGGACGCACATGCACTGGCGTCTGCCGTGTCCGCTGGGCGTGGAGTGCGACTCCTGCCGGCGGCGACACACTGTGGGCCACAGAGGCGTCCCTTGGCGCCCGAGGTGGCAGCGTGGGTGTGGGCAGAGGAAGCGGGGCCGCTGTGGGTGGAGGTGGCAAGAACTGTGGCTCAGTTCAGCTCTGGGCTCAGCCGCATGGCTGTTGGGTGGCTCTAGGACAGTGTCTTTCCCTCGCTGAGCCTCAGTTTCCCCACTTGCTTTCTGAGGGTAAGGTGACCTCGTTTGCTCAGGGTCTGCCGGGCTGACCCAGGCTGTTCCAGCCTAGTTTCTGACCGTGCCCTTCGCCCCCAGCATCATTGGGGTCTGGAGCGCCTGGTTCAGGGCCCCCAGCCTCACCTCTCACGTGACGGTGGGCGGTCAGGGCAGGACGCGTGAGCGGCGGGACCAGGCGCCTCCTGGGGAGCGCCTCTCCGAGAAGCCTGGCGGCCGCTCCCTCCAGCACAGCCCCTCCACCGTGGTGCGTGGGCTGGGAGCACAGGCTGCCTGTGTGCAGCCTCCCGGGCTTGCTTTGACTTCCCGCAAGGACTGGCGCCTTTTCTGGTGACGACGGAGGAGCACGTGGACCCTGCTGCCCTCCCTCCCCCAAGGCCTCGTGGGGACCCTGGATGACCGACGGAGAGGATCAAGACAGTCAGAGCTGCCGGCAGAGCCCGGGGTCTGGGGACAGCGGCCAGGATCTGCCCGACTTGGCCACTCTGCTCAGCGCTTGGGTCACAGCATTGTCCTCGGGCTAGTGGTCAAGGGGGCCACTGCCATTGTCGCCGGATGGGCCCAGGGGACAGTGTCTGGGGACGTGTGCCCATCTGTCATGCCTGAGGTCCAAGGGGAGGGCGGTGCTCAGCAGTCACAGCGCCCTTGCGGCGAGCCGAACGCAGGGCGGTGCGCAGGCGGGCGAACGCCCGCATGCCCCTCAGTCCCTGTTTGTCCTCTGCTGCCGCCCAGGCCGCCCCTCAGAGCCAGGTGGGCTGCGTGGTCGGGCCCCGTGGGGTCCTGCCGGGCCGCCCGCCCCATGACCCCTACCCAGGGTCCAGGGAGAGATGGTCCACACACACAGCAGCCAGCATCCTCGGTGGCCAAGGCTTTAGTGACGGTTTATAGCCCGAGCAGCCAGCGTGGTAGATTCTTTCCAACTAACGGGGTGCCGCTTGGCTGCTGTGGTCTGCTTCTCTGTAACTATTTTAAAAAAATGTATTTACTTTTTTAGAAAGAGGGGAAGGGAGGGAGAAAGAGAGGGAGAGAAACATCCATGTGTGGTTGTCTTTCACGCGCCCCCTACTGGGGGCCTTGCCCACAACCCAGGCCTGGCCCTGCCTGGGAACTGAACCGGCGACCCCTGGGTTCGCAGGCCAGCGCGCTGCCCGCTGAGCCGCCCCAGCCAGGGCAGGGCCGATTCTTTACTGCCTGCCCTGGCAGGCCGCATGCAAGTGCTTCGAAGTCGTAAGGTGCAAATCAAATAAAACAAATTTCTGTGAGGAATAGTAACGATACACATGGGGTAGGAAGCCGTTTTTAGGAAGTTAAAAAAAAGCAAAGCACAAAGCACCCAGGCAGGTCCGTGAAAGCGCCGTTCCAGCCCTGGGTCTTGGGTCACAGGCGTGGCACTGGAGGACGCTCACGCCCTGGCTCATCGGGGCACGAGGACCTGGAGCGCCCGGGCGCCCCAGCGCACACACAGGGGAGCTCTGCCTCCCTGGTGCGGGGCCCAGAGCCAGGCCAGAGCCCCTCCTTCCCGGGGTGGGGGAAGTGAGCTGCGGGCGGCCAGCGAGCCCCACGAAAATCCGCTCTCACAGCTTTAATCCATTCGAGGGAGAGTGTGTACCCGCCCGGCGGACAGCGCCATCGTTGGAAATCAATGACACTTTTTAGAAGCGGTGCCTGTTCCTCTCCCACCTGCCTTCTCTGGAACCCCCATGGAATTTTCTAGAAGACCGCTCGGGCAGGGCTGCCCCAGGGGAGTACTGTCTATTGTGTCTGTGCTGGGCGTTCTGGAACGCTCTCTCTGCCAGCTGAGGTGGCTCACTCACTGTGCCCTTTCCCTGGGCTGTGTGGTCTCCTTTTTACTTTGAGAGATACTTCGCATGTGAATGGAAGTGCATTGCAAAACTGTGTGTCCCAAGGGCTTGGTGAACCAATACACATTTTATTCAAGGGGGGGGCTCCCTTTCTCTGCACAGGGGGAAAATGCTGACTTTGCATTAGCCTGGGGCCAACTGTGGGGCTGCCAGGAAGGCGGGTCCCTCTCAGCTTCCAAGATGACCGGACCAGACCCTGCTCCCCCCCAAGTGCAGGGAGGGCCCCCAGCTCTCCTGCAAGCCTCCTGCTCCCTCCCACCAGCCGGTGGCACCCAGCACAGCTCCCCTCCGAGTCTCAGGACCCGAGACCCCGCAGGGCGGGGAGCGCTGGCCGCCGCGGCCTCCTTGTTGGCCACTCCAGGCCGGGCCGCGTGCCCGAACAGCGCCTCTCCAGTGCCCAGCAGGGGCGGGGCCAGCCTGGCAGTGGGGAGCCCTCGTGGGTGAGTTAAACGTGGTCTCTGCTCTTGCCATGAATTGCAGCTGGTTGACCGGAGGCCACGGCGGGCTCACTGCCCGCGCCGAGCTCTCGCTGGCTCAGGCTTCGGTCCCTCTGCTGGGTCACCTGCTGCGTCCTGCCCCCGCAGGCCTGGCTTTGGGCTGTCCCCGCCCCTCTAGGCCCATTATCTGGTGGGCTGGCTGGAGGGGGCTGGGATTCGGTGGGACGGGGAGGACCCCCACAGCTCTCACCCTCGGGAAGGGCTCCCCCGCTGCGGCTTGCCCCTGACAGACCACGGGGGGGGGGGTCGCCCCCTTGGCTAAGCAGCCTTGGGTGGGAGGCTGCTCCCTCCAGCCTAGAGAGGGTCACCAGAGTGTTCTCGCTGGGTCTTTCAAACTAACAACGACCAACAATGCCATTGTTGTGTGTGCCGCTCGGAAACAGACAAACAGACCTGGAGAGGGGGCTGTTGCTGGGGGTGGGGGGCGTGAGGCCGGTCCCCAAGGCAGCGGCTCGGAGCTGGGCCTGCCCGCAGGAGGGGCGGCGTGGGCCTGGAGCCCCCGCCGGGGCTGTCACGGGGCACGGCCTGGAGCGGCTGGCCGGCCGGGGCCGGGCGGGGACAAGGCAGCGAGGAGCAGCAGCTGGTGCCCGGCCCCGCAGGTGCTGAGGCAGGAGGTGGGGCCCCGGAGGGATGGAGGCCCTGTCCCTACGCTGACTCCACAGCACGGCGGTCGCTGTCAGAGGTCGCCGGGCCGCTGCGGCCCTCTGGGCCTGGGCCTCGGTGCCTGGCCAGCGCTGTCCCCAGGGCTCGGGGCGCGGCCGCACGGATGTGCGCACGGGCCGGGCTGCGGCCGCGGGGCTGTGAGAGGCGGCTGGCAGGCAGGTGTGTGCACATCCGAGGTGCACTCATCACCGGCTCTGCTCCGGGCGGGGGTCACAGGCTTTGGCCGAGCCCCAAGGCAGCCCTGGGAGGGGAGCGGGGCCCTGGGCAGGCAGCGAGCTGGGGGCGCCTTTCACCGCGGCGCCAAGGGCCCCGGCCTCCCCCTCCCAGGCCCCTCCTGCCTCCTGCCCGGGGGTCTCACGGAGGTGTGGGCGGGGGCAGGGGAGGCGCCTGGGAAGGGGCCCTCCCGCTCCCCAGGGGTGGACAGGTCGCTGTGGAGCGGGGGCGGGGGTGTCTGCATGGGCTCTCTGGGCCCCTCCATGTCACCCCCCTTGTCCTTGGGGGGAGGAGGGCAGGAGAAAGGGAGACTCACCCCAGTGAGCCCCGGCCACTGCCGGACCGGCCACTGTCCCCTCAGTGCCCTGAGCCATGATGGACACAGTTCTCTGAGGACGGGACTGCAGCAGGTGGGGCTCAGAGCTGCAAGTCGCCCACGGCCACAGGGGAGCCCCCAGCCTCCGAGGGCCCTAAAGACCCCACAGACCCTCGGGGGACATCCACATCCAAGACAAGCTGGGGCCTGGGGCACCCCCCCCAGGAGAGGAGGCCCAGAGCGGGGGGCTTGGCCTGGCTCACAGCCAGCAGGTCAACGGCCCCAGTCCTGGCCCAGAGTCAGGGGTTCTCAGCAGCGTCAGCTGGGCATTGGGAGGTCCGCTGCCAGTGCCCTCAGGTGGGGGCGGGGGCGGCCCAGGGGGCGCCCACCCCGGGGCGGGGCGCGCGGCGGAACGGCCTTGCTGGGCGGCCCTCCGCCCCCTCCTCCCTGCGGGCTCTGGCGCCTCGCTGTAACCCGACTCCGCTCCTGGGGGGCGGGGGGCGGGGGCCGCGCGCTTCGCCGGGTCAGGCTCGAGTGCCACATCACGGCGCCGCCGCCTGCCGCCCACCATGCCGCTGCCGCTGCTGCTGCTGCTCCGAGCCGCGCTGGCCGCCGCCTGGCCCGGGTGCGAGCCCGCCTGGGGCGCCGCGGGTAAGGCCGAGGGCCCGTGCGCCCTGGGGAGAACGCGGCGCCTGGGCCGGGACACCCTCCCCCGCGGGGCCCGCGGCCCCGGGTGACATCCCTGAGCGGGCGCTCTGTGGCGTTGGACGGGTGGTCTGCCCAGGATGGGGCGCCAGCTCTCTGAACACCTGGGGTTGGGACCCTGGGGGGAGCGCGCAGGCGGCGGGGGGCGGCAGAGGGACACTGTGTCCTGCGACGCGGGGCCCTTCTCTGGTCGGCAGGGCGCCTTGCAGGTGGGGTCCCAGGAGCAGGGAGCCAGGACAGTGCAGGGGGCGGCCGTCCGAGGTTGGTCCTTCCAGGAAGGGGCGGCCCCTGAGCGCAGCAAACCCTGGACCCCTCCCTCCCCGCTGGGCTGAGAGGCTGCAATGTGGGCGACAGCGGCTCCGGAAGCGGGTGCAGAGGGCCCGGGAGGCGGCTGTGCCCTGGCAAGCAGTCCTGGGGTGGGGCGGGGGCTTCTGGAAGGCAGGGAGGGGGAGCCCAGGGACCCTCTGGCCTGTGTGTAGGCCTGCGTGGTCTCACCTGAGAGCAGGGGGTGTGTGGGAGTTTGGGGCCCTGGCCACCCCCCCCCCCCCCCGTGGGTCTCAGTTTCCCTTCTTTCAAACAGTGGGGTTGTGCGGAGCCCACTGCCTCAGGGTCTTTATCAGCAGCAGACATCTCCACGCCCAGAGGGCAGGGCGCCTGGGAGCCAGGGTCGGAGGGTGTCAGATTCAGAATCTCTGCAGGGCCAGGGGTGGCGGACACCTGAGAACATGCAGCACCTGCCACCCGCCCCCCAACCGTGTCCGCGGTGGCCCTGTCCCTCTGCCTCCTTCCTGCAGAGAGGCCCCGGCCAGGCAGGTGTGCGGGCGCACTGATGTGGGTGCACGTGTGCAGGATGCGGATAGAACGGGCACAGCGTCACAGGTGGTCCTTCCCTTGGGCCACGGAGACCCTAGGAACCGTCTAGAATCCTAGGCCTCTCAGGGCCCTCCTCCTCCTCCTCCTCCTCCTCCTCCGGGAAGTTTTCTCTGTCCTGCCCTCCTGGGGGGACGTGCTGCCCCCTTGGACGTGGGCAGCGCAGGCCGCCCCCCCTCACCCTCCCCTCTGGCGTCAGTGACTCTTTCTAGGATAAATCCTTCTCCCAGACCCAGCTCCTTCTCCCTGCAGACTGTGCAAGCCGACCGTCCCTTCCAGGCTGCAGGCGGGCAAGGGCAAGGCGGGGGGGAGTGTGCGTCCAGCTGCCCTGCCCAAGGACCGTAGCCTGTCCCCATGGCACATGCCCAGGGGTCCGAGCCCACCCAGGCCCTTCTGTCCCCGCCGCGGTGCCCCTGGCCTGGCGGGGCTCTCCAAGTCTTCATGGGGAGCCTGGGGTCTGAGGACACTTTCATGTTCCTTGGGGCGGACTTGTGACTCCTCTCCTCTGCTGAGTGCCCTCCGGTGGCTGGCCGGCCCTCTCTAACCTCACTCCGGCTTCTCAGGGAGGAGAGGAGGCCCTGGCCAGGAGGAGTCCCCTACCCTGGTCCCTAGACGGGCCAGCCCTGCAGCCTCCATCCCTGGGCTAGAGAAATGCTGACCCCTGGTGGGCGAGAGGTGTAACGGTCACGTGTGGACCTGCGCCTCCCCAGAGGCTGGCTGGGTACAGAGGTAACTTTACCTTTTCTGGTAACAGCGCCGGCTTTCTCTTTGCAGGTGGCTGCCACGGGCCGTCGGCCCCAGACAGCGGTACGTATGCACTGAACCGCCCCTCCCCCATGCTATCAAAGCATTTTAAAGCGCCGGACCTGTGGTGCCGAAGCGTAATGAATAGCGGAGCCCAGTAGTCAAACCCAAACTGCTTCCTAAGCCGCTAGGAACAAGGCAAGGTGAACGAGGGAGGGCTCGCCCTGCAGCCCCGCCCCTGCCAGGCCTGGCTCCTGCACAGCTGTCCCTCCCCTGTCTCCCTGCTCCTCTGTCCCCTCTCCGCCCCCTGAGGGGGCCTGCACACGCCGGGGTCCAGCCTCGAAGCGCTCATGGTCCCCCTCCGTGTCCCGGGGCTCAGCCCCGTGCCGGCCGCTGCTGAGACCAGGTGGGGCCGAGCCATGTCCTGTCTGTGCCCCGGTTCCCCACTCAGTACACCGAGGAGGGGCTTGCTGACCCCAGGGTTGGTGTGGAAGGTCTCGTGTGTCTGGAAGGCTCAGAAGCAGACATTTCTTCAAGTCTCCTGCTGCCAGATTGGGCACCTGCTCTCTTCCGAGTGGAAGGACTAGACCTTTTTCTGTATTTCTTTTTAAAAGCAGGAAAATATTTTCCTAATACTAATGTCAAGGACGTGCCCTAAGGTGGCAAACCCTCGACAAAGCTGGTTCCCTGCTCCCAGATGCAGAGGCTGAGGCCCCGAGCAGCGGCCGGCTCACCCGCTGGGAGCCTCGTCGGCTCCTCCTACCGCCCCGGCTTCCTCCGGAACGGCCCTGGTCCCGGTGTTTCTCCCCGGCCAGGCTGCGGGTGGGGCCCGCCCCTTGGGCCCCGACCCTGGGTGGCTCTGCTTGGGCACAGCAGGCCCTCAGGGAGCGTCCGACAGGTGACCCTGGGGTCCCCCAGGGTCCTGGCGGGAGGGACTGACCTGGTGTCTCCCTCCTCAGCCACGTGCGTGGACCTGCAGCTCAGCACCTGCAGGGACGCGGCCTACAACCGGACGGCCTTCCCCAGCCTGCTGGAGCACCAGACCCGCGAGGCGGTGGAGTCCAGCTCTGAGTACACGCTGCTGAGTGTCCTGCACCACCTCCTGGAGGGCCAGTGCAACCCCGACCTGCGGCTGCTGGGCTGCGCCGTGCTGGCGCCGCGCTGCGAGGGCGGCCAGGTGCGCCGGCCCTGCCGGCACGTCTGCGAGGCGCTGCGGGCTGCCTGCCAGGCCGCCTTCGACGCCATCGACATGGCCTGGCCCTACTTCCTGGACTGCGGCCGCTACTTCGGGGGCGAGGAGGAAGGCTGCTACGACCCGCTGGAGAAGCTGAGAGGCAAGCGGGGTCTGCGGGGCGCTGGGGTCGAGGTGCCGAGCGGCCAGGCGTCCGGGCGGCCCAGTGGGGCCACGGAGTCAGAGCGGCCAAGCACCCGAGCCGGGCCCCAGTGCGGGGCCAAGAGCAGGCACGAGCGGGACTGCAGAGCGAGGGGCTTCGGCTCCTCGGGCAGACAAACCCGCAGAGGTGGAGCAGGCAGCCTTGGGCAGAAGCCGGAGGGCTTCTCGGCAGCGGTGCTGGGCTGGGCCAAGTGCCTCCCCGCACCTTTAACCCCACGCCTGCTGGGCCCCTGCTGGGCCCCCCAGAGCAGGTCAGAGGGAGAGGCTCCGTGGGCGCCCATCCCCGGCGGCCTGGCTGACAGCTTCCCGCCGCAGCGACCGGCCTTCCTGTGCTGTCCCAAGCAGACGCCACTAGTCACACGTGGCCACTGAGCTGAGAATGTGGCTAGTGCGACCGCGGGTCTGAGTCTCTGATTTGATTTGAATAAATGTAAGCTTAAGGATAAACAGCCACGTGCGGCCAGCGTGTGACTCTGGACAGTGCAGGACGACCTCTGCTTCTGGCCTCTCGGGCACTCACGTCGCTGTGCTAACGGTGAGGGTCACAGGGTCTGGGGCTGAGGGTCGCACACGGGGGCCTCGTTTGAACCCCGCAGCAGCCCTGGGTGTCCGTCGCACCCCCTTGCACAGACGAGAAGGGGGTTCTGGGGAGGCAGGCGGCGGCGGGTGTGAGCCGGGCTGACAGGGGACTGACCTGCCCAACTGCCCACAGCCGCCAGGCACCTGCTGCGCGCACGGCTCCGGCCGGGCGTCGGGGACGGCAGGGAGGGCGCGGTGCGGCTGGGCTGGCCTCCAGGAGCTGGGTTCCGGCTTGGCCACTCCCTGGCTGTCGGGGCGGGCGCTCGGGGCCAACCCCGGAGCTGACTCAGGCGTGGGGGTCCCGTCTCCGCCAGGGGCTGCTGTGCAGAGGCGGCGGGTCCGGGTCCGAGGGCAGCGCTCTGCATGTGCAGAGGGAGGAAATGGGGTGCGGGGACAGTGGGGGGCGCCAGGGAGGCCGAGGAAGGAAGCCAGACTCTGCGTGGGCCAGGCCCGTCCGCCCTGGGAAAGCCCATGGACTTGGATTGAAAGAGAATATTTTGGGCAACTCCGCCACCAAATTGCCAGTTCTGTCCGCTCTCTTCCTCCTCAAAACCATTTTGAGCAGAAACAAAAACCACAGGGCGAGTGAGCTGCTGACGGGGAGCATTAACTGTCAGCGCTCCTGGGGGACAGCCAGGGGTCCTGCGTGGGCCAGGCGGAGGCTCGCGGGGCAGGGGCGAGGCGGGAGGGGTGCCCGGCCACCCGCCAACGCAGCTCTGGTGAGAGGTGGGAGGGCAGCTGGCTGCGGCCCTGCCTGGAAGTCCGGGCATTTCTCCTCAGGGGACTATTAGCAGCGCGGTGTGTGGAGAGAGGCCCTGCCGCCCCCGCGCTGGCCCCCGCCTTGGCCCCCGCCCTCCCTGGGCACCGTCGCTGCCCGCTGGCCGGAGCAGCAAACACCTGGGGTCCCCAGGTCGTGGAGTGGGGGCTGGACCAGAGCCTTTCAGGGCTGTTACCAGCTGACCCGTGGGGGCTGAAACTGTTTCCATCCGGGTGCTGAGGAAACGAGGCAGGTAGGGACCCGCCGGCGCCTGGTCACGGCAGGTTCTCCTGGGACACAGGAACACAGTCTGGAGGCCACGTGCGAAATAGCCGTTGTCTTTGAGGGGAGGGTTCTGTAGGTCTGTGTCGTCCTCCATATTCTGCTGTTCTGTATTTTTAAAAAATCTCCAAAGTAGTTATACCCTAGTTTTATTCACAGCAGCACTAGGAACTATGTTGCTTTGTCCGTCTGTCAGATGCTGCTGTTAGCTGTGATCAGTAAGTGTTAGAGAGGGATTTGTCATTTAAAACGTGACTGCGTGGCCCGGGCGCGTGGGGGTGGGGGCGCGAGGGCAGTGGACCGGTCAGGGCCCCAGGCAGTCGGCAGGGGGCGGGTGCAGGCACAGGCAGACAGAGCCACGTCCGCGGGCAGGCGGCAGGTGGGCCACGGCTGATGGGCCCCCCCTCCCCCACCGCCCGCGCCCCAGGAAGCCTGGACGTGGAGGAGGCGCCGCCCTCGGGTCTGCCGTTGACCTTCATCGCCTTCACCCACCACCCCTACGCCCAGATGGTGCGCCTGCTGACGCGGACGGCGGCCCGCTGCTCCCACATCGCCAAGACCTACAGCATCGGGCGCAGCTTTGACGGCAAGGAGCTGCTGGTCATCGAGTTCTCGGCGCGGCCCGGCCAGCACGAGCTGAGTAAGCCGCTGCCGGAGTCGGGCACCCTGGGGCGGCCGGGCGTCAGCCAGCCTCTGGGGAAGGATGCCAGGCCTGCGGGGCCTGGGGCGCACGGGCCGGGGGCCAGGATTCTAATCAAAGCCCCCGGTGTTTGGGGGGCAGGCTGGGGGTCGAGGCTTCAGGGCTGTGCTCAGGGCGTGGTGGTGCGCGGCCACATCTCACCAGCCCCTGGCACCACTTAGGGACGACCCTGGGAGTCAGAGGGCATGTGGGAAATCCCGGAGTGGGGACTGCACGCCAGGGAGCGGGGCAGGTGGGGCTCTCAGCACTGCGGGCGCGTGGGCCCTGGAGCCCCTCTCGGGGAGGCGTGGCAGCTCCGTGTGCTTTGCCCTGGCAGGTGGGCGCGGCGCCCGGCCCTGGCCCTCGCGGCCACGTGGTCAACGTGGCGTCACAGGGCGCGGGATGAGAGCGCTCGTTCCATTTTAAAAGCCCGCGCCCATCGTAACGCACGGCAGGCATGGCGGACCTCGCTTGAGCCGAGGGGGCGCCGTGCGGAGATGCCGCGTTTTACTGTCCCCTCAGAGCTTCGTTCTTCCAGGGCAGAGCAGGACTTGACTGTGGTCGCAGATCACGACCAGTCGAGACTGAGGGAGGGCCACTCAGGCCAGGAGTGTGGGCGCCGGGGAAAATGACCGTGAATTTTGGGGGCAGGCCGAGGACAAGGCAGTGGCCTGGAGCCGGGCTGGGTGCGGGCCAGGGTCGGGCTCAAGAATGTGGGAGCTTCCAGCAAAGACTCCGCCCCCCGGCTGGGCAGCCTGCCTCCGGTGTAGTGAGGGGACACCCCCCTCCCGGGCACTGAGAGCATCCAGGCACGGGCCTCCTCCGGGCCACTTTGGGGGAGGGTGAGTGAGGGTCCCGGTTCTTCCCCGGCCTCACCCCTCCGTGCATCCGTCCCCATGGCCTTGTGAGGCAGCCAGGATCCTTCTAGAAGCAGACCCTCTTCGACCCTTGGTCCTTATGAGCTACTGAAAAAGACCCTCCTCTTAGTGAAGCAGCCCAGGCCTCTTTGCGGGGCTGGACACCTGCGGCCCGGTTCTCATCCTCCGGGCTTGGCACACGGACCGGGGTCAGAGGCCCTGCGGCCCCTCGGCCTCCGCGGCCTGCGCTGACCCCGGACCCCCAGTCTGTGGCGGCTCCAGGCTAAAGACAGGCTCTGTCACCTTCGGATGGGCGGCGGCTTGGAGCGTGGGGCCGAGGGGTGCTCCCTGCGCAGAGCGCCCAGGACCGCGGCTGCGGGGGGAGCCCGGGGTCCTTCACGCCCGCCGAGGCGGGGGTGAGCGTGTGCCCCCACAGCTGCAAGTCCTCGGGCCACACACGGCTGGGGGAGATGCCTTCTTTCAGAGTGACGTGAGGCTCAGAGGAGAAGCAGCTTGTCCAAGGTCCTACACCAGTGAGGCTGCCAGACTCTTGGTCTACTTTTTCCCAGAATTCACCCACCTGTTCATCCACCCACCCACCCCTCCACTCATCCACCATCCATCCACCCACCCACCCACTCATCCATCCATCCTCCCATCCACCCACCCACCCATCCGTCCTCCCATCCATCCGTCCGTCCATCCGTCTGCCCACTCTTCCCTCCCTCCCACGCTCCCTTCCCATCTTTCCGTTGGTTTATCCACTCACCGGCCGCCGGCCTTCCCACCGAGCACCAGCACACACCTTATTACACACGCTGAAGCCTTGCTATCAGTGACGCCGTAGGGCACTCATTAACATCCCCAATCCGTGCCGCTCGCTGCTCATTATGGCTAAACATGACGGATGAACTCAGCAAAAGCGACAGCCTCAATGAGACCTCATTAGCCACGGAGATACCGGGGCCACAACAAGCATGATTAGGTCCCAGAACACCTGGCGACCCCACTAAGGGGGCCCTCAGGCTGAAGAGCCCGGGGGTCTGATATGACCCCCAGGTCACCGTGTCTCCCCCAGTGGAGCCCGAAGTGAAGCTCATTGGCAACATCCATGGCAATGAGGTGGCGGGACGGGAGATGCTCATCTACCTGGCCCAGTACCTGTGCTCCGAGTACCTGCTGGGCAATCCCCGCATCCAGCGCCTGCTCAACACCACCCGCATCCACCTGCTGCCCTCCATGAACCCCGACGGCTACGAGGTGGCGGCCGCCGAGGTGAGCGCCCCGCGGCGGCGGGGCCGGGGACGTGCCCCCACACCCCACGCGTTCACTCCTCTGCTCACTCACTGGTGGTCAGGGAGGGTCCGTGTGCGCCCCCATCTGGGGAACGAGAATCCAGCAGGCGGCAGCACTGGCGAGTCCTGCTTGGGCAGACAGGGGACAGATGCTGGTGTCGCGAAGGTGACTCCTGCTTGGAGAAAACGGAGGATGAGGAAGGGGGTGGAGAGAGGGCGAGGGCACTGGCTGGAGGTCGGGCGCTCCCTGACCTGCGGGAGGTCGGGGGACGGTGCACACAGCGGCGGGGGTGGGGTTCGGAGGGGTGGCAGAGGAGGCCAAGGGTGGACGTGCTCCCAAGTTCATCACGAACAGCGGAGACAGACCGGGGCCCCGGCCCACCCTCGGGCCGGCCGGGCAGCCGCCCTCCAGAGCACCGGGGCGGACGTGCTGAGCCGCAGCGGGGGCGGCCCGTGTTTCAGGGCGCCGGCTACAATGGCTGGACGAGTGGAAGGCAGAACGCGCAGAACCTGGACCTGAACCGCAACTTCCCCGACCTGACCTCCGAGTTCTACCGCCTGGTCTCCACCCGCGGCACGCGCACCGACCACATCGCCATCCCTGAGCACTACTGGTGGGGTAAGGTAGGAGCCGCCCCCGCCCAGCTGGGCGTCCGTCCCAGGGGCCCTGGCCATCCCGGGACCCTCGGGTGTGGTCCCCGCAGGACAGGAGAGCCCAGCGGTTAAAGCCTCACCCTCTGAGGACAGCCCCTCACCGGGCGTCGGTGGCTCTCAGGGAGCATGTGCTGAAAGCACCCAGAGCCTGGCAGGTGCTCGGGGACAGGAGTCCAGGAGGGCTGCCTGGAAGTGATATCCCTGAGAGGCAGGAGGACCGGCCTGGGCGGGAGCCCCGAAGTGCCTGAACCCAGGCCTAAAGGTTGGCGCTGGCCCGGGGGGACGGCCAGCGGGGCGCCCCGTCCTGAGGATGGCCTCCCCCACCCGGGCAGGTGGCCCCGGAGACGAAGGCCATCATGAAGTGGATGCGGGCCGTTCCCTTCGTGCTCTCGGCCAGCCTGCACGGGGGCGACCTGGTGGTGTCCTACCCCTTCGACTTCTCCCAGGACCCCCATGAGGAGAAGATGTTTTCTCCCACGCCTGATGAGAAGGTGAGAGGAGGTGGCCGCCGCGGGCGTGCGGGGAGCGCAGGGGGCGCCGCGATGCAGGGGGTGGGGTGCCCTGGCATCGGCCTTGTGTGGGGCCTGTTTGGAGCCGAGTCACTGAACGATTAAGCTTGCAGGTGCAGGTCCTCCAAAGCCCCCCTCACCCAGGAAGCCTTCCGGCCCAGCTGGGAGCGGCCCTCCCTCCTCTGGCTGTACCCCACCTCCCATCAGTGTCCCTGTCTGGGAGCGTCTGGGGTGGCCACCTGCTCTCCCACGGGGCCTCCTGGTGTGTCCGGCCGAGGGGAGGGCGGTTCTGGGAGACGCCAGCAGAGGGCAGTGCTGCAGCGTGCACGGCGGGCGCCTGGCCAGGTGTGCGAGGCTGGGCGGGAGCTGCTGCCGTGGGGCCTGGCCGGACGTCTGGGGCAGGTGGCCCTTCTTCCCAGGCCTGGCCTTCCCTCGCTGGTCCTGCCTGCGGTGAGGACAGGACCCGTTCCAGCCCCACTCTCCCCTGAAGCCGCCTGCCTGCGTCTGTAGCCCCCGGCCCTGGCTGGGTGTCCCCGGGGCCCAGGACAGCAGCTCCTGCAGGCTGGCCTGGGAAGGGCGGGCGTGGATCTCCCCGTTATTCTGTGGGTGAAGGCCTGAGGCGAGGGGGAGGGTGTGCGGGGCGGCCGCCTGCCTCACTCCCTGGCCCGCCCTCCCGCCCGCCCGCTGCCGGCTCAGCCCCGTGCTCCCTCCCTGTTAATGCTGGACCGGCCCCTGCAGCCAGCATGGGCCTGGCCGGCCGGGTGCCAGGGTCTGTGCTCAGCGCTCAGCTAGTGCCCCTGGGGGTGCCGGCGAGGTCCCCCTGTGGCCCTGAGAGCGCAGGGCCCGCAGCTGGCTGAGGCCTGTGTCCCCCGGGCAGTGGGTGCCCCTGGGCTCCGGGCCCAGCATCTCTGAGTCTCAGCAGCAGGAACGTGAAGATGCTCCCGGGGGGGATGTTCACCTCAAAGAGTCCCTGCAGAGCCAGAAAACCGAGCCTCTGCCCCGCCAGCCATCGATCAGAGTCGATGCTCCGGAGCCCTGTGGCCAGCGGTGCTCTCGGGGGAAGCCGGGGTCCTGGGCGAGGCGCCGGGGAGCAGGGGAGCAGACGAGGGGCCGGTCGGCGCACCCCGAGTCACCCCAAGCTTCCAGGGCACCCCACAGGTGGAAGAGGGCCGGCACCCCAGGGCAGCGTTCAAGGGCCCAGGCTGGCCACAGCCCCCAGGTCCCCTCCACCCACCCCTCCACCCACCTGCTTGCAGGAAACCCGCTCCTGAGCTGGACCCCAGCTCCGCGCAGCCCCCAAGCCCTCCTATGGGAAGGAAGCTGGGCTACCCAGTGTCACAGAGGCAGGAGCTGGGCAGGCTGGTCTTCTCCGACGCCTGGTCCTGGTTTTTCTTCTTTGCCCCCTGCCCCCCACCTGGCTTGGCGAGCCCCACGTACCACCCCCCAGGTGCCCTGAGCTTGTCCCCCTGCCGCCGCCAGGCCTCCGCTCGTGCTGTGCCCGCTGCTTGGACGCTGTTCCCCTCTCCCACCCGTGCGGCAGGTGTCCGCCAGATGCCCCTGCACGGCACCCAGCTCTGGGGTTAGGCTGCAGCGCGCCTGCCTCCTGGTCTCCTTTCCAGATGTTCAAGCTGCTGGCCAGAGCCTACGCCGACGTCCACCCCATGATGATGGACAGGTCGGAGAACAGGTGTGGGGGCAACTTCCTGAAGAGGGGCAGCATCATCAACGGCGCGGACTGGTACAGCTTCACGGGAGGTGCGGCCCTGGGCGCAGTGGAAACAGTGGGGCGGGGCCGGGCCGGGCTGAGGGGGCGGGGCCTGGCTGAGGGGGCGGGGCCTGATGCCACCTGTCACAGCTTGTTCTGGGAGCTCTGTTCTGGACCCTCAGAGAGCAGCAAAGATACACCCCAGCCAGGAGGCAGGCTCAGGGAAGGGGAGATCGGGGGAAGGCGTCGGTGGGCTTCAGTCCTAGTTGCTGGTGACAGAACAGTACCCGGGACTTTCTGCTGCTGGTTCTGGTTAGTGATCCTGTGCACTTTGTGGCTCCACTTGTATGCGGTTCTGTTTTGCCGCCTGAGGGTTAAGGAGGGTTTCCTCGGTGGAATGCAGGATTTCGAATTTCAGAGAAATACTGCTGGCTTTGGTGGTCCCGGGTAAGTATGTCCCCAGTGACATACTGCCACTCAAGCGTTCTTCGTTGTTTCTCCGGAATTCAACTTGAACCGGATGCTTGCGTTTCTGTTTGCTAAAGCCGCGCTGGGTGAGGACGGGGCACAGGCAACGCGGGTGCTCGCGGCACCGGGCACGGCAGGGGCCCCGCTGGGCCGGCCCCGCCTCTGCCCCCGCCTCCGCTCTGCCTGCCGGCCCTGCAGGCTGCGGGACGCTGGCCGTTCGTGCCCTGTGGCAGCTGAGGAAATGGGCTCACACCTGCTCAGCACCTGCTCAGGCCCGCCGCCCCGGTGGCAGGGCTGGGGCTCACGGCCAGCCTGCCCTACCCGTCCCCCCCCACCCGACCCCGCTCCTGCGTGGACAGAGAGGGCGGCCCATTCTGAAGCCGGCTCGGCCTGTGCGTCCTCTCCCAGGGGCAGAGCAGCCTCTCTGTCCCCCAGAACCAGCCCCAGGGTTCCCTGACGCCCAGGGCCCCGAGTCTCGGTTGTGACCCTGTGATCTGGGTCTCCCAGGGAAAGCATGGGGCCCGGGCCAGAGCGGCCAGAGCGGCCAGAGCGACGGGCAAGCAGCTGCACTGTGGGCCCGCCTGTTAAGTCAGTAGCAGCAGCTCTGGGTACGGAGGCCCCAGCGTGGCCCTGACTTCCTAGGGGGGCGGTGTCCCAGCTGCTCCTGGCAGAGGGCCGCCCTGTCAGGGCCGGGCTCAGGCATAGGTCAGCGGTCCCAGCTTCTGCTGACCAGGGAACCCCAAAGGCGAGGGGAGGAGGTGGGCGGGGCGGCGGCCAGCCTGAGTTGTTGGGAAGCCCCCTCTGCCGCTTCGTTGGCCTCTGTCCAGCCCGCGAGGCCATGTCCCCCCTGAGACGGAGGAGACAGGGCCTTGGTCCCTAGGCAGTTCTCAGGCCCGTCCAGGTAAATGGGCGTGAGCGCCCCCGGGGCCCGGGCCACACACCCAGTGGCTCCGCTGGGAGTCAGCGCGGGCGCGGCCCCCGAGGGGCGGCTGACCTGGGCGCCGCACTGCCTGGCTTTGGGGCGCGGCTCGGCCCTTGCCCCTGCGGGCCCCCCCCCGCGCCGCAGTCCGCGCACCTGTGGGGCGGGGGTGGCGACCCCAGCCCCCGGCCCCGTGACGCGGGGACGCCTATGCAGCGCTCTCAGCCGCCGCCCCGTGCTACAGGCATGTCCGACTTCAACTACCTGCACAGCAACTGCTTTGAGATCACGGTGGAGCTGGGCTGCGTGAAGTTCCCCCCCGAGGAGGCCCTCTACACGCTCTGGCAGCACAACAAGGAGCCGCTCTTGAACTTCATGGAGATGGTGAGTGGGCCGGGGCCGCGCTCTGGCCCGGCGGGGCCTGGGGGGCAGGGCTGCCCCCGCGCCCCTTCCGGACGCTGTGTGGTGGGGCACCGTGCCCACGCGAACAGTCACATTTCACTTCTTGGTTAAGTGCCTGTTTGTCTACAACTGAAGCCTCGCCGGCCTCCCCTACACCACCCAGGGCGTGCCCTGCGAGGGTGGCCACAGCCGGCACGTGCCGCGGCCTCAGAGCCTAAAGGGGCACAATTGACCAAGGAGAGAGTCAGGGACAGCGGGGTAGCCCAGGGGAAGCGCCTGGCCCAGCCCCAGAGGCTGAGGGCTTCCTGGAGGAGGTAGCACTTTGGTTGTGTCTCGAAAGACGAGGGGAAAGGTGATGGGACATGGACAGAGGGGGCAGGGCACTGGTGGGGAGGGTCCCAGAGGCTGGAGGAGCATGGGGGGGGGGGCTCTGGGCAGCGTGAGGCCTGGGGGCGATGGCTCCGGGCAGCAGGGGTCTGTGTGGTCCGGGGCCTCAGGCCCGTCTGCCCCTTGGACCGGATGCCACAGGCTGGTGGGGGAGGGGCGGCGCACCTGCTGAGGTCACCCAGAAATAGCTGGGAGGGCAGTGAGTGGGGGCCTCGGAGAGCGTGTCTAAAACAACCCCTCCCTGGGCTTCAAGACCCAAGCCTTGGGTGACCAAGCAGGGGCCAGAGTGCCAGCTGTCTGTCCGACCACCTCTCCCTGCCCTGACCCCTCCTCTGTGTCCCCAGTGTGGCTCACGTTCAGGGGATGTCGCGGGGCTCTGAGTAAGGTAACGTGCGTGAGAGGAATGCGGGGAGTCAGCATGAAAGATGGCCGTGGTTCTGGAGAAGCCTCTGCTGCGTTTTCCCCAAACATGAAAGAAAACCCGCACGCAGTGCCCGTGGGCGCTGTGTCCCCGCAGAAGGGGCTGCAGGGGAAAGCAGACTGCCCGGGCGGGCAGCGGGGGCTGCGAGCGCTCAGGGCCTTCTGTGGGTGCCCCCCGCATATGGCGGCGACTCCGGACGCCGTCCTGGGCAGCAGATGACGGGCGGGTGCCGGGGAAGGATGGTGGCAGTCGGGGTCCTGGGCTGCGCACGGGCCCCCGTTCCTGGCTCTCAGGGACCGTGAGGCAACCGGAACAGGGCACGTGGGGGTAATGGGGACCCTCTGTCCCTTGTCACCCAGAGACTGCGCAGAGCTCGAACTCAGACCTGCTGCCCCAAACTCCAGTTCTGTCCACAGCCTCCCTCCTTCCTAGAAAGATCAGGAACCTTCCTTCAGGCGAGAGCCAGGCAGAGCCTCCCGGTCAGGCGCTATAGCAACAGGAGAAAAGCAAAGACAATCGCTGGAGTCATTAGTGCTTGAGCTGCTTCCCCGTGGCCGTCCCGGCGACCTCGTGCTGTGCGGGGGGGCCATCATTCAATAAAGGCTCGAGGCCAGAGCCCGCGCTCATTGCATTTTACTGCTGTCTGCGGAAAATGGGTTTTAAGGAGCCTTCAAGGCAGCTGGGATCGCTCCGAGGATATTGTATGTGAAGTCTTGGGATATGAAGATTTAATAGCGAGCGAGACTCTGCGGAAGGCTGGGCAGCACGCGGCTGGGCGTGGCCGCTCCCCAGGCCGACCCCCCGGGAAGACCGGCCGGCCGTGCGATAAGGATCGGGCCTGTCGCGGCCCATCGAGGCCCCTGTCGCAGTGACGCTGACCAGGCCTTGGGTGGGCGTCTCCCTCTCCCCGAGCAGGGGGGTGCAGAGGGCAGGGATGCACCGCCTCTCCTTCCTGCCCAAGGGCCCCCTGGCCTGGTTCTGCAGGAAGATGACCCCTCAGCTGGAGAGCGAGGATGGAGTAAAGTCCAGCCAGTGCACGCTGACATGAAACGAGGCCCTACTATGTGTCTGACCTCTGCTCTCAGGTTGGGGGGGCACTCAGTGATATCGGAGTGAGGTCACAGCTAGGGGAGTAGACGCCCAGGACCGGGAGACCCTAGAGGGGCCCTGCTGTGGGCAGTCATCAGGGAGGGCTTCCTGGAGGAAGAGGAGTGTGAACTGTGTCTCAAAGGGGCGAGGCATTGGCCAGGGGTCGGGCGCACTCAGTGCGGGGCTCAGCCTCCTGGGAGAGACCACCCTCCCATCTGGTCGTCCTGGCCCCACCTGACGTGACCTGAGGGCCCAGGTTGTTGTCCCCGATGGAGCAGGGGCGGTTGGGCTGTTTGTTGCTGACTTTCTCAGCAGAAGGTGGTTCTGAGAGGAGCTCTGCTTGAGGGAAGTGCAGCGTCCGGACGAGCCCTGGGCCAGGGGCAGGCGCGGCGGGTGCGCGCTTGGGCCCAGCGCCGAAGCGGGCGCCGTAGGTCCGGTGTCCCCGCCCCAGCGCCGTCTGTGTTATTGGGTAGCATCACCGTATTCCGCATCAGCATCCTGGCAGGTTTCGGGGTGGGGCACCACACTGGGGACGCGAGGTCGCCTGCCCCCGGTCAGAGAGCAGGTCGGGGCCACAGCCAGGGCCCAACCCCCCGGCCTGCACCCTCCTGGTGGTCCGTGCTGCCTTTAGGACCTCGATGCAGAGAAAAGCCAGCCAAGGCTCTGACTTCAAAGGCAGGGGGCCCTTGGGTATGTTGGAAGGGGCGCAGGAGGGGTTTCCTGCTCACTGCCCCCGGCCTGGGAGGTGTTGTCAGCCAGGCCCTCCGGCAGGACCGCAGGTCACTCACAAACCCGCGGCAGGGTCGGCTGCCCCAGAGACAGGCTCTCTGGCCACCCTCATTTCACAGATGAGGGAACTGAGGCCCAGGGAGGGGAGGGACGTATTCAGGAAGACAAAGCGAGGGGTGGGCTGGGCCACCCGGAGGCCCCCGGCTCTGCGGAGGGACGGCTGGGGACCGGCGGTGTGGTCGTCCCGGCTCTCTGCGCCCCTCTATCCACTGCCCCTCCGGCCCCTTCAGGTGCACCGGGGCATCAAAGGCGTGGTGATGGACAAGTTTGGCAAGCCGGTCAAAAACGCCCGCATTTCGGTGAAGGGGATCCGCCATGACATCACCGCAGGTGAGCGCGTTTCTGGGCTGCGTCCCGGCCACCGGCCCCTGCAAGCGGGTGAGGGCGGGCGGGAACCTGGGCTATGCCTCCGGCAGCATGCGGCCCAGGGAGGCCACACCCAGGCCCAGCGACGGGGACGCGGACCCCAGGTTTGTCAAGAAATACCCGTGCTGGGAAAAGCCCCCTCTCAAAAATCGCAGGGGGCGCAGCCTGAGGGCCCCAGCCCCTTTGTTTGCACCCCCGAGCCTGTGCCCCACTGATGAACGGGTGCACCCTCTGCGCGCTCCTGGGGCCCGCGGGCGTCTCACCGCTGGTTTGCACGTTTTGATACATCGTGACGTGCGTCACCTGGTCTGGGCAGGGGGCGTGGCTGGCTGTGTGGGTTGGGGATGGAGCCTGGGGATGGGCTGTGAAGGCTTCAGAGAGGAGGTGCTGCCTAAGCAGGGCTTTGAGGGATGAGTAGGAGTTTGATGGGGGAGGGGCTGGGAAGGACCTTCCAGGTCAGGACGGAGGCAGCCGTAAGTCGGGTCTACCTGCCCTCCAGGCCAATGCCCCTCTGACTCCCGTCCCCTGTCGCCTCCAGGTTGACTCTGGGAATCATTTCATTCTGTTTGTCAACAGCTCCCGACGGCGACTACTGGAGGCTGCTTCCCCCAGGGACCCACATCGTCATTGCCCAAGCTCCTGGCTACTCCAAGGTCATCAAGAAAGTCACCATCCCTGCCCGGATGAAGCGGGCCGGCCGCGTGGACTTTATTCTCCAGCCTCTGGGGACTGGACCCAAGAAATTCCTTCAGGGCCCTCGGAGAAGCAGGCCAGGGCTCCGTGACCCGCTGGGCGGCGCCGGCCCACACAGGGAGCCCGAGGAGCCGGGCCAGGAGCCGCTCGGGGCGCGGAGGCAGCCCGGCGCCGGTGAGAGCAAGCCCTGGTGGTGGTCCTACTTCACGTCGCTGAGCTCGGACAAGCCACGCTGGCTGCTCAAGTACTAGGCGCCTCTGCCCGCGTGGGACGCGGAGGCCCCGCCGCCTCAGGCCCGGGGCTCCTGGCTCTTGATTTCGTCTTCCAGAGACATCCCGTAAAGCCGTTTCCATTTGATTAAAGTGTTTTTTTCACCTCCCGCCGTGATGAGAGGCTGCGTGTGTGAGGCACCTGCCGGGGGAGAATTCGACCCTGGTGGAGCTACCACTTAAACTCAGCCGTGTATACGTGAGGTCCCCAAGGGGGCCCTCGCTCCACAGATGGGAAGGCCGGGGCTGGCCCGGGGTTGCCCACAGAGGGCGGTGCAGGCAGAGCAGGAACCGAGCCTCTGGGTCCTGGGCGGAAGGCTGCGTGCCTGGGGGTGCGTGGAGGCGGGATGCCAAGGTGAAGGGCTGGTGCCGGGCTGGGTGGGCAGTGGGGGGTGACCGGGGCCCCCTCAGGGTCGACGCCTTGAGGACAGGAGAGCTCGCGGAGACCTGAGCCGCGTACCATCACCTGAGGGTCACGCTTAGAGGCCCCAGGCTTCGGAGGGCCCTGAGTCCAGGGGAAGGGTCTCCCGGCCCCCGAGAGGCAAGGTGCGGCTCCTCGCCCCGGGTGGGGGTGGGGCGCCCCTGCCAGTGGACTAGAAGCAGGTTTTCTTGTTGGGGGAGACACAGGCAAGTCTGCAGCGTGGGTTCTCATTCAAGTTCAGGATCACTTTGACCCCTTTCCTGCCCTGAGAACATGGTTTTCAATGACACCAGGAAGGACAGAATTGCTATTTCTTGTCATGCTTCTTTGCTTGGTTTACGGCACACACGTCGGCCGCAGGGGGCGGCGCCCGCAGCAGCACCCCCAGGGTGATGGCCAGGAACGGGTCAGGATTTTTCTTCTCTCTTCTTTTTCTTTTGTTTTTTGCCGTTTCTTTTCCTGGGCTACAACCTGCGAAGGGCATAAGGTCAAATGACTCGCGCTGGCTCATCCCGGCAGCCACGGCGCCCAGCCGGCCGCAGGCGGGTGCTGCAGCCAGCGGGGGCGTGGGTGGGACGGAGGGGCCCCTGCTGAGGCCACAGGCCTGCGGGGGACGGGCCGCCGCTGGAAGGGCACGCTGGGAAAGCGCAGAGGTCCGAGGGAGCGTGAAAGACGTTTGAACTGAGCACCATGATTCATAAACCGAAATCCACGCGTCAGCTGAGTTGAAGGAGCGGCGGGTGCCCTTGGGCGTCTGACTGGGTGTCGGGGAGAGGGCGTGAGGGAGTCAGGCGAACGAGAAGAGGCACCCTCAGGAGGAAATCACGTGGGAAAGGAGGCTTGAGGACAGAGCAGCGGCCCCCTGAGCTCATATTCAGGGGACAAAGAACAAACAACAGAAAAAGAGTTTTTGAGCTGTTGATAGTCAAGTCCGCTGACTGAAAATGCGCCCAGGGATCCGGACAGGGCCGGCCCAGGAAGGCCCACGGCCAGGCGTAGTCCGAAAAAATGCCTGCCCTGGAAGGAAAAGCAAAACCCTGTCCGCGTCGGAACGTCCTTCGCTCGCTGCGGCGAGAGCCGGGCGCAATGGAGCGGAGCCCGCGCCGCGCTCAGGGCGGGGCTTGGCCGGGCCTCCGGTGCTGCCGCCGCCACCACCCACAGTGGTCGCAGCGGCACCCTCGCGGTGCTCAAAGCATCTTCCACACTCCAGCCTAATCAGTCCCCTCTCCGTGAGGACGGGGGCACTGGCATGACCCCGCCTCACAGGCACGGAGGATTTCAGTCCTGGACCCTCGGTCACAGCCGAGGCTGTGGCCTGGACTCCACCTTCAGGACGGGTCTGTGCCCTCCACCCTCTGGAGGTAAAATTCACATGTCAAAGAGACAGAAAGAGGTTCCAGATTTGCGAGGACAGATTTGCAGGGAACACATGGCCCAGAAGCTCCGTTGAGCATGGGACCCCCCCCCTCTGTTGGGCAGAGCCGTCCCAGGAGGGGCTGGGAGCAGGGGTCTGCCCACGGTGCCCAGCGTGAGGCTGAAGGAGACGGCGGAGCCGTGGGAACCCGGAACCGGGAGGCTTGAGAAAGTTACACCCACGCTCCCTTGGGAGCCGGTTTCAGCCGCGCTCCAGCGTGGCCAGGCATGGGGGCAAAGTGGGTCCCCTGGGGGCCGCTGGCCCTGGTGTCCCAGAGCGGGGAGTGTGATCTGGAGGTAGGACAAGGGACGGTCACCTCTGGTGGGGGAGAGAGCCCGGGATCCCTTGCAGATGTCACCAGGAGAGAGGGGAGGTGACAGCACCCAGAGCAGTAGCATCAAAAGTGAGAAAAAGCGAAGGAGCCCACCTTCAGGGAGAATGAGGAGCACAAAGGGACCCAGCAAGGAAAAAACCAGACCCGGCAACGGGCTCGGGCCCGGCCCGCGGCCGAAGTGCAGCGACCACCAGTTCGGGCAGGAGCCAGACGGTGTGTGTTTTAAAGAGGCATCGTGTTGAAGGCAAGGGATCAAGAACACCTGGAAATAAAGGGCTGGCGAAGGGATTCCGAGAAATGCAGACGAGGGAACGCGAGGGCTCTCTTCAGCGCAGAGAGGGCGGAGTGGAGATCCAGCGTCACGGGCGAGGGAAAGACGCTCCGAAGAATTAAAAGAACAATTTATGAATCAATAAAACGATAGATCTGTATTATACGCTAATCAACTTAGCAGCTAACTGCATAAAGCCAAGTTATTTAGAAGCACAAGAAGAATGTAAGAAGGGCAGAATTCCGGTAGGAATTGCAATTTTCAGAATCAGGCTAATCCAGTCCATGATCAGTACATAAATCAGGTTTTACAAAAATGGAATCACATACCCAGCAAACTCAATTTAATAGCTGTATACAAAACATTTCCTCCCTCCCAGGTGATACCTTCTTTCCAAGACCCCTTCGGCATTTCTAAAAGTGGATGATGCACTTAGTTTCAAAAAAACAAGACAAAAAAAAAAAAACAAGAAAAATTTAAACAGTTGACATTTTCTCTAGCCATCTTCTAGAGCAATTAGAAATAATAAATAAAAATTCAACACCCCTTCCAATAAAAACCCCTTCTGCACTTGGAAAAGAAGAATCCCTCTTAAGTTAGGCTTTGCCTTTGAGGACAGGGTTGGCTGCGTGGCAGAGAACCAACACAATGGCCGCTGACGATGAAATTCCTTCACGTCTAACATCGAAGGCTGGGCCGGGCCGCTCAGGCAGCGGAGCCTGGCTGCGAGGTCCTGCTGCTGCTCCACAGCCCTCATCCACGTGGGGGCCGACCTTGAGCTCGGCACTCCTGCTCACACCCCATTGGCCAGAGCCCGGTCACATGGTCATGCCTACGGCAAGGAAGGCGGGGAGCTGCAGTTTTTACCCGGTGTGGGCCTGTGCCCGCTAGAAAGGGAGGTCTCCGTTTTGGTAGAAAAAGAGGAGAACGGGGTTTGGAGGACTCTTGGGCTCAGTGCCACCTCCTTGGAGCGGAGAGGAAGTGAAAGCTGAAGTGGAAGCTCCCCCCAGGGCCCCGGCAAGGCAGGTGCCCCAGGGGACCCCGGGAGAGCTGGCCCGTGGCCGACGTGCAGCCTCCGGTCCGTCGTCATTGCATAAAGGAGTGAATTCAGCACCTTGAGAAAGTGGCTTTTAACACGAGAAAGCGGTAGAGAAAAATGATAATAGAGAGCAAATAAACCCAAACCGTACAAAGTATTAATGAGCCCCAGAGGTGGTTCTTTAAAAAGGCCAACAAAATAGACAAATCTCTTCGAAACACAACGAAGACATAAAGGGAGTAAGGGGGACGTGACTGAGAACGAGAGAAGAGGCTCAACTAAAACAGCGAAGCCGCTGGAAGAAAACTTCACGTAACTCTGGGGCGGTCGCATTGAAGACGTGGACAAAAGAGGAGGCTTCGGGGGAAACTCTAAGTTAAATATATAAACCAGGTACAGAGAAGTTACAAAAATTCACCCCGGAAGAAGTAGACACCTTGCACAGATCGCGCGCCATCGAAGAGGCGGGGCGGGGCGGGGTGGGGGGCGAGCGGGAGGGCCTCGCGGTTGGGGGTGCCGGGCCCTGGAGTCGCCATGGCGAAGGCTGTGCAGCCCAGTGACCTGTACACGGACGCGGTTAAAATGGCGAGCTTTCTGTTCTGTGAATTGTATCTCACATTTTTAAAAAGGCAGAGAGCAGGCTCTTGGAAGGAGCGTGCAGAGATGCCGTGAGGGACGACATCAGGTGACAGGGCTGCCAGGACACTGGGGCTGCGAGAAGGGCCACAGGAGGGGCGGGGCTAGGGCGCGCCCAGAGCGGCGCGGCGGCGGGGTCGGGGGGGCTGGCGCGCCTCACCGGGCTCCCCCGCCCACGTTGGGGCTCCGTGTTGCTTGGAAGCTCCACGGGGGAGGGGACAGGGTCTGACCCCAGGTCCGCGTGGGAGGCTTGAGGGTGAAACAGGAATGAATGAACGAGTGAATGAACAAGTAAGTGAGTGAGAAACAAGACGGCAGCTGGAAGTGGTCTGGGGAGAGGGGAAGTCACAGGGACTCGTCGAGGACACGCCTGGGGGTGGCGGGGGTGGCGGCCGAGGGCGCTGGGGCGCCAGTCTGCTCCCCCGCCCGCCTGTGGAGGAGGGGGCGGGGTCGCAGGGGTGCTGCTCGCTGCGGGAAGCGAGGATTCTAGACCAAGGGCCCCGCGCTCTCCAGGCCTTCGTTGGTCCCTGCACCAGACCCTGGCGGGAGACAATGCCGAGGTGGGCGCGGGGCCGGCAGGGCTGGTGGGGCCCTCGGCCCCTGCTGGGCTGCAGGAGGTGGCCTCCCGCCAGGGACGGCTGGAAAGAAGGTGAAATGAGTGTCAGGGCCCAGGAATGGACCGTGAGCACAGGAAGGAGACACTTGTCACCCCCCAGTCTCTGTTTTTTTTGGTGCGAGGTGAGGTGGAGGGAGAGGGAGGCGGGCCACTCCCAGATATGGGCGAGGGTGGGGGTGCAGAACAAGAACAGGGTCTTGGAGGCTGCGGGGGACCTGTCTCCGCAGGGCCCCGCGGCTCTGGTTTGGGGT